GAGAGAAGGATATTTTATGTTGCCTAATTGCCCTCGACAACATGCAGAATGAAAATAACACAGTTGCGTCGAAAAATTCTGTAAATAGAAAACCTACAATGCATGAAGTAAAATTGCAATAATTACGGCACCTCCTAGAATTTAAATAACGCCTATGGGTTAAAATCAGCTTCACAAATCATATAAATTTATTCAATTCATGGAAGGTTCCATCAAACTAATTAGTTTTTGTGCTATATTAATATTTGAGCTTTGATTTATTTTCTATCTATCTGAATTTGTAGCGTGTGGCGGGTAGATTGCCCGACTGAACTTAGGCTTCACTAGACGCCTTGTGCATCCCTATAAATTGATAGGTCCCCTCCTAGCTTATCAGCCAAACAATAGATTTGATCGCAGAGAGATGCTTCTCTCATATCAGCAGTTGTTAGCTAATACTAGTCGAACAGAAATCTAATAAATTAGAGTATAGGGCAATCGTAGAAGATACACCGATGGTCTCATATCTTGTTTGTACCCACTGCAGAGTGCAGATTCTGACAGCTTCATGCTATGCAGATTCATCCGTATTTGACAACGACCAGTCAAAATACCTGTGCTCAGGCGTAGATTCTGTCCTGGCATAGTATTTGTTTGATGTAGTGTTTTCGGGGTAAGTTAGAAGCTCTTAGAGCTTTTAATAACTACGTCAAATGTGTTATTGCAGTGATAGAAGAAATTGGTATCATCTCCGTACATAGTAGTTGGTGTTATAAAAACCCTAATTGACAATTGTAACACTTACGTGCAATAGTAGTTGTCAGTAGCAATATAGAATCCTTCATAGGTAATAGTAGCTTCCATTAACAATATAGAAGCCTTCCCTGGACATTGTAGCTTTCATGAGCAATAAAGAAGTCCTCATTTGCATTATTAGCTGTCACTAGCATTATATAAGCTTTCACTGAAAATTGAAGCTCTCATTAGCAATATATAAATCTTTATTGGCAATAACAGATCTCATTAGCAATATAGAAGCCCATTCAATGTTGAGAACAATTTTTTTTAGCTCCTCAATCTAAAATCTAAAGACTAACACAGAGGACTGCTAGAGGATGTTTTTTATTAGTTTCTCAACCTAAAATAGAAACCAATAAGACATGTAGAACCTACTAGAATACCTTTTCTTTTCTGCAAGTCGTAGTTGCTACATTTAAATGCTTTGCGTTTTGTACAGTCTTTGGAAATGATGTACATAACCTCTCGGAGGTATTGGAACCCCTATGACTTTACTGTGCCTATGGTTACCTTAACTAAAAATATGGATTGTTAGAAATTTAATCTCGGGGCGGTGAGGGGGTGAGCATGTCTCCTTATAATTTTAAAGCAGAAAAACATGTATATATTGCAAGTTTTTATACACAATCAGTTGGAAACACGTTAAGATTTACGACCATTATTTATTGACTGATTACGTTCCTTCAACGGTGCACTATTAAGATAGAAACAGTGATCGATAAAGCTTGTGCCATATTGCTACGGAAACCACTTCGTTTATGACTCGAAATGAACTTTTAAAACCCTCTAAAATCGACCGGATTCTACTGTCGTTTTCGAAAAAGTATACCATTTAAATTGCAAGCTGAGGTGCACGAACTTTTCCGTTACCGTTAAAACTGGGCTAGTAGTGTTACGACCTTTCAAGAAAACTAGTTCAAAGGGATCAGCGCGTCTCAAAAGGAAATTATTCGCTTTATACCTCGAGAAACGGAAACAGGAACACTTAAACCCTTTCGGTATGCGTTTTGTATTTTTACCGATGTTTCTATGATGCGCTTTTGGATTCAAGTCGAAAGAATTTTATACTTTCATTTATCTTGAAAAGTCAAGAGTATTTACTGTTCAAAATAACTTTAGTTTAAAACACATGCAAGTCATTGTCTTTCTCAGGCTTTCAAGGGTGATTCCGTCTTCGTCATCTTCTGGCCTGATAGTGGACGCCTAAAGATTAACTTCTTCAACAGGCTCCACTCCACTAAATATCTATTAAACATTTTTTACACAATTGCTTTTGAAAGCACGTCGTTGATATATTTAAATTGCTACTAAGAGTTTTATGATGCTTGGATTTGCGTGCGTCTGAATTTTCTGAAAATTCGAGCTATTCAAACCTTCTCTCAGATAAAGGATATGATTTATGAAAATGCCAGTTTCACATCCGGCTCCCAAAGGTCTGCCAAAAATATTAATGGACGTTAAACTTTTTGTACTCTTTCTTGCGAAATTTGGGAATTATTATTATCTACATTAAAAGTTTTTGTGTATATCTACACGAAGAAAAAACATTCCGCCATTCAAATTCTCTTTTAATTTATATTATTTACGAATTGTTATGTTGGGCAGATCCTGCGAAAAAAAAAGGGGGGGAAAGCAAATGGATCACGTAACATACCAATAAGCTGCCTTTACTTTCATTGAAAAGATGCTATAAACAAGTATGGTAACATTCTGCATAATATATTAAATGCCACAGGAATTTTCTTTGTATATTTTTCACCTATAAAAGAAAAGATAATGAGACTAATTATCCACTGACTATTTTGATAACTGCTCAAGTCTTTTATATATTGATATTTTGTTTTTATAAAAAATATATTTGACTACCACCCAAAACCTAAAATATGTATACGTACATGCTGATATAAATTATACAGGGTATTATTGAAATACACGTACATATTAAAATGGGGAATAGTATGTAATGACCAAAAACGATTGACACCAATTTTAACTTCAAATTATAAAATTTAAATATTGGGGAAGAGTCCCCTTTTCCGACCTACTAGTTTCCATATTTAAAGAAGTAAAATAAATCGAAATTGAACTTACCCATAGAAATTGCACTGTTGCCGTAGCAAAACCAATTAATTCAAAATAAAGTTTATTACAGTAATTGTTCAAAATGCCGTCCATTATTATTTACACACACTTGCAATCGTCTTTCCAAAGAACTTTGAACATTAGAAATTAGTCTTGGATTTTGTCGTAGTTCCTCGGCTACCGCATTAACTTTATTGGTTAATTGTTCAACACTATTAATAGGTTCATTATAAACCAGTTGTTTCATGTGACCCCACAAAAAGAAATCGCATGGATTTAAGTCCGGAGATCTCGGAGGCCACTTAGTAGGTCCATTTCTGCCTATCCACTTTTGAGGAAATCTAATGTTCAAAAACTGCCGTACGTTTAAATCAAAGTGAGGAGGAGCGCCATCTAGTAGGTACCACATCCGTTGCCTTAATTGTAACGGTATCTCTTCTAGGAGTACTGGCAAAATATCTTCTAAAAAGTGGAGATATCCTGGCCCATTTAATCTGTTCGGGAGAACATAAGGCCCGATTAAATACTGATCTATTATGCCAGCCCAAACATTTATTGAAAATTTTCTTTGATGCCCAGTTTTCCTAATGGCGTGAGGATTTTCATCACTCCAAATATGCGTATTGTGCATATTGAACACGCCATCACGAGTGAATGAAGCCTCGTCAGTATACAATAATATTTTTTGAAAATCAGGAATATCAACACATTTTTGAATCATCCATTCACAAAACTCCACTCTCTTTTCTTCATTACCTGGATATAAGGCCTGGACTTTTTGGATGTGATAAGGATGTAAACCTTGTTCTTTAAGTGTCCGCCACACAACAAATGAGGACACTCCAATTTTAAGACCTAGTCTTCTACAACTTAATTGAGGCCGGTTTTCAACAGCTTCCAATATTTCTTCTTCGGCCGCCAATGTTCTTTGTGTTCTTGTTCTCCCTCGATCTGCATTGACACTCTCAAATTTTCCATGGTCTCTTAGATGCTGAACAGTTGAAATAAACGTACGACAGTCCGGAATTCTCCGATTTGGAAACCGTTCGCGATACAGGATTTGTGCTTGCCGAGAATTTTCTCCAGCTGCCCCATAAACCAGCACTATATCCGTTAGTTCAATATTCGTAAATAGTGGCATCGTAAAAAAATATTTAAAAGTAATCGTAACAACACTTTTTACCAACTTGGAAATGACGCGCTCGTGTTAGCCAGATTCGTAAATCAACTAAAATTTTAATAATCTATAGTTTCAAAAATGTATAGTTTAAAAACAATCATTTATCAAATATTCTAGTTTTTTGATAACGAGGGTAGTAAAAACCAGTCTTCGGAAATAGAAATTAATTCGAAAATCTTGGCAACATGGTTATTTCTTACAAGACTAGTTTTCTTATCATCTGACAAAAACTTGCATATTAATTACTGTTGATGTTTAAAATAGGTAAATAAACCTAATTTATATAGGTCATCCTCAACATATCAGTGAAGTACGTTTGTTTTAGAATTAATTTTCAAAAATTAATAACTCCCTTAATAAGGGGTATTTTTAAAAAATAATATTTTTCTACATTCAGTGGGGATCTGCGCAATACCCAGTTTTAATATGTACGTGTATTTCAATAATACCCTGTATTGCCAATTTAAGTTGACTATATTTTTCTTGATTAAATACACATATTACTTTCCTGATTAATCTTGACAAAATGAATTTAAAATCGCATTCTAGATTGCTTGGTTTATGTCCTCCATATATCTACTTAAACGTAAATATTAAAATTTTATCTTCTTTTCGTTAACCATATTTATCTTTTTAGCAACTACTTTAAGCAGAAATTTCACATTAAAATGGGAAGGTATATAAAATTTGTGTATCGTAATCATCTTTTATGGTTCTAGACTGGAGTAACTTTATGTTTTATATTTATTTAGCGTCGCAAAAACTGTTTAGTTGGTGTAAAAGTATTAGAAAAACGTTTTTAGCTAGTGTGTATATTATGGGTTTTAATTTAAAAATCTATTTATTTCAAACACGGATGCCATCCATTCATTAAAAAAAGAAAAATGTAACTAACGACATTTATGTCACCCAAACGTCAATAATCTTCAAACTAGTAATTTGACACTAAAAAAAGTCTAATATGGCATCACTTTGTAGACGAATATATCTATTTTCAACCAAGAAGCATGTCTTGCATACCAGTTACCGTTTTGGTGTCAAAGGTTAGTGGTATACTAATAAATTTTCTGGAATTCCAAAAATCTGTAGAATTGTATCAACTTTTTCATTTAATTTAGCATTAAATTTAACACTGGTCTTCTTGACATTCCTTAAAAACATTTTTTGTCGTCTTAATTATTTGGAACCCATATTTTTGATGATTTCAGTGACGATGGGCGATCCATTAGATCACGCAACTGGCTTGGAAAAGCGAGAATTACTGGCCAAAGTAGCAGGAAATCATAACCCGTTCGATTACAAAGTACTTAAAAGAGGTTCTGGTACCAAAGATTGTCCCAACAACATTCCATCAGCTTTCGATTGTCGTTTAGTAGGTTGTATCTGCGAAGAAGAATCTACCAGCATTAATTGGATGTGGTTGCACAAGGGGGAACCCAAGCGATGCGAGTGTGGGTACTGGTTCTGTTTGGTACACAAAAAACCTTTATAGATAACCAAAAAATAAACATTGTTAATGTGTAATTCTAAAGTGTTTTGTAGTGAATATATTTCGTTCTTTAAATTATGAATAGTTTGTTTAATAAAGTAAATATTTTAGCCATAGTTTTAGGACTTTAATAATCACCAGAAGAAAGGTTGATTTTAAATTAAAAGTGATACTTTCTGCAATTTGGCTGCCTCAAAAAATGTGCTGTATCCAGCATAAAAATTATGTAAGCGAGATAAAAATAAGTTAAAAATGGAAAGAATCGTATAAGAATCTCTTAAGAAAGGTCCATCTGGTTATAGTAAAAGAAGACTACTAGCAATAATGGCAGGTTGGCCCAGTTTTAGAGTTGAAGTCTGGATTTGATCGTATTAAGAGAGCTGTCACGATCAGATTCTTTAATGGAAATATAACTTTTGCTAATAGAAAGCTAACCTTTCAAGACGAGTGACATGTTTAAAATCACTTCAGATAAAGATTTGTTTATCTGAGAAAATCACCCTCTATAAATGTCATATAATGCATTTGGTGTCGTTAACTGGTAACAATTTTGACAGCTACACGTTTTAATTTTCTTTTCTAAGCCTTATAAGTGTAAAAACATCGTCCTGTAAATTAAATAGATATCAAGAAATTTGTGCCTTCACTTTAGTAATAGTGTAATTACACCAAGAGCAGTAGAAGAAGGTAAATTCAATAACTAAAACATCAAGCTACATGAGGCAAAAATACCAGCAGTTTTAATTGAGAAAAATAAAAGAATTTATCATGTTTTGGTAAAGTAGCTATTTATCGAGCAAATTGGACTTTATAGGAGTACAAATAGCTTCTATAAAATACCCATTTTCTGCGAAAACTCATTTAGCAATCACCATATCTATAACGAACACCAAAATTTGATAAGCGAAATCCAATTCGGCAACCGAACCAAAACTTTCCGCAATTGGCTTTACAAAAGAATTCATTAAATTCGTTCGCGGTCGAATAATTGTACTAAAATTTGCATATTTAGGAAGAAATTCCTGGATTTCTCAAAGATTTCACTTCACGCCGGGTAATAAAGAGATAAAGTGGAGCTTTGATTGGAATAAATTTAATCCGTTTTATGAATTTTAATCCTTTGAAGGCGTAACTTTAACAGTAATTATGCAGTCCATATAGGTTAGGTTAACTAATCAGTAATAATTTATTTGATAGAGGAACATTTTTCATGCTATAATGCTATTATGAAGTGTAGTGTAAACAATTCGATTGGACAATTGCCAAATTTCAGATTTCAGTTATAAAATCAATTAGTAAAGAGAGAATGAATAAAAACTAAATAATTAATTTTAAATTAGAGAATTAAATGGGGACATTCGCTTCTCGGCTAGGAACCCCTCAAGGCATTTAATAAAAACAGACTTATACTATGTCACCATAAAGATAATGAGCATATGCCATATTTAAGGACAATCAACTTTGGATATTCCATGTGGGATCGTACTTTGCATTTATACGCAAATCATTATAGTTTGTCAAAGGAATTCTTGATTTTATAGAGATTCAAAATGAGGACCACCACATTCTACACATTTTTGATAATCCAACAAGTTAAAATAATTTCTTACTGCACATTTATTTACACCCTTAGCTTTTTTGGTCCCCTATAAATCAAAGATTTATTCTGTGGGTCTTCCTTTTCATTGCACGAGTCGAATTGGTTACTTTTTCCCGATGATTGTCGACATGTTCTTCTGCAGTACCTTATACTTATACTGTACAAATAGTCGATTACATCTAGACCACTTATTTTTCGAATCTCATTTGTATTCAACTGTAAAAGATTCTAGGAATTTCTAATTGAAAAGGAGTATAATAACTCGTTGAATTTTTAAATCATTATTTCTGCCACAAATGTTGCCATTTATAGAACAATTTTGGAAAAAATCACCAATCGTTACAGAAAATGAACGGAAATAACCCCCAAAAAAGTTTTAAACATTAACTATATGTTTTATATTAATATTAAATTAAATTTATTATGTTTAAGGACTTATTTTATTTAATTTCAAATTTGATACTTTAAACTTTTTACAGTAGGTATATAACCAATTTACCTAAAAATTAATATGAATTAGTTTTTAAGAAACTCAAGAACAATTTTAAAAACATTTTTTGGCCTTTGACTAAGCATTTTATTTCAATATATAATGGGTGTAGTATAAAAAATAAAATATATACCTACACCAGCCTTCTGAAGCTCTCCATAGTTTTCAAATTTTAATATAAGCAAACTAGTAGGTTTTTCTACATTCTTTGATCCTCCTCAGTTCCATCACTAAGTATTTTGATTTATTTTAAATTTCTTTTATACATACTTTCATTTCGAATGTGTCAGCTGTCAAAGTCATTACACTATTCCATATCGACACCTCGTATTTTTTTCCTTGTACAAAAACTTGTAACTTGGTCCCATATAACGTACAAAAAACAAAAATATATTGAAAACATATGCCAGTCATAAATGTAATGATGTAACTATAAATGTTTTCGGCGAGGGTATTAGGTGGCGCTGCTAACCTAATTTTGGAGCCCTATAAACTTGTTTTCGAAGTTCCTTCTGAGACAAATAAACTTTAATGTACCTCAAACGACATTATTTTCCTTATCCCAATTCAATATAGCGGATGTCCCATAGATTTCTAGCAGGATAATTTCTAAATTATATAATAAAGAAAACAAAAATATACATTTCTATTTTCTTTTTCAGTTTTCAGAATGGACGGATCATGACAATGGGCCTGCTGACATAGGTAAGCATCTTTTCATTTTGTGTTCACATTTGTATTGAAAATACCTAAACTATTCAAACGTTTACCGAAAAATTGCTTCTAGGAATCATAATTACACAAACCAGATGTATACTCGGTTTAGTTAAAACGTCACTCATCGTTTTTAATGAGATTTTTACAGACCCAACGTAAATATAATATAAACCAAAGTATATTTTATTTGAAACATAATCGCTGCATCTTGACGGGTAGTTAATATGTAGAAGATAAACAATTAGTTGAGAAACGGAGCAATATTAATTAATTTTCGATAATAGGAACGTTATTAAAATTTTCCGAATCTACATAGATGACAGAGTACAGAAAATGTTGAGCAAAATGTTTTCTTCTACATTTTAACCGTGATTTTCTTGTTTTCCTTTACTAATAAGTTGGAACATTGGACAAATTGATTTGGGATCAAGGATACTAAAATCAAACAATCTATGACGTGTTTAGAAACATTATCTAGCTCTATATTACGAGTATACCTTTTTTTATGAGTCACTGTATAATTAAAAATAATTTTAAATGTTTATGATTTATATTAATAAGCTTAACTTGTATCTCTTAAGATAATGGATATTTAGGACTTTGTCAAAGGTTTGATAGATATATTAATCAATATTTGTATATCATAACGATTTTATTCATTGTAATAAACTACATTAGGGTGTCGCAATTTAAGTTCCAATGGCAATTAACTTTTAATAAAAACAAACCATTCTTTTTGACAGGATCAATAATAACTTTAGCTTATCGTCGATTGATTCCCAAAGCTTTAACAGCAAATTCTCCAAAAATATCGCTAGTTTTGATGAAAACCTCTTCGCCTTTTGTCAATTTAGCCGGCATGGCCAAAATGGTTTCGCAAAAAAAATTCGGAGGATAAACTTTGACCAAATTTTTAGCAGCCATGGTACCATTTAGGTACACCAAATTTGCGTAAACGTTCACTATAGATATGCAACGCAACATTACATTGAAGTACTTTTTACTAATAGTTCTGCATTGTGGAGTGTATATATCGCATGGTAAACTTACATTAGCACAATGATGGAAAAAACTATTATCGCATATTTCTGTTGACCATAAACTTGTCAGGCATCTTATAGCGCTGTTTTTGGTGCACAATGCTGTAGTACCAAGCGGGCAAAAATTTTCTGTACCTTCTCCGCATAGTGTTATATCTCTTGGTAAAACAAGTACATCTTGCATGACATCTTCCCTGTTATGGTCGTGGTGGTGTATTCTCCAGTAGTAATGCTTTCTTAATGGTTGTAAATTTTTGATAGATTTGTTCAAAAAAATGCCTATCATTCCTTTTCCTGTATCAAGGATGGATGTTTTTTTATAATCTTAAAGATAAAATAATGAATTCGATTTTGGAAACATAAAATTATATAATCCCCAATTCCCTTTAGGAAATTTTGACAAATACACCCCTACATCTCCAAATTGAAAACAAATCACAGGAAAATTGAAAAAGCTGAGAACTGAAGAGAAGAAAAAATGAGTGCATCGAAATTGTCGTCTCTACTATACTCTGTTTTTAAACTAAGAGGAGCTGCCCTTGTGACATCGTATAGGAGGACAACATTATCTGATTGTACTAGAATCAATTTCTAAGATCTACCGTAATAAATTTAATTAATTATTTATTCATTAGAGCATAATAATAAAAGAAATTAGTTAATTTTAACCCAATTTCTCTGAATTATTTATTTATTGTCTTACCTCTTTTAACCCTTCTTATTTTAGAAGAGAGCACCACTTGAAATATCAAAATTACTAAGAACAATTTAAATTTATGTGACATCATAATTATTCTTTATAAAGTTAAAAAGAAAAACCAATTTATTAGTAAATCTTTATTTACATAATATTTCGAAAGAAACAAGGTTAACCTTACCCTTTTTTTGCAGATTAGCAAAGGTCAATACAAAACAGATAATTAGTAGACATAATTATAGTTGTTTACTAAATTTATATAAATTAAAATTGACAAAATAAATCATTTAATTGTAAGGAACATTTTTTATAAAAACACTGTTCAAATTTAACAATTCTAAATTCTGAATTCGATTGTTTTTTGAGTGCCACAAGGTTCAGTTTTGAGTTTACTCTATTTCGCAATGTATACTAAAAATATTTAATATTTATTAGAATATTTATAAATATATAAGATAGATAATTAATTAATTAAATGCTTTTAGTAGATTTAAAATTCCCCTTGATTACTGCTTTTTAAATTTATACATTTTCTACTGACGTTTTAACTTTCTTTAATTCATTCCATACAAAAAAATTGAGTAGATTACCACAGGGTTCAATCACAAGACTCTTTCTTTTTGAAATATATAATTGAACTCATTGCATTGTATTAGAATAGGTTTTAAATGTAATAACAAAGGTTCTTGTATAACAAATAATATTTAGAATAATAAGTTTTTATGTATTCATTTTAAATTAATTCAAAAATATTATTAAAATCATATTACTGTAATAATTCTCAGATCCAAATAATATTCAGGGTTCCCACAGGGTTTAGTCATGCGACTCCTTTTTTGCCATATTCATCTTCGATTATTTTACTACTATTCATTCATCGATTATTCTTATATTACTCTTCCATTATTCTTCGACTATTCATCAGTTATTCTTCGATTTTTCTTCGATTATTCTTGGATTATTAGAATTAAAATAATTAATAAAAAATATACTTTAAAAATAATTTTATTACTTTGTACAATCAAAATCTATTAATTAAATACTACTGATCTAATTCAAATCACAATATTTTAATAATCATTATTTGGTAACACGCCACAAAACTTTAATAACAGTGAAATAGTTTTATTTGAGAATTAATTTTAACCTAGGACTAGAATGATATGTCATGATATTAAAAAATTTTTAATAATTAAATTAGTGTGAGTAAATTTGAAACCTTAGTAACAATATGGAAAAGAGATGCCGTAACATGAATTTGAATTAATTTTCTGGCTTATTTTTGTATTAAAAGAATCTTATTCGATAGATATCTAATAGTGAAGATAATGTTGAAATATAACACAGTCTTTCTTACTTTACTGATTCGATATACATTCTATTCATCTGCTTAGATTTTGTTGTAGATTTTGACATTTAACCGCCATATTTTTATCTAAATCCACAATAAATTAAAACAGTACCAACAACACAGTGTCAAGCGATTCCTAGGACCTTTACAGCAAAATTACCAAACATACTGTCAGCACTATTAAACAATTTCTCACTCTCTGACAGTTCTCTTTTAGCAGGCAAGGCTAAAATAGTAACACAGAAAGTCTGCGGTTCTTTAGGTTTCTCAGTCGTTGTAACAGGCAAAGCAGTAGTACTACTAACAGTAGAATTTGTACTGTTATCAGTGGTAACAGTCGCATTTAATGCCGTAGTATTTTGAGCAGTGGTATTCGCAATGGTGACAGTGTTATTAACGTAAGTTACATTAGCGTAAATTTTAGCAGTAGAAATACAAGGTAGACTGACGGTAGTTGTGTTATTAGTAGCTCCTTTACATTCAGGAGCAGTACTGTTCAAACACGGTACAGTACTTTTAACGCAATTTGCCTGGCTGACATCCGTGCATGGTACTGTCGTTGTAGCACTGGCAACACACATAACAGCTCCGTTATTAGTACACAAGGAAATAGTACCGGCTGGACAAAATGATCCCGTATCTCCTATACACGTCACTACAGCGTTAGGTTGAATTTCAGCTTCTTTTGGTACATTATTATTGTTGTGGTAGTAGTGGTGTACTTCGTAATGATCGTACCTCGGAGTACTATCATAACCGTAATTGGTATGGTAGTGGAAGCTAGGGGTTGTCAATCTTCCCATAGAGTACCCCAAGAAGAACCCTAGAGTACCACTGCCGGTATCGTGTGTAGTATAATGATACGTTGGTACGTAAGTAGGTACGTATCCACCACCACCGCCGTAATGGTAATTATTGTTGTTAATAATCGTTGTGTGTCCAGGTGGATGGTACCCGCCTGGACTGTAAGCAGGAGGAGCGTGTCCTACGGGGTACGCGTGTCCAGCTGGTGAATACGCAGGAGGGGCGTGACCGTAACCGTTTGGACTGTATGCAGTGCCGTGTCCGGCAGGACTGTACGCTGGTGGTGCGCCGTATCCTGCGGGGTTGTAAGCTGGAGGTGGGCCATACCCAGCAGGATTGTGGGCTGGTTGATGTTGTCCTCCTGCAGCGTTGAAGTTGGGATTGTAGGCTGGTTGTTTTTCCAAATGAGATCCTAAAAAATATATATTTACAGCCTTTTTTAATTTGCCCAAAAAAAATTGTTAAAAATTAAATTTTTAGCAATTCGCCATACATAGAATTTAAAGATATTTTCTTCATAGCTAAATATGGATTTTTTGAAGGTTTAAATATAAAAACGCAATAAATTGACAAAGTATTTATTTAAATAGAAAAAATATTCACTACAGGGTTTTTGATGTGTGGTAAATAAAAAAAAAACATACACTCTGAAAAAGGTTTTCTTGAATCAAACAAATAGATCTGTTTAAAATTTGTACGTTTATGTTACACAAATTTTAGTTTAATGCAAGATCACAATTACTGCGTAAAAAATTCGATAATTATTTATTTCAGGCATTAAATTTATTAAAGTTAAATAAATTTGGTTGCATGAAACAAATGTTGTGTATGGATAAAAAATTAACCATTTTTTAAATTTGTTTGAATGAATACTTTTAGTCATTTAGTTGAAATGACAAAATGCTAAATTTTATTCAAGAGCGTCGCGTTTGAATCAAAAAAATATTTATTTGTAAAATACTATGGTGTTGCAAAGGGACTTTTCAGACAATGACTGTGTATTGGGTGGTTTTATTATCCAGAAATCGACTTAATACTGTTCGAATTTGTCTGATTTGTTTGGGTGTATGTGTGTCTGTCTATTAACAAAAAATTATCACAGTAGTTTGTGTCATCGGCATCAACTGCTATGGTTATTAGCAGCGTGTTCGGTGCAGGCTTTGTTACTGTTTCCCAGAGCCACTTTGGGAACAGAACTGTTAATTAGTACCCAACAGTGAGTTGGGAATGTTTTGTTCTTATTGGCTAAACATTAATACAGCAATAAAAGACGTGTAAAAGTACAAAATAGTTAATTTTTTCCAGGATACTGTTAAAATTAGGGCTAAATAATCTTTTATATTCCACACAATTTAGTAATATAATAATAATAATCATAATAATAAGACTCTTCCTAATTCGCTCTCTTACGAGTGAATTTTAACCCCAAAAGCTGAGCTTGTCCGGGGAAAGGAACGGCTATTATTATTTTCCATGGCACTCAGGGGCGACTTAAAGATGATTGACTTGCAGGTGAGGAAAACCCGGAAAACCCCACCCACCATCCTAAAACTCAACCCACCATCATACCATTATTAATACATTTAAAGTGTCAATTATACTACTTAAGAAACGAGAGTGATGACTCTCCTAGGTCTAACGCTCTCTTCATAATTTAAAAATTTTTAATCTCGTTTTATATTTGAGAATAAACAATATTCTGATTATTGATGACAAAACATCTGCAAATAACGGATAACATCGCTAATAAAAACAGCTATCCCAATTTGTACAATTCGTCTAATCATTGTCGCGTCCAACGAGAAAACAATTGATAGCTTTAATTGGTTTAATTTATCGTCGAATGGCCTAATTGATGTTGTTTCAGCAGACATGTTTGCTGCAGCGGAAGTCAAATAAAGAAAAAAAAACGAGTATACGGTACATGATTAGTAAAGAACCAAAATAAATATTTTCTCGGCTATTAGTGATAATTAATTTTAACAAAAATTGCAAATAATTGGATTTGAGAATTATAATTCGCTAATTTGAAAAGGACGACATTTGACATTAATTTTCTTGCTTTTCTGTATTTAAAATAATTACCTGATGAAATTCTATTAATTAATTTATGGTTTTGATAATTAAGAAAGTTTTAAATTAAAAATTAAGGTAAATAAAAAAAAACGGAAGAAGGAAATTATTGTTAATGGAGGTAATATGCCTGAAACATCTGTTCAGAAATTTAGATATTAAAATTTTATAATCTTACCTGTTCCACTTCCGACATTTGTAGCTGTTTTTGGTGGTCCTACAGGTAGTCCACCTGTACCTAAAAACGAACATTTTCAGTTGGAATATTTAAAAAATATATTTTTTAATTAATATGTAACGAAATATCCTATGTTTTTGATCTGTTATAATCATTAATATTTGTTAAAGAAAAAATAAAAAAAACTATCAGCAATAAAATATATTTTTTTAATGATATGCAAATTGGATAGTTTTTTACAAAGTAGATAGTTTTATCGCAAATATTTTCCAAAAATAATGCTTTACTGATATTAAACAATATTTCCAGTATAACCTATGACGCAAATTATTATCAGTTACAGGAAATATCACTAAATATTACTAAAAATGTAATTTTAATTATTACTTCAAGATAGAAATATCCTTCAAATCAATATCACCACTAAAAAGAATTGTTTTTTTACCTATTTCGCCTTATATTTTAATATTTCATCGGTTATTATGGGTTTATTAATAAAGCAATTTTTAAAATTTTAAATTAGAATATTTTCTCATCCTTATTCAAAATTTAAATAATACCGAACAAATATTTCTTAAATTTATAAATGAAACGAATGAAATCACTTTTTATGGAATTTCTCTTATTCCAACTGCGCAATTTTATCAGTATGGAAATTAAAACAAATTTAGCACGAAAACGCTTTAGTGATAATGATAAAAAAAATCGAAAATTAAATAAATATATTTTTTTAATAAATCTAAATTAGTTATGTCGTAGTATAATAACTTGGAAAAACCACTGAAGCTAATTGAGTTACAATAACTATACAAAACATATTTCTAAATTGAATATCCAATTTATATTAACTGTTATGTGTATGCATTACGGTTGAACTACCAAGGCCTTATTATGAGAATTTTATCACCAGCAGTATTAAGATTATTACTTAGTAAAACCATTAATTCTTCTGTATTTACAAGGCTTGTTCTATAAATTTTTATTCTCTTAGATTTTTTACTGTTTTAGATTAAAAATAGGAGGTAGTTTGATTATGCTAAAAGCATTTACAACATTAACAACAATATTTGTAAGCAGCTTACAATATGAATAAGAGTTATAGAGTAATATTGGTAAAAATTATTTTTAATATTGATGACAGAACAATTAAAAACGTCGTAAATTGCCGCACATTTCGGTAAAAAGTATAATCATCCATTTTATGAGTCAATAACTGAAATAAAATTAAGTTCCTAGTTCACTACTCACCGTGACTTCCAGGGCTACCAGGTGGAACAAATCCTATAGGTCTAGCATTAGTATTGCCACCTGAAACAAATTAATGTTGTAATGCGAGCCATTTTTGACCAGCTCGGTATCTTAAGTAACTCTCTACCTTGTTCGAGCCTTTTACGGTCTCTAATTGGGATGATTCTGACCACTGCTGATCAGTAGTCTGGAATATACTCAAACAATAGCGAGGAATCTAAAGATTTGATTAGAATGTAGAAAAGAACGAATGCACTACATTGATCAGTGTAAGAAATGCTGGAATGTTCGTGAATCCACCAGAATTTGTAATCAATCAAAACAGAACTCACTTATGTGTATAAATAGGCTGTTTTGCTGTCGAAGCAGTCAGTTGAAGTTGAGAAACCGATTGGTACAAATTAATATAAATTAGTATTTATTAAATAAATGTCCATATAAATAAAAGTACAAATAAATTAGTAATAGCGTTATTGCAAGCACCAAAAGATAATTTTAATCCAATAATAGTTTTCAAACAATGCAAAGCAAATTAAATAAAACGTAAATTAGCAGATTTCTGCACAACCAATCGCGTAATTCATTTTTCTACGTACTTTTATATTCGTAAAAGCTCTTCAATTGATGTTATCGGACGTTTATTGTTTGAGTTAATTGCTAAAAATTTTAGTGCAGTCTGTAATCTCGTTAACAATGGTGATAGATTTTTGGGTCATGCCTACATTACTATAGAAATGGCACGTGTATTAAATAAGGACTTTTTGATGATACTTTTTTGAAGGCACGAAGGATTTTATTCTATCCAAGAAAGGACGCTGCATATAAATGGCCACAGAAGCATTTAAAATATCTAAATTTAATTTATTTGAAATGAAAGAATCAGGAACATCGACTGATGGTTACTTTAGATTTGTTTTGGTTCTAATTCGAGGATTGTTCCATAACTATGCGCAGAAATAATGCGCAATAGTCCTTAATTCCATAACAATTTCATTTGTCCTAGAAAACTAAAACACTTCTAAAAGAATTAAATGTCAAAAAGAAATTTATAAATAAAAAAGAAGAAATAAAGGGTTAATGTCTAATTAAGAAAGACGCCATGTAATATTCTAAAATGTAGATAAATTAAATAATATATTCACAAACAATCTTATAACATAAAATGCTTCATTCTTATTCGTCAATTGAAATTTTTTTGAAAAAATACTAATATAAAACATGACCAGGATCTCATCAACAAAACTAATTGAAAAAAGCGCAAGCGCGAACATATTAATTCTAAAACAGTTCTTGCTTTGGGCCAGAACCATTACTGTTTGAGAATAGTTGTGGAACCATTTTCATAAAAACCAAAACATAGAATGTATAGCTTCGGAACTAGTTATGATGAAAATAAAATAACGAATATCTACTGCGCGTGCTCCAAAGGTTCTGGAACAGTTACGAACGTGAACCAAAACAAAGCTTTTAAGAAGACGTTAGCGACAAAATTTTTTATTTATTTCAAGTGAATTACCTGATCCTGGAGCCGAGCTTCCTACGCCAGAAACACTTTTGGGCGGTCCAACGACTTCAGAAGGATGCCCGGGTGGATTCCATCCGATGGGCCTCGTTTGTCCACCAGCGCCATTATTGTTGTAACCCGGAGGACGGTAGACTGGAGGGGATGGTAACGGTTGGTATTTCGGAGGGTAAGAAAGGCTAGAAGGAGAGGGGTGCGTTTGAGAAGGTTTTGATCCTGTGTTAGATGGATGCGACCCGGATGGATGAGAAGGAGAAGGATGATAAGATGGAGATGGGTGGTAGGATGGTGATGGATAAGATGGAGCAGGATGATAAGATGGTGATGGATAAGACGGAGCAGGATGATAAGATGGCGATGGGTGATAAGATGGAGATGGATGATAAGACGGGGATGGATGATAGGATGGAGATGGGTGGTAAGAAGGCCTGGAGTATGATGGTCTTGCTGAAAAAAATTATATTATTACCTCAATAAAGAAAAAGTAGGTCATGAAAAAATCCAGTCAACTGGAAAAAGTCAAGGAAAATACTTTTTACAAATTACGACATTACTATTCTTATGACACCTACATATTGATCGCTCTGCGTATTTATTATTTATTAATCTAATTATTGCCAATCAATAAAACTATTCCAAATTTACTACTATAACGATGTTTTAATATCGAATTAGCTTAATATTTATTAAATAGTAATATTTTTCCTATTTACATATAATCCAAATGCTTTAATAACTGCCTTATATTCTGGTAAATTTTAACTATTTTTCTACCTACTTTTTCTTTATGAAATACTTACAATAAGAATGAGAACTCGAGCGACTACCTCCTCCGAACCTTCCACAATTCACAAAACATATTTGAATTATTACAAATATCACAAAACACAAAATTCGATCCTTCCAAAGCATCATCACAAATTCACAAAAGATTGAAGCACAATATCGAACAATTTGCACTTAAATGTCAACTTTTATCGTAATCCTTATCATGTCGGTTATGAAAACAACTAAAGGTTAGTATTAACAGATAAACCTGCGATCAACTGGTCACCTTAACAACTTGTTTGGTTTTGTTGTAAAACTACTGGTTTGAGCTGCGTTGCCAGCGTTACAGAAATGTATATATACACCGAATATAGATTCTTGGGCTAGATCAAGATTCAATAAGTATTTATATTATCTGTATTGTATTGGTTAGTCGTTACTAATATTGAGATGTAGGGTTTGAATATATTACTATAAAAATAGGAATAAGCACAAATAATAATTAAGAATTGTATTTCTTTGTTTTGTTAAAGAAGGCACGTGCACACAAGGGAGGTAATAGGATGATAATAATAAGAGTTACTCGAAGATATCCTGTACTTTATTAAATTGTAACCGCGAAAAAGCAAAGTAAAGAAACATAATTATTTACCCTCCCCCGAAAAATCTTCTCAAAACCGCACCTGTGTTAAAATAAATAAAGCATGTAGATTCATACTCTTTTAAGATTAAAAAAAAATAGTAACTTTTCCCCCTTATTGCAGCACCGCACCTAAAAATTTACTCCTAAAATAATAATAAAAATACGAAGTTAATGACATATCAACCTAATTTCACTTTTTCATTTCGTTATACAGTTATATTAGTAATTAATTTACATTTGGCAACCCCGCATGACGGTAGTTATAAAGTGAAATTCTCTTTTAATTCAGAAGCAGGACCGGATTTATTATTAGACGAACACATGAAGGCTCTTGAACATAAAAGTTTGAGACCAGTTCATAAATTAGTTTTAGAATACTTTAAAGATTTGCATATACAAATTCTGGTATTCTCAAAATATATCAAATATTAGATACACTTGGCTGATATAAAAGAAGCACTTCTTGGTGACATTGTCAACTATATTAAATCTGTAGGCTGGCTCACGAGCTAGGAGGGGCCTATCATTATAGTAAGGCCTAAGTGCCGTGGAGTAACCCACCATCCACACGTTACAGATACAGATAGATACTTTCTATTAGAATTGAAAAAGGATAAATTGAGAGTTTCATATAACAGTCAAAGATGCTGTCATTAAAAGCAGAAACTGCTTGTAAAAGCATACAAGAATATTCTCGAATTTACAAATATTATTAGCTCTCTGCTAGTATTATCAATATGTAACCAAACATACAACAACGTATGTTGTATTGCCTAGGTCTATTGCGTATAAAAATTCGATATCCGCGACCTCTGCTTACTACGGACGCCGTTCGTTCTACCCCTGAATTAAGGGCCTCACAAGTATTAGGTCTTTTTTTATTTACAGCCAGCGAGCCAATGAATGTCACGAGTAAAGGGAAATATATTCAACTCCCTTCCCACATAACATCAATGTTCTATGAATATACTAAGAATGTTCTGTCTATGTTCTTTTTAGTATATGCTTTCTAGAATGTTCTTAGAACATACCTAGTATATACTTTGAAAGTATATTCTAGAAAGTATATACTAAGTACGTGCTATGAAAGTATATTCTAAAAAGTATATACTGAGTACGTGCCTTAAAAGTATATTCAAAAAAGTATATACTCAGCACGTGCTATAACAGGACATTCTTAGAAGATACCAAAATTCATATATCCAGCATGTTCCTCATATTCTGAGAATGTTCTAAATGTTTGCAGGTAAAAATTAACACCAAATACATGTAAAAACACGTTTATATACACATCTATATACATTTTTTTCAGATATTGATCTGATAATTCGTTAGCAAACGCACTAACGTTGAGGGTTCAGACCAACAAACATTTGCCACTTTAACAAAAGAGAAGAATAACATAACCTACAATTCCTACAAATTTTTTAGACCACGTTTCAGTTTGTAATAGGTAAGTAAATATTAATTGCCAGTATGAATTTATTAATATGGTTAATACTAATGGCGGATTGAAACTAAAATACAGTGTTACCAGAATTACATACACAGTTTCTATGAAAAAAATATTGTAAAGCCAGAAATTGACCTGGAAGAACTGTAAAATTAGCTAAAGGAGGACGAAAACTACAAAATGGTGGTAAGTAATTAATAAAAATATATTTAAACTTTCACTAAACATAATAATTTATGTAACTCTTGTTTTTGTTAGTGGAATGCCATGTACAATTTTTAATGTTTTACGTTCGACAAAAATATTCCATTAGCTATGTACACTTAATTTGTATATGTAGCAAGTTTGTTGATTTTTTTATTTTTTAGGTTCAATGAAGATCCAATGGAATCAAGCAATAAAATATTGGTTGGTTAAGGTCAAAGAAAGAATTTGTAATAAAAATAAGATAAGTATATATGATTTTTTTTTAAATAAAGATTTAAAAAATGGTCACGATTTTCATTATTATATAGGTACACTTATTCTTTAATGTTCAATATTAATCAAACATTCTGTATTATGATGTCTAGTATATGCCCAGCATATGTTATATTTAAATACTTAGCATATACTTAGAACGTACTATCAAATTAGAGTAGATACCTATTGCATGCTGTACACATACTTGAAGTACATTCTCAGTATCTGCATAGCATGTATAAACAACGTCACGTAGCATATTCTTGGTATATTCTGAGAATGTGCATATGCACATTCTTAAAAAGCATATACTGAGAATATGCTAAGAATGTATAATTGTTATCTGGGTTACACTTAGGGGCATACAGCTATACAGTCCTTACAGACAAGCCTCTATTGATAGCTTATTACAATACAGTGTAAGAATAGGGTGCAAAAGACACAGTAATAGGTAAATGGGTACCTACTTAAAACCCAATTGTGCTTGTTATTTTTTATAGTTTTGTTGTGTTGTCGTGTCAAATTAACTAAAAAAAATCGAATTTGAATATTCTATATTTAAAACATATTATTATTTTGTTATTGATTTTTACAAAATTATAAGTCAGACAATAATTATGTTTTTAAATTTGTTTTTAATCTTTGGTACGTCTATAAAAATTTTTATATTTATTATAACTTTACTTATTTGATTTGAAGTATAATTATTTATTATTTTTTATAAATACTAAATTTAATAAATTCAATACAAAAATGCTATAATACTAAATCCGTTCCTGTGCTGGAACCTTACGTGAGTCATAGAAAATGAAACGTCACGCACATAATAATCTTGTAGCAATGATCTCCAAGAACTAGTTAATTACAATTACTAAATAAAGTTCTGTGGTTTTCTGACGTCAATTTAGTTGGTAATTACAGACTGGAGGAATAATATTTTTATTTGTAGATTAAAAGTGATTCAAAAATACGCGAATTTGGTTTCCGAAGAATATTGATTAAGAATTTATTCTGTAAAACTATATCGAATTAATTTAAATAATATAATTGTTTTTTTTTATAGATAACTGTTGCGAATTCGGTTTCAAATTTAATTAATAATAATAATTTTAATTTATTGATACTGAGCCTTGTTGTACGCACATTAAATGTCTTAGAATCCAAGAAATCTTAAATAAAAGAAAAGCAAATTTGACGTTACATTTATTAAAGAAAAATATAAAATAGTACTTAAATTAAATTATTAAAAAATAAAATATTAAAAAAGCCTTTCTTATTCGGTAAAATCATGGAACAAGACATCGGAAATATAAAACTAAATCCAAATTGAACAAAACCATACAAAAAAAAAGGATTATCCATAGGAAACAATTTTAATTAAGAATTATTGATAAATATATGGATTATTACTATTATAATAATAAAACTGTCAAATCCAATTTTTATAAAACTTATGCAGATGTAAACAGAACTTTAAAGGATTAACATTGGTTAAACCTTAGTTATTAAATTCTACATTATAGCAAATTGATTATTCTAGAGCAATAGATTATCCAAAAATTTTAGCCGCAATCTGTCCAAATACAGTATCTGAATTTTCAAACAATTTCTCACCAATAGAAATCTGCCTCTCCATAGGTATATTTACAACACTGACACAGAAATGCTGCGCCTTATTAGAACTATTACTGCTACCAGTAACCAATTGAATATCTGTATAAGACTTAGTAATAATAGGATTACGCGTATATATAGTACTATTAGTAATCATAATTTCACCAGAAACAGTCAAAGTAGCCATACAAACTAAATCAACCTCTTTCTTTTTAAGTTTCTTACACTGAGGCGATTTATTGTTCTTGCATGATACCTCAGTTTTTACACAAGCAGTATTATTATATTTAGTACATGGATCAGTCAGTAAAAGATCTGTGACGCACCATACAGATCCATCACTAAGACATAAAGAACTGGTCTTCTGTGGACAAATCGTTCCAGTATCACCCTCGCATCCAATGAGCTCAGCAGCTTGCAATTCTAGATCACTAGGAATTATTTCCCTACCATGTTCATAGTAGTGAACGGAATAGTGATCGTACTTCTGTACTTCTCCATTAGATCTGTATAAATCAGCGTTAATCCAGTAATAACTGGGGAAAGCTAAAGTACTGAACGTATTCGCTAAATAGTACCCGAAAACATTATCTCCAGTATCGTTAACATTATAGTTGTAATGCGGTAAATTTAATGCGTTAGATGCATTAGGTACACCTGAAACTTTCCTTGTTTTGGGTATCTTTAGTACCACTTTTTCTCCAGGCAAAGCTAGAATGGTAACGCAAAGCTCGCGAGGTGTCTGCAAACTTTCCACTGTGGTACCGTTTAGGAAGGGTTCCAATGTTCTGTAAAACATAGTGTTATTACCGGTACCATAACTTTTAATTCGGTAAGTACTTTTAGCAAAGAGTTTTGCTGTTGAAATACACGGAATCTGAATTGAAATGTTGGTACTCTGGTAAGAAATGCAAGCAGGTGATTTCAGATTCAAACAGGAGATGTTACTATTGATGTAATTTACTTGCAGTTCTTTATTGGATATAGTCGAGTTAAATTCAGCAACGCAGATTACAGCACCGTCAAAGAGGCAAACAGACGTGGTATTCTGAGGACAGAAGGTACCACTATCTCCAGCACATGGCATAATTTGATCAGATTTGATCTCTACTATTTTGGGTAGTACTGTAGCATCATGATCGTAATGGAAAACGTTATAATGATCGAATTTCTCAATATAATTGTAACTTTCGTCATAATTAAGGAAGGAGAAACTTGGTTCTAATAAATTTTGCAGCTTGTAACCTAAATAGTACCCGAGTAGACTTACACCAGTGTCATTAGTAGTGTAACGGTATGGTAGGCTATATTCTGTTGGATGTTTTACTTCGGTTTTGGTATCTTTGGTTGCATTTTTGCTCTGGGTTGGTAAAGCAACTACAGTCACGCAGAATGCTTTGGTACTAGAATCATTAGGATTAGTAACAATCAAGCTGTTGTTAATAAATTCAACCCCGGCATCGATTTTAGCTGTGGATACACATGGAATGGAGATGCTAGCTTCTTGATTTTGCTGTCTACATTCGGGTGAGGTATTTCCAACACAGGTAACCTTACTGCTAGCACAATTAGTTTGGATATTATCAGCGCAAGGTACTGTTGATTGAGCAGTAACTACGCACATTACAGCACCGTTGTTAGTGCATAATGGCATATTACCAGCTGGACAAAGGTTTGCTGTATCACCAGGGCAGACTACTATAGCGTTGGGTTGTATTGGAGATTCTTTAGGTACGCTCTGGCTGTTATGGTAATAATGATGTACTGTGTAATGATCATATCTAGGAACATACTCATTGTTAACGTAGCTTGTACTGTGATAATAGTAACTGGGTCTCGATAGTTGTCCCAATCGGTATCCTAGATATAAACCTAGTGCGGTACTACCAGTATCAATTGGACTATAGTGGTAAGTACTGACGTAATGTGGGGATATGGAATGGGAATAGTAGTCGGTGTTTACTATTGTAATACCCACAGCTGGTGGTCCATAACCGTAGTAATGTCTTGAAGGAATTATGACTCTATGGTCATGATTGTAGTAATTGTTATTGTTGATTACGGTGACGTGATGGGATGTTCCTGTTGAAGGATGGTAGTAACTACCTGGATGGTAATGGTAATTATTATTGTTGATGACAGTTGTATGGTGCTGTGTTGGATAAGAAGTTTGTGGATGAGATCCGGTGATGTAAGAAGGACGACTTACAAACGTCCTGTTGTATTGACCTACAAATAGAATATATTTGTTAAATTTTTGTTATAAAATGAAAGCTTGTTTAGCGTTCAAAATACGTTCGGGAAAATGGCTTTTATTTACCTGGTGGTTTATAAATTGGTTGATGGGTACCAATTCCAGATGAACCTGAACCATGAATTGCAGAATTGTTCCAGGAAGGTCTAGTATACCTCTGAGTAGGTGTGTTGTGGTTGTTCCAAGAGGGAGTTGGCCGATCTAACATAATTATTAAAAGAGTATTAAACATTAGGTCAATTTTTAGGTAACCAGATGATTTTTCAACTCATATAGGTATTATAAATTAGGAAATGTTATTAACATTTTTTAAAATATGCCAATACTTACAATAATTATTAATATTTGACGGTGGGGTTACAGGTCTTGAGCTATTCCCTGTACAAAAAAATGTAATATCAAAAAATTGTGGTATAAATATGAAAAAGGAAACTTACATCTCCCATTATTTTGATTCTGAAGTGGTACCATTTTAGTGGTATGGTACAAGTTATTGTTAGGTCTCTGCGTTTGCGATCCGATTCCAGTACCATTATGAAATCCCAATGGTCTAGGAGTACTATGCCAGTTTGATCCGTTGTTCCTAATTGGATTATGAACCGGTTGCTTGGTAGTACTGCTAAAGAAAGGATTATGCGCAGGTTGTCGGGTAGTACCAAAATGGGATGAGTTGTGTCTATTTCCGTTTTGTTGTAAAGGGTTGTTAAGAGGTCTAGATGAGGTACTGAAGAATGGGTTATGCGCTGGTTGTCGGGTAGTACCTAAATGTGAGGTACCGTTTTGTCTATAGGCTCCGTTTTGTTGGAACGGGTTGTTGACAGGTTTTGAAGTACTGCTGACGAATGGGTTATATGTCGGTTTCCTGGTGGTACCTAAATGAGAAGTAGTGTTGTATCTGTTACCGTTTTGTTGTAAATGATTGTTAAGAGGTTTTGATGAGCTAGTAAAGAATGGATTATGTGCAGGTTGTCTTGTGGTACGGAACGGTGAAAGGGTGGATTTTGAAGTGTAGTATGGGTTGTAAGCAGGCTGTCTCGTGGTAGTTCTATGAGTTGGCATAGTTGTAACAGGGTAATGCCTTCTTGTGGTTCTATGGGTTGGCATAGTTGTAACAGGGTAATATCTTCTGGTGGTTCTATGAGTTGGCATGGTCGTTACAGGATAGTGTTTCTGGTAAGGTCTTTGTGTATACCTGGTAAAAAATTAAAAATGTAATTTTAATTAGATTAAAATATATTTTTAAACTATTTTCTAAATATTTCCTTTTTATTAAATATTAAAATATGAGAAATAATATAGGGGAATTTTTTTATTATTTAGCTTTCAAATTTAGAGTTCATGAACAATTTTTGCTTCAAATATAATAAAAAATTTCGACGATTTTTTTAGACGATAGGCTATACTTAGGAAAATAATCAAATTTGTCAAAATTCATTCAAAGGTACGCACAACTTTTCAAAATAACATAAAATTACTGTAATTTTTTTAAATATTTCTAATCAAATAGGTATTTTTCAAGGTTTCTATTGAAAAATGTTTAGGTTCTCAAATGTAGTTATACCATAATTTTTCTTTGATAGCAATAGACATTGGAATTGTCATCATAAATAAAATCTAATAGCTACAAGACATTGTACTCTATCATAGCTATTATTTCTTCTCTTTCTTTATAATTATTATAAATAAAAATATAATTATATTTTCTTTTATTTATACTTACTTTGTAGTCCTGGGTCTGGAGGTAGGCCTACTTCCAAAGGAACCATGATTGGAAGTACCAAACGTATTATGACTGGGCCTATTGTTTCCAAATGAATTGTAACTGGGTGAAGGTCTTGATCCGAAAGAAGAAGAAGGTCTTGATCCGAAAGAAGAAGAGGGCCTAGACCCAAAAGACGAAGAAGGCCTTGATCCGAAAGAGGAAGAAGGTCTAGATGCTTAAAAGATAAATTACTGGAATTAGGGATTAAATAGTTTTATCTATGGTATGGTAATAGATAGTACCGTGGAAAAAATAAATTGAATGATAATAAAACTAATTTTTTTGTTACATAATAGAAAATAATTTGGTATATATAGTAAACATTAATTATTTTAACCTGTAGGATTTAAGTAATGAATAACCTAATTATAAAATAACTTTTTTTAATACTTCATATTTTGATCTTGACTTTGCTGACGTTTTTCCTTCTAGAAAGTTGCGTTTCTTTTTTAAAATTATATTTAAAAACTAAATTTCAAAGTAATTTAATTTCTGCTATTGAAAAATTGACTCAATTATTTTATTTTTTACCCTAATTATCATTAAATAATAAATAAACAAGGATTACAATCTTAAAATCTCGCCATAAACAAAAAAAAAACTTATATATCCAATAATTATATAAGAACTAAACTATTTTTGTTTACTTACCGTATTTTTTACAATCTATTTCAATAAAGTTTACTAACAGAAAAATTAGTATAAAACTAGAAATCCATCTGAGCAACATTGTACCAGCACTTTTGAACAAATACTAATCTTCAAAATTATAGGTTTTAATTTCAAAATTAACATAAAGGTCAAGAATAAATATTGTTTTATCGGTAATTAATCAAATCGGATTGAAAACATGTAATAAGAGTATTTCGACGAATGTTTAGAATAAGATGATAAAAACATATATATAGTTCATTGAGGTTATGCTAAATACTGATTCATCTAATACGATACGCCTTTTCTTGACATTCTTTGAAATTATCATATTTAATACTTATTTAAAACTTTCTATAGAATTCCTTTCATCTATTCTTATCTTTTCCATTAAATTCTTTTTGTCCTTTTTAAGACTGCGTCTTTCTAATATCCCTCACTCACAACATCCAAATTACATGTGCTACAATTTTTCCACGTACACTAACAAAATAAAAGATCTGTACTTCTCCATTAGCTCTGTATAAATCAGCGTTAATCCAGTAATAACTGGGGAAAGCTAAAGTACTGAATCTATTTGCTAAATAGTACCCGAAAACATTATTCCCAGTATCGTTAACATTATAGTTGTAATAAGGTAAATTTAATGCATTAGGTAAACTTTCCTTGTTTTAGGTACCTCTAATACCACTTTTTCTCCAGGTAAAGCTATAATGATAACGCAGAGCTCGCGAGGTATCTGCAAACTTTCCACTGTAGTACCGTTTAGAAAGGGTTCCAACGTTCTGTAAAACATAGTGTTATTACGAGTACCATAACCTTTAATTCGGGAAGTACTTTTAGCGTAAAGTTTTGCCGTTGAAATACAAGGAATTTGATCAAAAGTGCAAGCTGGTGATTTCAGATTTAAACAAAAGATGTTACTGTTAATATAATTTACTTGCAGTTCTTTATTGGAGATTGTTGAGTTAAATTTAGCTACGCAGATTATAGCACTGTCGAAGAGGCAAACAGATGTGGTATTCTGAGGATATAAGGTACCACTATCTCCAGCACATGGCATAATTTGATCAGCTTAGATCTTTACTATTTTGGGTAGTACTGTAGCATCATGATCGTAATGAAAAACGTTATAACGATCGAATTTTTCAATATAATTGTAACTTTCGTCGTAATTTAGGAAGGAGAGGCTTGGTTCTAATAAATTTTGCAGCTTGTAACCTAGGTAGTATCCGAGTAGACTAACTCCAGTGTCATTAGTGGTGTAACGGTACGGTAGGCTATATTCTGTTGGTTGTTTTACTTTGGTTTTGGTATCCTTGGTTGCATTTTTGCTCTGGTTTGGCAGTCACGCAAAATACTTTGGTACTAGAATCATTAGAATTAGTAACAATCAAGCTGTTGTTAATGAATTCGACCCCGCCATCGATTTTGGCTGTGGACACACATGGAATAGAGATGCTAGATTGACTTTGCTGCATACATTCGGGTGAATTATTTTCAATACAGGTAACATTACTGTTAGCAACAATTAGTTTGGATATTATCAGCGCAAGGTGGTGTTGATTGACCAGTGACTACGCACATTACGGTACCGTTATTGGTGCACAGCGACATGTTACCAGCTGGACAAAGGTTTGCTGTATCACCAGGGCAGACTACTGTTGTTTTGTAACGAGGCAATTACTACAACTAATATTTTTTAATGCTTATGTTTAATAATTGTAAATTAATAGTTCTTTTTTTATTTTTAATTCCTATATTTTGTATTTATTAGCATTTCGTTAAAATAACTTTCTGTCAAGCTATTTTATATTAGAGATTTTTCAGAAAATAGCAGAAACAAAAGTTATTATTCAGAATGTCGAAGTTCTTGAATTATGTATGAATTTCAAAAATGCTGACGAAAATAGAAGTGTAAATATCGATTCCAAAAGAAATTTCTACTTTTAGTAATTTTACTTTTGACTGAACAAGGTAACAAAAGGTAATGCAATGAAGCCTAATGGAATACAAAAAGAGATATGCTTTTGATACATGTATACAATGGAAAAATTTAATAATTGAAGAAATGTAAGGAATATGAAGTGCAGGACATAAAAAGATTAGTAATAAATATTTTAGATGCACACCTATTAGATTTTGAAAGAGTAAAACCAAATTTGGTAGATTTTCACACTTTTATTTTAAAAATAAAAATTTTTAAACAAACACTAACATGACATATGTTTCGAAGTACAACTTCTTTTTCAAATGTGACTATTTACAATTCGGTATCCAATATATATACAAAATAATTTAACAAAACAAAGTACTTAAGAAAACATCAATAACATTACAAAATAAACTAACTATTTAAAGTAAATAAGGGTACTTAGGTAATTATAATATCCATCAAATAACAATAAGATAGCCCATTACCGGGATTATCTCACAGAAAACTGGGAAAGAGGTTTAATAAGGGTGAATTATTAATATCTAATTGATCATTTAGTAAGTTATCTGAATTTTTAAATCTATTTATTTCAAGTGTTTCTAAATGGTTTAATTTAAGGCTCTTATTTTCTACATGTAAAATTTCAAAGTTGTCTGTAAAAGAATGATTTTCAGCTAAAATATGATTATTAGAATATGATTATTAGAACTAATAACGCATTTACATCAACAGCTTCGTTTTTCTGCTTATATGGTAAACGATCATTATTGAATATTTCTTTAAGTACCTAGCTATAAATAAAAATAAATTAAATAGATTAGATAGTTTGACCTCGAAGCCGGAAGAAAACAAATTCACTCGAAATGAAAGTAATATTAAGTTATCATAACATTAATACAGTAAAATGTCTTGAAGTTGGGTTTAAATTATCAAGCTGATTCTTTTTAAAATATGATAGTTGTCAATAATGCAATTTATTGCACTGAATTTTTGGTATCATCTTATATAGTTACAAGATTGATGCAATGAAAAAAAAAGCATATTATATAATATTTTTAATCGAACTGATATAAAGCTGCTTTTTTGCAATTCCATAATTTCTTTAAAATTAACTATTTTTACAGGAAGTTCCATAAGTTCACGTCTTGGTAGATGACAGTAGAAATATTTAGGTTTAAAGCAGCTAAAACAAGACGAAAAATCAATTTCACATTTTTATACATTTCTATAATATTTAACTTACTTTTCATAAAAAGTTTGAAGGTAATAATGGTTTATTATCACACTCTCGATCAAAATACTGTATTAACAAAACTTTAAGTTCCTTACAATGACTATTTAGTTTTCTTGACATTTTGTATGTAGAAATAAAAGTACAAACATAACCTAAAACCTGAATCGTTTATTTTTAGTAATATAACTACGTTTATGAATGCTCATGAATATTCGAGACATTTTCGGATTATTAACTTAGATACATTTTAATTACTTGGTAGAATTATGACGAATCAACATCTTCACAGCTAGGAGCTCTAATATATAAGATTATGCTTATATCAGTTCAGTTTAATACTAAAAAAATTTTTGCGCTAGATAGAACGCTTTCATAACTTATTAATAGACAAAGATTGGTTTAATTTAAAATTATCTTATGAAAAATGTACAAAACCTGAATTTAAACCAGTAATCTCATAATTTCTATACAATAAAACAACAGTAAAAAGTCAATAATAGTTGATTGAGATTTATATGAAACTATTTACAGCTAATTCATTGCTTAAAACTTGGAATTACGGTCAAAATATCCGAGTAATTTGTAACGGATCGAGATTGATAAAATGCAATAAACAATGCAACTATAAAATATTGTATCATAAATTGATGTATTTTTATAGCTTTAGACATCGAACATTTTTATATAAATCAATTTTACCATCGTTCTAAAAAAAGAAATAAAAAAATATCGGCTGTATCGTAAAAATGGCTCTAAACTGAAACTGATTTGATAAAAAGTAAGTATTCTTAAAATTAAATATTTGAGAATATATTTTTAATTTGTATTGAACAGCTGTAATAATTTGTCTATACTAAGAAATTTAAAACAAAGGCTTTGCTTTTACACAATTATACAACACTAATTCAAATGATTTGATCCTTTTGAGTCATCTCAATATAAGTTGACCAAAAATTTGGATTTACTAGACTAATATAGACTAATATAGACTAATATAGACTAATATAGACTAATATAGACTAATATAGACTAATATAGACTAATATAGACTAATATAGACTAATATAGACTAATATAGACTAATATAGACTAATATAGACTAATATAGACTAATATAGACTAATATAGACTAATATAGACTAATATAGACTAATATAGACTAATATAGACTAATATAGACTAATATAGACTAATATAGACTAATATAGACTAATACTGACTAATATAGGCTAATATAGGCTAATATAGGCTAATATAGGCTAATATAGGCTAATATAGACTAATATAGAATAATATAGACTAATATAGACTAATATAGACTAATATAGACTAATATAGACTAATATAGACTAATAGAGACTAATATAGACTAATATAGACTAATATAGACTAATATAGACTAATATAGACTAATATAGACTAATATAGACTAATATAGACTAATATAGACTAATATAGACTAATATAGACTAATATAGACTAATATAGACTAATATAGACTAATATAGACTAATATAGACTAATATAGACTAAAATTTTCTCCCATTCAAGCAATTTTAACAGAACCTTAAGAACCTTTTTAAATATTTTAAAATTAGTAAAGGGCGACTAGTTTTAGCTACTATAAAACATCAAGTCATAAAAGATTTTAATAGTTTTTCGGAAAATGTCACATTTAAGAAAAATAGATGATTTACTCAACTCTCAGTTTATTATTTAACCTCTTTGTTTCCATTATTTGACATTACCAATATTTTCCTTCTAATTTTAGCCGTCGACACATCCTACTAGAAAAAAGTTCGAAGAAAGGCCGCGTAATTTTAGATTGGAATATTTTCAATTGTATATTTTTCTTTATGCATCACATAAACTTTTGCCCTCCGCTTTATATTTTCCGGTCGATATTTTCTCAGACGTCCGCGGCATCAGTCACAATGTAATCAGGCGTGGGAAAACTCGCGGCAAAACGAAAAACCGTTGGAAAAATCCCGCGGATTATTTTAATTTCCGTTAATTTGGTGGTTGTTGTGATACGAGCATGTGAACCGGCTATGAGGACCAAACTAGCTATGTTGGAATTTTTTACCACGAGTAAGTTTCGTTGTTTGTAATTTTTTGTAAAATTATAAAAGAACAGGTTCAAATTTGATACTGAAAAGTTTTTTGCGGATTTTTGTTATTTATTTATGTAATAAAACTGTTAAATTTATTTCTTATAAACTTGAATACATTTTAGCATACCATCAAACAAAATGTATTAGTGAAACACTCTGTATACAATATTATAAATAATGATTATTAAAATTCCGAAGCTAAATTGATCTAACTACTACTCCTATTTTTACGGTTAGTTTATTTTTGAATCGTAAATCTCAATACATTGAAATGTAATACATCAACTTTTATTCTGTTATTGTTATTGTTATGTTAAGTGCTTCCAAGCTCTTTGATAAATGGCATGAACGATTGGTCGTACATCCAATTAGCGTTCGAAAATTCGAAATATAATTATTATTATATTCGAACAATATATTACGAGGAGTATTTTCAAAGAAAAAACCAATACCTAAATAAAAATTTTGAATTCAAATAAAAATATTTTCTGCTTCGCTTTTTTCTTCTTCCTCCTAGTCCTACTGCCTTCTGGAAGGAAAGTCATTAAACTGGGTATAAACATTATTTTGCGTGGAAGGGAATCCATATTCTGAAACCTGCTACTATTGCCTTATTTCACCGATTAGAACTAACAATGATAAAAATAGTAATATGAAATATTTTATGTCACAAAAGTTACCTCATTATCTTCTAGTAATACACATTGGATAAAATTGCATCTACTTATGATGTAAACTTTCAAACTTGTTAAAATGTTTAAACTCTATTCTTCTTTAATAAAAACTAGATCAAATTAAGAAAGTTCTCGGAAACTTCATCTAGGAAAATTGAAATTCTTTCATAATTGTGTGTCTCGCTCATAATTAATTCGTAATTTAAAACAGTGATATTGATCGCTTGATACGTCTAAATATAATTTTTTTTAAATTAAAATTTACAAAAAAATAAAAGGAACTGATTCATTGAAATAAGAGTTTTTATTGTGCTAAACGTGTAATATTTTAAATATCATTTATTCTGTATAGTGACAAATAAATGTTTTGATCTTTTTAAAAATAAAATCTCAAATATTTTTTCAAAAATCTCTGTTTTTTCTGCTGATTATATGTTTGTTGTTCAATATTAATAAAACCAACTATGTGTCATTTTATATTCGTCAAGGGAGTACAGTTTTTTAATAATTTTATACATATTTTAGATATTTCGAAAATTGAAAATTTTAATTTTTTAGTTTCAGTTTTTGACTCAGCAATTGTTTAAACGTTTTTTTTAGATTTTTATTTATTTCTTTATTATATTAAGCACCATCTGTAAACTTTCTAATGTCTTTAGATATTATAGATTAATAAGAAATTGATTAAAAAAATAAATAAATCCAAACTAGCTATGATTGTGTTTTTATTAGAATATTATTAATACGTCTAATTCATAACATATTAAAATATTTTAATTTCATTAAGCAAAACGTTTAAATTGCACTTGTCACCTGTATAAATCTATCAAGGTGAAAACCATTTAAATCACCTATCATTCTATAAATAAAGTGATTGAAAATTTAACCCAATGTCCACCACATGCCTATATCACTCGTGTAATGTGTTTTGCTTCAAAATAAATGAAACATTTCATGTTAATTTCAAAGGCGAGATTTTCAATTACAAAAATACGATCGTTTCGCTTTCTAACAGCACCACATAAAATTCGGGACTTTTAATTTTATTGCTTGATGAACGTTTACAAGGATGTTTCGGTGTTTTTTGTTAAATTTTCAGTCGTATCTAAGTCGATAAAATTTTTATAGAACACCAAACAAAATAAATATTTCAAGTTTGTTTTTCTTCCTAAGTTGCCATATTTTTTATTAACCATTTTTTACTTTGTAAAAAATTAGTTTCTTAAAAATAGTTACTGTTTATTTTATTGTACTTGATATTTTTGTATTTCTGGTAAAATCAAAAATTTACTCACTCCTTTTAAAACTAATCAAATCATCCTCAAAGGTTGGACCTTGAGTCCTTCATTTCCATGAAAGTTTGCAAAAATTGCTTTTGAGTGAGGATTATTATTAAATAGAGTAGTTTAGGCTTGACTTTGTCTTTGCAAATACCTGTGTTGAAAATTACAATACAAAATAAAGTAAAAGTATGATGCGCTTTACCATTTTTTCAATTTTACTATTATTTAATAGATAATTTATTCTCTAGATCAACCCATCTAATTCTCCGAGGATCAAACTTCATTTTTGCCGTTTTTAATCCTATTAAGAATATTGTTTTCGAGTTATTAATCTAGCGTGACCGCCAATATGGTTATTGGTAAATGTTTCCAACATGCTATTTTCATCATCGTCCTTTTATTGTCGCGGCACGTCAACCGCACGATTTATGCAAATAATTGGATGAATATACAGATGGTCCAGGTCAGACCTTTGACAGGCCGTTATACCGGGCAGCTGAAAAAGCAAAGTAATTTTTTTTATAAAAAAATAACTCTATTATTTTTTTTGCAGACAGTGCAGCCGAAAATGAGGAAGAGGAAGAGGAAGAAGAAGACGACGAAATGGGGGAGGGGGCGCGATATACCGGCACAAAGAGAAGCTCCGAGACGTGCATCGAAATACCTCGAATAGATACCACCTCAACATGTCTTCTAGATAAACCGAGAATCGATGCCAAAGTAAAAGTAAGTTGTTTTTGTTCCAAAAATTAACCTTTTTTGAAAATCAACTACATGTAGATTTTAATCTTTCCAATAGAAGCTGTTATGGCAATTAAATATACTATTTCTGGTAAACGTGCTCTTTATATAAAATTATATTCTTGTTGCATGATATTCTTCTTTTAGGTCTTGCATTTTTTGAATGTAATAGGAATTCAAATCCTGAACGAACAGAACTCGTATAATCTAAAATATCTGCAATTAATAAATACGCAGTAATCAAATTTGTTAGTTTGACAAGTCCTTTTCTTGGGATTTTTTTCAATATAGTTGCAACATCGTAATCATGATCCTTTTTGTATGTATGTATGTATGTATGTTTTTTTCTTCTTGTAACTTGTTTGACCAATTTTTTCCGGTTTCTTCTTTTTCTTCCTCTTTTTTTTTATTTTGAAGGTACTATGTTTTAATAAAAGTGTTTTCTATATACATTTTTAATATTTTTGTATCTAGAAGTAATGGTAGGTACGCAAATTTCTGGTAGTTCATCCTTGTATGAACAAAGCAATTTTCACTAATAGCCAATGACCGCTTAATCAAAACAGAATGCTGATGGAAATTTCCCATCATATCATTGAAAATTCAATTAGCAAGAAATTTTAGGGATTATGTGAAACGAAGCAAATACAAAGTTTCTAAAAATCAATTATAACCGAAAATAATAATAAGAAATTGAATATCAAATATTGTATTTTTTAATCCACAGGTTCCTAAGAGAAATACTTTCTATATACTTTATCTTGGATAAATTTCCACGGGACTCTATTGTTTTCGACGTAATTCCAAGTCATTTAATTTACATAATGTAACAGTCCTGTCGTAATTCCACTTTTGAAGTTTCCATGGATCTAAAAAAATAAAATAGTACGTCATGTTGTTCTACAGGGTCTTACAATAGTGGCGTAGTTTTTAATACCTGGCGTTCCATAGATAAATTAATATTAATTTATCTATGATTCCATAATAATTATACATTTCAAGAAAGAATTTGGTGTAATATCCTAAAATACTGCAGAAGAAATATGTTTGATGGTAAAAATGTAAGGGAACAAGTGTTATTCAGTTTAGACTCTTTTAATCCTGTTTTCATTGGAGCGATTTAAAACCCTCTTGACCCCGTGATGGCCTTAGTTAACGTCTAACAAAATTCTACCCACTTTCTTACATTGGCTTACACGGTTGAACCCTGAATACTGCCAGGATTTCCTCTTTCTGAATTTTATACAATTTATCCACGTAATAAAGTAGATTATTCTCCATTTGTGACCATTAGACCGTCAGGAAATCTTATCCTTTCAGGATTCGCAAAAATAGTAAGTCCGGTTTAGTATAAAATTCATGAGGAAAAATATATCCATATAACTGGATCCTTATAACCCTCTAGGACAGTCATAATTACACGCGGAAGTACTCTGCTAGATCCGATGCGATTTGCATGACGATATTATCAAGTTTTCATTATATTTATTGACCTAGACAATATAATTCGGCCCTAGAGACCCTAAGCAGCACGAAGGGATCTCTATGAAAATTCTAATCAACCAGTGAGTTACGAGAGCAATTTATGAATTTCACGCTAATTTAAGGACATATTTCTCCAGGGGAAGGTGAGTAAATGTTTTATAGCTGGTCATTAATTAGACAGTAATCACGTGTTTTAAAAAGTAAAGCACTTTCGTGGTGACTAATGGACATTGTTTTTCCAAAGATTTAACTCACTCATAAGCCACGTACGGCTCGCGGGGAATTTTGGAAATTGTTAGAAATACAAAAGTTTGAAATGCTCATAGACCTTATAAGCCTGTGGCTTTGAGTTTTCTCAATTATTTTTTGTTTGTTGCTGTCGCTGTTGCTATTTTAAATAGTGTAAGTCGTCTTTACATGCGTCTATTTTATTCGTGGACGACCTCTTCCTCTTTTCGCCCCATCTCCTCTTATCGATACTTCTTTTGCCAATTTTCTTTTTTCTTGCTCTACTCTTTAGCCCCCAAAAATTTGTCATAACACTCTCCTCTTCCATACGTTTAGTTTTTTATTTTCAAAGGCTTTCCTCAATAGCTACTTAATTTTTGGTTGTTTTATTTGACGTTAATGTCACTGTATGGATTATTTTCTTTAGTATTAAGAGTGCTCAGTACAACCATTTTCTTATTATTAAATCATATGTTCGTATAAAGTCATCATTTTCAATTTGAATCCTTGCTCATAACATTTACTATACACTTTCTTTTTTTAGTAATAATTATTTATAACTGTTTTGGTTTTGCCTGTGATCCTTTTATCGCCATGATTTAGCTTATTATTTTTCTTACATTCATGTGTTAAAAACAAAATTTGTAGATAGTTACTGATAGAAAAATATACTGATCCAGTGATTATTTTTTTAAAGAAATTATATCATTTCAGACTGAAAAAAAAAATCATCGATATAACCAATCATATCAAATTAAAATAAACATTTGAACGTTATCAATAAACACCCACATCGGGCTAGTCGCTATATTCTTGCCGGGCAAATCTAAACATTCATCTCATAAAACGAATTTAGAGATGCGAACTCTATCATCTCCTTCAAAAATTACTAAAAACTAAAGTTCAAAATATTTACAATATTTTTCAGGATTCAATATGAAGATTACTTAACGTTAAATATTATTTTTAAATGTTTATTAAATAAAAAAGAAATATTATTCATTAATTATTACGTGGAAAGTGTTGTTTTGCGTGTAATAGTAGTAGTGTGATTTAATGCGTTTTTCAGACCTATTACTGGGTGGCATCTTATAAAAAAATATGATGAATCAATTCTCAAAAATTGCAAAAAAATATTCTCATGTTTTGGCTAGATGACTTTTTCTATATAACTTCTTATACCCGACATTATGAGATAAAAAAAACTTATTACCTATCATTTTTTTCTTTCAATTCATTTGTAGTTATTGCCCAAATGAATAACTGTGCAACTTACAACTAACAAATTGTTCAAATAACAAAAATAATGTTTGTTAAAATATAAATAATAATATGCTGAAACATTATATATATAATAAAACCAAAGTAACTTTTCATTTAACTAACTCACAATTGAATATAAAAAACAACAGATATAAAAAATATTTTTTAAAAACCTAGTTTATTTAAAAACGTAAAATATCAAGATACCGTTTATTGCCCTGTATTTGTTACTTTTTGAATCAAGGACTTGTGTGGCACATGAGTGAATGTATGGACGCTTTTCTACTCTCAGACAATCAATTCTTGTAAAATACGGAAGTAATTTTGTAGTATTTAGGCTCTAACCTTAAGTTGTACTAAACTACCGTTGTCATGCAGGTCATTCAGTTTGTAATGAAGATATTTCTCTTAAAAGTAACAAAAGGATTGATTAAATTCCAATAAAAATACTACTGATGATCTGGCAAGCTTCAACGGAACCTGCAATTTTAAATTAATGTTTTAATTTCACTCAGAATGAAATATTTTTTACAGAGACACAGCATTCATGGAATGATGGAAGAAGAAAACGTTATTCGTCCTCACCAGGAGATCGCCCAACTCACCCTAGACGAAAAGAAATTCCTGTTGGCTGTAGAACGGGGTGATGTCGCATCCACTAGAAGGTAAACAGTTGCTTTCCATTAAAATACCCCACACATCTGTTAAAAATGTTACTACAGGGACTTTTACTATTAAAAATTATTTTGTATTATTTTAGACCTCTTGAAATTAAAGAAAAAATCAATTTGATAAAATTATAAAAGTCTTTGGCAATGTGTTAATGCAATGTCAAATATAACCCAAGTAACAATTTGATATTTTATAAAAGCTGAAAAAATGTTTACAGAACAAAATTTATAAAATAGAATATTAGCTAAGAACATTTCCGGAACATTCTTTCAACAGTAATAAACACAAAATGGGCGCAGTATTACAGAACTATTTGGTTCTTTTGTAAATTCTATAAGATTTGTTGAATGCAGTTACCGAACAGTTACTACACATTTACACAGACTTTAAACAAATGTTTTTTTAAACTTTTATAACTGTTTTATAAATTTTCAATTTTGAGGTTAGGTTGCATATTAAAATCAGTAACATTTTAGTTTTTTAAATGTATCTGGTGAAAACAAATTAATTCTATATTTGTCAAAAAAGTAAATTCAAGGCGATATTAGTAAAATGGCAGTATCTACTTAAGAGATATCTATAACGCGGTTTAGACATAATGTATGACCTACAATAAAGTCGTTTTTGGATGCGCAGCAAGAATTACTGTTAATTATATAGCACATACAATACTAAATTTTTAAGCGCCTCGAGTTTGATTCATATTTCTAATACTTTTTCAGTGTGAAACAAAAATTAAATTTATGAAATTTGATTTTTTTTTTAGTAATAAGATTATGCTAATATTACTAATGATTAAAATCTTTAATTAACATTGGTTTTGTCTTAAATACTAGTAAAACCGACAGTAGATTTAGCTTTAAAACTGTCTTAGGTTTTTGTTAAATATGGCAGCTATTCAGAGGTATTAGAAAGTTATTTTAAGACTGAATCATAATTATAAAATATTATTGTAGTAAAAACAGCTGTAATATAATAATTAAGTTGTACTACTCATTTCTACAAAACAAGTTCATCATGGTTTGTTGTATAATAGTTTCATATTGCTGCACTATATGACAAAATATAACATAACCTTACTAAATCGTTTCCGATTTAAGTATTTGGGAATTGAAATGATTAGATTTGTTTCTACAGCTTTATAGAGCAAGCATAATTTTTAATATTACGAGAATAAGCAAATTTAACATGGACATCGCCAAAAATATGGCTTTCTTTTAGTATTGGGGCATGATTATTCAGAACATACCTAATTATTATCTGGCTAAATGATAGTTTTTTTTTGAGTGTCTAGACAAACCATCAAAATGTTTTACTAATATTTTTTACTGTTCTCTGAAAAGCAGGTACCACTTATTTTTTATATTTCTTCACTATTTAAATCTGACATTTTCAGACCATACACTTACATACAATTGGTATTGGAAGTAGTCGAACAAACATAAAATACAAAAATAATATGGCGTAGGTACTACCAAATGTAGTTGCTTTATTTTTTTATAAATATTTTTAAAGGGATAATACTATTCTTAACTAAAATAATTGCTATACATTTTTTTAATTTGTAATAGTGTATTTCGACAATATATTACAGTTATTTTAGAGTTTTCATCAGAAGCAAATTGCTATTGATGCGGAATTATCTCACACTAATATTTATATAACTATTTTTTAAAGCGTTATTATGAGGTTAAGAAACAGTTATATTTGTATGACCAAAAAGTTCTAAAGGTAATCCAGAACAATAATATAGAATAACTATAAAGCAATTTTATTTTATAAGCTGAAATATTGTATAGAACAGTTGTATAAATGTTTATGTAACACTTTCATAGTTATCGTAAAAACTATTTTATAATTTTGCTGTAAGAATATTGTAAAAACTAATTTATATAACTATTTTGTTTCAGAGAACAAAATAGTGATTTCTGCAACTGTAGTACAATAAATTAGCATTCCAGAAACAACAATATAATATCAATAAAATATAATAGTCTTGTAAACTAAAAATTATAAAGCTACTTTGTTAGTTGGGAAAAGTATCAATTTTTAAATTTTTCTATTTTTCATATTGTTTTCCAAAATATTATGATATTTAAATTACAATTTCATCAACTTTTCGATGTATATACTAGTGTAGTTTTATACATTATAATAAGTACATTTTTCCTTCTGTATTTTCTCAATGGGTCACTCAGTATCTTGGATACATTATCAAATCACATTCTACATTACCCATACCGACAATATTCACGTTCCTACGTTCCCTATAGATCGATTTATTGAATGTCGACCACAAATATTCATGAATATTCATCACTGATTAAATTTCAAAGCCCTGCAAAATGGCCTTACAACAATTAATCACTCTATTAGAGACATATTAGGTCTAGGAATATTTGTCATAATCGTGTTATCAAATCACAAGAATTCTTTTTAGTTAGCACCCTGAGAGAAACTTTTATAATATAATATTACTACTTTTTCTCTCTGTGTAATACACCAAAAACCTTTATTTCCTGTTTTTCCGCAGAATGCTCCAGAGAGCCGAAGAAACAAACTACATAAACATAAACTGCGTGGACCCCTTGGGAAGAAGTGCTCTTTTGATGGCCATAGACAACGAAAACTTGGAAATGGTCGAGTTGTTGATAGAGCACAAGGTCGAAACGAAGGATGCTTTGTTGCACGCCATCTCCGAGGAATTCGTTGAAGCCGTCGAAGTATTGTTGGAGCACGAAGAGACCATCCATCGAAAGGGAGATCCACACGTAAGCCACGTATTTTTAAGCTATTTTGTAATTTATGGGATTTAATATGGAAAACGTTACGATTTTGGTTCAGAAACCTTGTTAGTCTTTTACTTATTGATACATCAAATGTAGGATATGGTAAAAGAGCGTTCTCACTTAATTAAGTAAAAAGCAGAAGTTGCAAAGATAGTATAGTTAAAAATAATGCTTTTTTGGTTATTATTACTTAAGAACTAAGAATTTTTTTTTCGTATTCTTCTTTCAATAAAATAATCAGTACTAACACGTTATTTAGTTTATGGAAACTCATTCTTACTTACAAGTAATGAGTTGAACTGATTTATATTCTACCAAATGACTTCTACTGAAGATGACGAGAGTCGATCGCGACAGATTCTGTCTTACACACGTAAAGCATCACACGCTCCTTACAAACGGTAGCTTAAAGCTTAAAACTGTAACACATCGTAACATATTAAGAACAGTTTACTTTTCCTTATTCTATTCTCAATTACAACACTGCATATTGGAGTAATAGTTCAGATGAAACTTTATTTTTTAGTAACAGCAGGATCATAACTTTATACAGGGTGTTATTGAAATACACGTACATATTAAAACTGGGTATTATGCAAATCCCCACTGAATGTAGAAAAATATTATTTTTTAAAAATACCCCTTATTAAGGGAGTTATTAATTTTTGAATATTAATTCTAAAACAAACGTACTTCACTGATATGTTGAGGATGACCTATATAAATTAGGTTTATTTACCTATTTTAAACATCAACAGTAATTAATATGCAAGTTTTTGTCAGATGATAAGAAAACTAGTCTTGTAAGAAATAACCATGTTGCCAAGATTTTCGAATTAATTTCTATTTCCGAAGACTGGTTTTTACTACCCTCGTTATCAAAAAACTAGAATATTTGATAAATGATTGTTTTTAAACTATACATTTTTGAAACTATAGATTATTAAAATTTTAGTTGATTTACGAATCTGGCTAACACGAGCGCGTCATTTCCAAGTTGGTAAAAAGTGTTGTTACGATTACTTTTAAATATTTTTTTACGATGCCACTATTTACGAATATTGAACTAACGGATATAGTGCTGGTTTATGGGGCAGCTGGAGAAAATTCTCGGCAAGCACAAATCCTGTATCGCGAACGGTTTCCAAATCGGAGAATTCCGGACTGTCGTACGTTTATTTCAACTGTTCAGCATCTAAGAGACCATGGAAAATTTGAGAATGTCAATGCAGATCGAGGGAGAACAAGAACACAAAAAACATTGGCGGCCGAAGAAGAAATATTGGAAGCTGTTGAAAACCGGCCTCAATTAAGTTGTAGAAGACTAGGTCTTGAAATTGGAGTGTCCTCATTTGTTGTGTGGCGGACACTTAAAGAACAAGGTTTACATCCTTATTACATCCAAAAAGTCCAGGCCTTATATCCAGGTGATGAAGAGAAGAGAGTGGAGTTTTGTGAATGGATGATTCAAAAATGTGTTGATATTCCTGATTTTCTAAAAATATTATTGTATACTGACGAGGCTTCATTCACTCGTGATGGCGTGTTCAATATGCACAATACGCATATTTGGAGTGATGAAAATCCTCACGCCATTAGGGAAACTGGGCATCAAAGAAAATTTTCAATAAATGTTTGGGCTGGCATAATAGATCAGTATTTAATCGGGCCTTATGTTCTACCGAACAGATTAAATGGGCCAGGATATCTCCACTTTTTAGAAGATATTTTTCCAGTACTGCTAGAAGAGATACCGTTACAATTAAGGCAACGGATGTGGTACCTACTAGATGGCGCTCCTCCTCACTTTGATTTAAACGTACGGCAGTTTTTGAACATTAGATTTCCTCAAAAGTGGATAGGCAGAAATGGACCTACTAAGTGGCCTCCGAGATCTCCGGACTTAAATCCATGCGATTTCTTTTTGTGGGGTCACATGAAACAACTGGTTTATAATGAACCTATTAATAGTGTTGAACAATTAACCAATAAAGTTAATGCGGTAGCCGAGGAACTACGACAAAATCCAAGACTAATTTCTAATGTTCAAAGTTCTTTGGAAAGACGATTGCAAGTGTGTGTAAATAATAATGGACGGCATTTTGAACAATTACTGTAATAAACTTTATTTTGAATTAATTGGTTTTGCTACGGCAACAGTGCAATTTCTATGGGTAAGTTCAATTTCGATTTATTTTACTTCTTTAAATATGGAAACTAGTAGGTCGGAAAAGGGGACTCTTCCCCAATATTTAAATTTTAGAATTTGAAGTTAAAATTGGTGCCAATCGTTTTTGGTCATTACATACTATTCCCCATTTTAATATGTACGTGTATTTCAATAACACCCTGTATACAAAAAGATGTCACGTCTTTCTAGGCAGTCCGATATTTAAAACTATCCCATCAGACCAGCTAACAACTTACGATTAAATAGATAGCGGTTAAATAAACCAATGATACTTATAAAATAGAAACAATGTAATAACAAAATATATTTTTCTATCAAGAAGAGTAGTAAAGATGGAAGATAGGCAAAGAAAAAGGTGGACTGAGAAAATAGAAAAATTAGTACCCTCAATATTAAAAGAAATTTAATTTTGGAAAATTTGTTATAAAGAGGAACCTAAAGCCAACACCTTATGGAATATAAGGGTGAGATAGGAAAAATGTATTGTCAATTTATTCTATATTACTTGGTAGTCCAAAAGTGACTGTTACTATATCGTGATACGGTTTGTAGCATGATATCACGATAAGAGTATTTCTCATCACTGAAACAGATCCTAAATGAAAAATGGATGGCTTTTAATCCGATTAGAATAGTTAATTAGGTAAATTGCTCGCCCCTGATTGGCATAAAGAATGGAAAGTGTTGTAGTAGGTGTTGTCCTCAAATGTATGAACAGTATTTGAGGTTAGGTTAGGTTTTATTTGAATCTCACACAGTGATAATTATTTAAACAATGCAATAAAGTATTATTTGAGAAAAATATGACTGATTATGTCAATACTTTTATTTATGTTTGAGTTAGAATAAGAAAATGTTACAAAACGTAAGTATTTAATTAATTGTTTTTATGACCGGTCCAAAAATACGATTTTAAAAAGTTCCAAGTTAAAATTGATCAAAAATCAAAAATTTTGGCCTAATATTTTATTTTTAATGATAAAAAAGTGATTTTTGGAACTAATTAGTAGGGAAATTTTTAGAAAGTCGGCGTCTTTAAAATTTAATTCCAAAATTACGTATAAATAGTAAAATGCGTATCTTTTTTAACCAGCAACCTTCTGTGGCCCAATGCCGTGCAGTATAACCGGAAGTTCAGCAACAAAACCCCGATCTAAGTTAATATCGATGATTTCAACATTTCAATCGTAATCCGGAACTAAACTAATTTAAGTTACAACTTGACAACACTGCTGCTTATAAGAAAAGAGAGTAATATGATTACCTTTCTTTTTCTTTCGCGGCGGTGCCGGTTAGTCACGTTGAAATGAGTAAACCCTTCTCGACAGACGTGGACGGTTCTAAAAGATCTTGCGGAAAGCATATAAACAAGCGTTACTATCTAAATTTAGTCAATCGGTCGATAACTTAACTCTATTGAAATTAAACTGGGCGTTTATACATCTTCTTTGTTGTCTTTGATAAATAGTTTAAACCCCAACACCAATAACAAACCCCGTAATCTGTAGTACTTGCTTCTCTAAATCAATAACTAACACTGATTTATTTTTATCCTATATAATGCAGATACCATAAATCCATCATAAATACGCCAATGCCTGCTGCAGTATATAAATCAAACACAAAGCAGAAACTTTCAAAATAATGATAAATAAAAACATTTTTCACCTTCCAACTAAAACAGATTGCAAAATTTGTGAAATGCAGAAATAATTTCTACGTTTTCAAATGTACCGATATGATTTACAGCAGATATTCAAAAATTTATATCTCTTATATACAATCATCCAAGGAATGCAATGTATATTGGAATTGAAATTGAGATCGATTTGTGTGAAATAACCTATTCGACACTTTCAAATGTATTCAAATATATGCTGAGGTATGGCGTTAGATTGACATCTGCATGTGCACAATGAATTTTCTCGGGCATCAGGGATTTGAATCGTTGAATTTGAGTTCTGTTATCATGCAGAATATCCGAAAAATTGGACTGAAGAATTTGTTTTGCCACTGGTATACTTCACAATCCAAAATGTCACACCACATACAGTTTACGTACTTCCCAATAATGTACTTGGTGTCCAAATAAGAAAGGACGCCAAATGTCTGCAGATCCAGGATCCAAGAGAAATCGTTCGAAATACAAATTTAATTTTATAACAAGATGGCGTAATTATAGAATATTATTATTGAGGGTCCTGTTTTTTTTTTTTCAGAGTTGGGAAGCTCTTCCTCCTGATACAGCTACGTTTACTCCAGATATCACCCCACTTATACTATCCGCACACAGGGATAATTACGAAATTATCAAAATCCTTCTTGATAGGGGTGCTACACTGCCTATGCCGCATGACGTAAGGTGAGTTAATACTAAATTATTTTCAATCTCTATACCTATTAATTTATTTTTTTAATGAAATTTGATATGGAGTCGTGGAAAATGGCACTACAACGTTAACATTCTACAACATTTCATTAATTATAGTACTAAAATAATTCCATATTTTTATTGAGAATAACAATGTGTCAATTCAAATCTACACGCTTACAGCTTGTTCTATTAAAGTATAAAGTGCTGCTTAGGGACATGATTCTGTTGCATTAACCAATGAACTGTAGTATGGTAGAATGCCTATCAATAGGAATGAGATGCGACTTTACGGGCGCAGCGATTTTATTTTTCATTTCACTAGGAATTAAAACTACAACTACGACAATAACATTATGAAAGAGAAAATGACACAAATGACACAAATTTATCATATTTTGCTGCAATTATATTTTTTTAACATGTATCTTCCCTCTCTTCTTCTTTTACTCTAAACTCCTTGATGCTGGATATAGCTAGTCCCATCAATCTTATTTATTTGTCTTCAATTTAAACTTCAATTACTCACTAAATCAAAATTGATAACCAACTTTCCCAACTTTAGCAACCAACCAGTGTAACGAACATTTAACACAATCCTCGGGCGTTACAAGAATTCCCAACTGTACTCAAATTGCTTTCAACGAATCTCAGGTCGATGTTGCTATTTTTTTTTTTTTAACCAGCGATCCGTTTCAATTTGGAAAAAGTTTTATTGCTTGTTTAGAAATCGTATCGATTACCACAATTCATCTGGGATAGTTGCTTCGAGATATATCGCTGTTGAGGGTCAGTTAAAATATTTTTTGTGAAAAAGGAACGATTTGTTATAAGTATAGTCTCGATGGATAATAATTCTACATTCGTATTCGTCCTTGTATAGTATTTCAACATTTCGTCTAGGAAACTTTCCAAGTAGCAAAGTCAACTTTAAAATTTTAAAATTTTTGATTGTTTTATTGATATTATATTGCTGTCCCTGGAATGCTGATTTGTTGTATTAAAAATCCACTATTTGGTTCTCTGGAAGCGAATTTGATATATAGTGTACTAGTTTCCATAATGTCCTTACAACAATAGTTATCCAAAAAGTTTAATATTAATGCTCCTTACTAATATTAAAGTTTAGAGTGTCCCACCTTTATAAATTTTTATATTATTTTCTTTAAAATTTTACTTATAAAAGTTTACATCCATAATTTTTTTTAAATGTTTTTTAATTTTATCGATTATCCATATTTAGACGGTTAAAGTGACAGCGGTGACAGGCGACACCTATCGGTGCTGATATGGCAAATGTCAGAAGAGAAAGGTGCGTTCTCTTGCCGTATGAATAAAGTTACTTCAGGTGTAATTCGAGTGAGAGTGGAGTATTATTTTTAATTTCTGAAGGATTAAAAGGTTATTTAGGTATATCAAAGCGTTTAAAAAGTTAAATGTTAATTTAAATCCTTTTTTCTCAGTGTACCATTTCAAAATGCTTTGTTTCATTCTAATAATTATTCCTGTTCTGCCATGTGAATGCGAAAAGCTCGTGAATTATTAAAAGATAAATTCGTATTGTTTTAAATTTTTCAATAAAAAAAATATATCCTGGTAATCCTTGTAAATACAATCCACGAACTTTCTAAACTCCGTTCTCCAACTTTGTTCCAGATGCGGTTGCGACGAGTGCGTCACTTCCAGACTGGAGGACTCTCTCAGACACTCGAGGAGCAGGATCAACGCCTATAGGGCGCTGGCGTCGCCTTCTCTCATCGCCTTATCCTCCAAGGATCCCATCCTGACTGCCTTCGAGCTTTCTTGGGAGTTACGCAGGTAAATTACGATATGTACAGTACAACGGATACGGAAACGGGAGAAAAAAAAAGAGTATAGAACGTTGTGTAGAATATCGGAATTTACGGAGGACGATCATTAGGGAGGATGAAGTGTTTTCATATTTTAACAGGGTTGTAGATGTTGACTGCGGCAAACGTCTGTCGCTAAAGCGTTATGTACATGAAATGCGGGATTTTGAATTGATTTTACGATCGCTGTTCCATGTTTATGTAGCTACATACTGGAATGTGATATACAAATGGAGCTGGCGTTCCGTTATATTAAAATATTAAAACAAAAAATTAAAATAATAGAGATTTAAAGCTACCACGTTAATTTAAATTACCAAAAAAACAGTATAGAACGTATAAAACCTAAAGATTTGCAAAACAAAACAAAATATAATTATAAATATAGATGATTATTACAACAAAAATAGAAAACTAATCCACTATCATCTATTAATATTCATAATTAATCCGTTTTAATATTCAATTTGTCAATATAATATTTCTACGCCATTGGAGGAATAAACATGTATAGATGATTAGTATCGCACCTTCTGCAGTCATATAGCGCGTGATACCCATGTGATACAATGATTGTACGTGAACAAAGATAAATCACCTTCTCCAATATTTTGTTCGTATTTCAATACATACAGTTTAGCATTCCCTACTGAAAACAGAGCACAAAAACTCTTCTCTTCAGCTAAACGGGCAAATAAGGATTCAGCAAAAAATTTATTTTAAAACGTATTGAAATAAAACAATGATTTATTCACTTTTGGCCCGGAAGTTCTTGCAACGTTCGCTTGACGGTTAACAAATTACCTTTTGGGTCTTTTTTTGTGGCTAGAAAGATTGATTGCTGCTCCTCTAGCAGGAATATATAGTAGCTCAGAGATCACTATCACCACTATAGAAGTATTACCCAATAATTCTGAACATTTCGTTCGGTTAATCAGAAAATATTCATAAAAGATATGTTAACAAACAGAAAAACGAGAAATAACAGGATAATTAGGAAAATAGCTTCAACTAAATTAGCATTAATTGCGGCATAAAAATCTTATTCGGTTTCCTAATAAAAAAACTTCCATTAAGAAACGAAAACAATTCAAATAAAGAGCTCGACTGTTTCATTTATTTTCTCACTCTCCGAAGCCACTTTAACGAATTCAAAATGATTCGTTTTATCTGTTTCTTTCCAGACTGAGCTTTATGGAACACGAATTTAAAAGTGAATATCAGGAGCTGAGGAAACAATGCCAAGATTTTGCTACTGCCCTTTTGGACCACACAAGGAGTTCCTACGAATTGGAGGTTTTGTTGAATCACGATCCAACGGGACCGGCATTCGAGCACGGCGATAGAATGCATTTGAATAGGTTGAAATTGGCTATAAAATTGAGACAGAAAAAGGTGAGTTTATTTGTTTTAATTATTTATAAATTAAACAGGCTTTATCAGCCTAACTATAGGAGTTTGAGAATACTTACACTTTAATTACCTAATATACCAATCTGTAACATTGATTTCTAAATTGATTAAAATCTTAAGAATTATATATCAATAGAATTGGTATTAATTGACACTTCTACCAGCGGTTGCTACTACAATTTTTAATACAAGAAAAACAGATTCCACATCTGTTTTTTATACCTTTCATATTGTAAAAGATTACTCATGTAATATACTTTAAAACATTTTATTTGGTAGTTTTAATAATTGTTATACAGGATTCGAAAATAAGGTGACCTTTGTCATCGCTCATGCTTTACCGAATGGCGCGCTCTTCTTCTCTCTTTATTGATGGTCTTCACCTGAATGAGCCACGAGCACAAGATACCAAAGCTTTAGCCACATACTTTGATTTTCTTTTACTATACGGAGAATGGTCGCACTGCGCAGCTTTCTGAGTGCCTTTTAAAAGGAGATAGAAAACTCCGCCATTTTGAACCCTTATTACGTGTTGCCTACATCTTGGCGCAATATTTTTAATAGGTGCGTTTTAATCATCCGCTTCTGCTTCGGAATTGTCAGTTTTCTTGTTTTAATCTGACAGGTTAAAACGACTAAACCGACAATTCCGGAAGCAGAAGCGGATGATTAAAACGCACCTGATATTTTGCTTGCTGCTGTCAGTGTCAGTGAATATTATTTTTGAAGTCACAGTTTATTGCTAAAGAATCAGTTAGCTCACTCGGACCAGTTGAAAGTTCCAAAATAACATTCACTCCAGGGATATACATTCAGGATACGCAGAAGACTGCTGTTTTATTATAGGTGGTTGTCATATATTGTATTATCCGAGTTGCACAGTGTATAAACTGAAACATTGAGATCAAAAGTGCCGACGCAGAGTGAGCGATCTGATTCTTTAGCTGTAAACTGTGTCACAGGGTTCAAAATGGCCGCGCCCTATGTTGGGTGTGTCGGACCTCTCTCTTGCCCCGTATAGTAATCAAAGTATGTGGCTTTAGCACATATATGACACATATGACATGTCATCCCTGGCGTTTAATATGTTTTCCGTTCCTCGCGACCTATTCACTGACGTTGTGTAACCCTTGATGTCGGTCAAATTCGGAGGTCGCAGATACAGAATATTTATACGTAACAGCGTTATGAAAATTTCCGCCTTTGCTCCTCCTTAGACATCACTTAGGAAATATAACATACGTTGTTGTATGTTTGGTTGCATATTAGTAATACTATCAGCAAGCTTTTTAGTTATTATATCGCTACAAAAAACGAAAACTAATCTTGATAATGGGTGCTATGATTGAACGTTTACGTTATCCGTAACGTACATGTTAGGCCGAGTTTTAACAGCAAAGAGACAAATTTGTATGATGTAAAGTCTTTCATAACACATTACTGTTATTTTCCGCCTGTTATGTTCTAATTTAACAGGTTTCCATCATACGAACTTGCCTCGTTACTTTTAAAATTCGGCCTAACATGTACGTTACGGATAACGTAAACGTTCAATCATAGGAACCATTGAGTGCTGAGTTAAAATAGCTGAAAATCTTAAAGTTTTTACAGGCTAAATATAGAATAAGAGTATTTAAGTATTTCATCTTATTTCGTAGCTCGTAGACTCGATGCTCTTACTTGCTGCGATGTGGCCTTCGTTTGTTCATGGTCTATTTTACAGTCATAAATTTATCCTTTTGCGATATCAATTTAATACGTGCCTACTAATTTATCGAAAGCGCCATACGGATCAAAGGCTCACGGGGTGAGAATTAACGAGAATAATTAACGTATATTAAACTGTACGGATTATTCCCTCTTCTAAACCGAGGGATTATTAGAGCAATAGTAGGAGCTGCGAAATAGCTTACACTAAAGCAAAACTATTTCGGTATTAGACGCCAGATCGATTAAGTAAACAGTTTTGAGATTCGACATTGGCTTATTATTCGGCGAAATTCAATTTGTAAAATACCAGAAGTTTTGAAGAGCATAGGAAAGAAAACTTGCTGCTGGTAATCATTAAGGTATATACGACATTTCATAATATTCTGGGTCCATTTAATTTTTGAGGTTTAACAAACGCTCCTCGTATGGATTTTTTTGTCGAGTTGGATTGTTTGTGGAGATTTTTTTTTGTAGATCTGTTTTTGGGTCAAATCAATTAGTATAATTATGTTTTTCATTATGTTCAATCAATATTTAATTAATGCTTTACCTGTTAAAACTGATGTAATTAATAAAAAAACTTTTTAAAAGAAAAAATAAAGCTTTAAATAAAGCATGAACTAATAAAAAAAAAAAAATTGATACCCCTGAGACTAAAATCCCCTTTATCCAATTTACATATTGACCTAAAAATTGACATAACTTAAGAGTGATCAAGAATATAATGTAAAAGTAGACCATATTTTTTTTATAAAAATACAGTAAAAAGTTACCTAACTTAAAACAAAAATCTATCGCAATATTCTTAGTTAAATATCCCCTAAATGCACTTTATTTTCCCGCTAAAGAACTTTAAAATGAAAAACTCTTTCAACCCTTTTTCCTTTCTTTTTATCTAAATAGGGCTAAGGATAATTGGTCCATTCGCGATATAACTCCGGTTCGCTTTCAAACTTTTATTAGAATACGACTTCTCTAGATCCTTTTACTGAAAGGTTCATTTTCCTAATTTTCCAATACAAACTTTTTCGAATACAATAAACTTTTACTTTATACGGGTGCTATAGCAGAATGAAGTTTTTGAAGAGAGAATTGTTATCGTTCGGATTATATTCCAGTAAAGTTGAGGAAAATTTAAGTGGTACAAATTTTTTACTAAATTAAAATAAATTATAATTGCTACAATCTATTTATATATTAAATAAAATAGTTCATTTTGTATGTAGTATACAGATTGTTTAAAGATATCAAATTGCCTATACATATAAGATGGTTATTATTTTATTGGAATCGATATTTAAAAAAATTACATTCATAATATAACGTAATTATCATTCTTGTCAATCATCCATTCTTAACTACATACGTACCTACCCCACACATTCACAGGCCACCATTTCCACAAAAATATAATATAATTTAGATTTACAAAGTTTGTAGCTGATTAATCTTGAAATAAAGGATAAACCATATTTAAATACTTGCAGGACTGACCATGTTTTCATAAAAGACCCATAGATATTAAAAACAATAAATTCACTTTAAATTCAGAATACTTGATATATACGTTCTATGTGAAAAATTCTTGCAAGATTTGTTTATAAGAGTTATTAGAAAAAAAGAACAAAAAGCTTGCTTTTTGTGCTTTTTTTTTACAATCTATTTATATATTAAATAAAATAGTTCATTTTGTATGTAGTATACAGATTGTTTATAGATATCAAATTGCCTATACATATAAGATGGTTATTATTTTATTGGAATCGATATTTAAAAAAATTATATTCATAATATAACGTAATTATCATTCTTGTCAATCATCCATTCTTAACTACATACGTACCTACCCCACACATTCACAGGCCACCATTTCCACAAAAATATAATATAATTTAGATTTACAAAGTTTGTAGCTGATTAATCTTGAAATAAAGGATAAACCATATTTAAATACTTGCAGGACTGACCATGTTTTCATAAAAAACCCATAGATATTAAAAACAATAAATTCACTTTAAATTCAGAATACTTGATATATACGTTCTATGTGAAAAATTCTTGCAAGATTTGTTTATAAGTGTTATTAGAAAAAAAGCACAAAAAGCTTGCTTTTTGTGCTTTTTTTTACAATCTATTTATATATTAAATAAAATAGTTCATTTTGTATGTAGTATACAGATTGTTTAAAGATATCAAATTGCCTATACATATAAGATGGTTATTATTTTATTGGAATCGATATTAAAAAAAATTACATTCATAATATAACGTAATTATAATTCTTGTCAATCATCCACTCTTAACTACATACGTACCTACCCCACACATTCACAGGCCACCATTTCCACAAAAATATAATATAATTTAGATTTACAAAGTTTGTAGCTGATTATTCTTGAAATAAAGGATAAACCATATTTAAATACTTGCAGGACTGACCATGTTTTCATAAAAGACCCATAGATATTAAAAACAATAAATTCACTTTAAATTCAGAATACTTGATATATACGTTCTATGTGAAAAATTCTTGCAAGATTTGTTTATAAGAGTTATTAGAAAAAAAGCACAAAAAGCTTGCTTTTTTTAGTGGTTAGAAATAAGGCCAGTTTAAAATTATTTTGCTTGCAATGCGTGTAAGGAAAAAAGACTAAGCCAAGAGGGAGATAAAAGATAGTAGGCTTTGCTTTGCTCCTCCCTCCCCATCTCCCCAAATAGTTCTGGTTACGCTACTGTACATCAGCCATTTGTTTGATCTTTTAAAACTTATCAGGAATATAATACGTATCAACAATAAATTCTGTCTCTTTTTCCAGTTCGTCGCTCATTCAAACGTCCAGCAACTTTTGGCTTCGCTGTGGTACGAAGGATTGCCGGGATTCCGACGGAAAAATATGGTCCTGCAGGCGCTGGAGATCGTCAGGATTGGAATTCTCTTTCCGTTTTTCTCTATAGCCTACATCGCTGCACCGCATTCGGTTATCGGTCAGACCATGCGGAAGCCCTTCATCAAGTTCATATGCCATTCGGCCTCCTATTTTCTCTTTTTGTGTAAGTATGCTGGTTCGCATGTGTGCGGAATTAGATTGTCAGGATATTTGCTAAATAATCGTTAGAGTTATACCGTTATTACTAGAACTGGAATGGCACTGATTATGATGAGGTGCATTTATAATTTTTAAAAATAAGTACAGTACGGTTTTATAATAATGATAATAATAATAGATTTTTTTTATTAGTTTTGCTGATTTTGGCGTCACAGCGGCAGTTCTTGCAATCGTTTTTTGGAGTTGAGACCCCAGAAGAAGTATTCACGCAGCGTGGTGCTAAGCCATCCTTGGTAGAATGGATCATACTCTCCTACGTTAGCGGTAAGTATTTATAAATACCAACAGAAATAATGTAATAGTAGTATATATGTTTGGAAGTATAAAAAATCAGGTATACAAGTATCATGAGTCTACAAAATATATAACATTCATTTAACTGCTAATGGGATCTTTGTATTATCAAGGATTTAAACGTAGTTGGAATTTAATTTCAGTTTTATTGCCAATATTATTTTATTTCGATTTAAAAGTAGTAATTACCCACGTAAATATGCAAGTATTGTCCGTGATTCTAAAAGTATCTTGATTAATTTGAGCTTGAATGAGTCGTTTATTGAGCTTCTGATGAGTCTATAAGTATTATAAGTATGTTTCATGCACTTATATATTTACTTATATGCCATTTTGTGATTATGACAAAAGCTGCTTCGAATCCAACACGGACCAGGTGATTTTTTAAATAATTTGCATGATTCGTTATAGGATTTGATGTGTGCCCTATTAGCAGTAAAACAGTTTCTGTTTATATGGTATCCAGATTACAAATCGTCATGCGTTACCGTTTCGGGTAAAGTTTTTCCGGGTTTTCCTCATTTGTAAGTCAAGAGGAACCATTAATCATCCTTGTCGCCTAGGAGCGCCATGGCAAATAATAATAATAGCCGTCCCTTCTCCATACAAGCTTAGTTGGCTCCAGGGTTTGAAATTCAGTCGTAATGGGGTGAATTGGGGATAGTATTATTATATTATTATTATCTTCAATTTTAAGGAAAATTTTACATAAATTTAGATAAAATAAAGTAATATTAAAGTCATTAACGTTGCCAGTCTCAAGCCTTTTTTACCTATCAACATACTAATTAATAAATTATTATATGGTTTTTCTTTTTCGTTATTAACGTTTGATATTTTTATTTTATTTCCTAAAAAACCTGAAGCGGGGTAGCTTTTTGGAAATATATACTTATAGCGTATAGTTAACCGCATTAAATTCCGATTTGATTTCATTACAGCAACCGGAAAAACTTTATTGTAATAGTAACAATTAAAACCTATTATTTTTACCTGTTTAAATCCAAGTCAAGAACATTTTGACCCCTGGAATAGTTTCTATCTTCATCTGGTGCTACTGGAATCAAGAATGATAAAGTTAAATTTTGTATGATGAATTTCCAAAATCACCCTATAGTTTCTTTAGGAAAAAATTTCTTTCCAATTCTTATTAAAGTATCGAATTTGGACTACCCTGTACGTTTTTAGCACTATTGGGAACAACATAATCAGTGATATTACTGATTATATTGACTCAGAAAGATTTGGAATTGACTCGAAATTTCCCTTGCAATATTCTACAAAGTTTTTTATATTTATATTGTCTGCTTCAATATTTCTACAAAATCATCTACAAAACTTGCGTTTTGTTTGAATTCCATCATCGGTCTACTTTTATTTCAGTTATGAAAGTTTTCTTAGTAAATATGTAGTTAAATGTATGAAACGTATTTCCATTATAAATATCTGAGAAATAAAGTGTAAATATTAACAAGATTAGTAATTATAAAAAAAATTGAATTAATTAAAAATAAATTGAAATTTCCTCTTCAGGATTATTTGTACGTGTTTTCTTTATGAAACTTTAATTAAAAAATGTTAAAAATAATAAAAATGCCTTTCATCAACATCATATCGACCTTTCTCCTTAGACAGGATCGGCTTCATATATTTTTCTCCAATAAAGAGTTTTTTAAAAAATTGTGCATTTATGAAAGTCTTAAATTGCAAATCGAAATACAAAATATGTAGTTGAAAATAATTTGAAAATTCGGAAATATATCTCAAAAATATACCTTTAAATTATTAACCATACCCAAACCCCAAAGTTGAATGCAAATTGTTGTCTAGAAATTCCGACAGTCAATGTTATAATGGTCTAGAAAAAAGGGCACTTTCTCGGAATTAAGACTAATTATATCCTTTTGGCTACCAGAAGAAAATCCCATTGTTTGTTCCAAATTATCTTTATATATTACTGCTATTTTCCTTCTATTTAATACTTATTATTAAATAATTAACCTTGTACATGATCAAGATAATACGAGTTTAAACTAAACAATATTTATATACAGGATGTTATTTTTAACAATGAATTAATTGATCATAATATACGAGGTAACATTGCATTTAAAAGTGTTTGCTATATTTAGGATTTAATTCAAAACATTCTGTATAAATTCCATCATCACTATCCATTTGTCTGGTATCTTCTATGACTGTAACACATTTAAAATATTTGGCAAACATTTCACATAAAAAAAGTAACATTCAATCTTGTTTGTAAGTTTTTATTAATTTAATACAACAAAAAATATCGCAAATAACATTGATATTTGTTGTTTAAACACCATTATCATCAATTTAAAAAAGAAATGGTAGAAACGTTTTGTAATAAAAAATTTAATTTATACCAATGAAAAATGCAATTCCGAAATATCGAAGCCATAAAGCATTTTTTCCCGAACAATCGGTAAATACGTCATCCATCGCTGATTTTTATTCGAACACTGTACGTTCCAGAATTAATGGACCAAACGTGCATGTTTTCGGTAATTTTCCATTCTCTACTCTGCAACCGAAGAAAAACTGCTGCTTAGTTCAGAACTTTCTACTTTGCAAAGTCAACAAAAACACTCTTTAGTTTAACTTGCAGGAAGCTGAATTGAATTGGGTAGGGTATCGCGATAGTTCAATCATTTATAGTGGCTTTCTATAATTAACAAAACGAATAATTACGTAATTTGATATTTTTTAATTTATCTGTAAATATGTCACAAAAATTAAACATATTAAATTTATTACACATAATATTTATTGATGAGTTGATTGATAAAATTGTTCGTTCTGGAACTGCTACAATAACAAGTTGGGGTACATTTAGGTTTATTTTGACAATTATAAAACCATATAGTTTGTAAGATTCGGAAATTTTAACATTGATATGGTCTATAAAACTCAAACTAACAACAAATATAACCCCAAAATTTTTGATGGAGAAGTAGCGAGACTAGCCAGAACCGTTTATATTAAAATTGAATTAATTAGAAGTATTTTTTTTGTAAATGTCACTACTTTAAATCTATACACCATTCATATGTTCCATAGAAATTAAACTATACTGATATAGAGTCATTTCAAGGTATATTTTTAAATTATCTGCATAAATAAGTCATTGATAAATAAGCATAAAAGCGGCCCAAGATTTGAGCCTTGAAGCACGCTTGATTTTGAAAAGTATTTGTGTGATGAATGGCCATTGTAGAAAACAAACTATTACCTGTTTTATTCTGAAAAACCTTTGAAAAGTCGGTATGGATATATCACGTTAATTTGCCCAGCATTATCAACGGCTTTAGTTAATTGTACGGAAATTTGAATTTCTTGATTTCTTGCTCAAGAATCCATTTTGTTATGACTCATTATTTCTATCTGTTCTCTGTAATCGAATACATCTAACCTCAACTTATCTTTTACAATAGAATATGTTATACGTTTAGAATATATGAATAAAGTACCTATCAGTTTTTTATTATTTATATTACAAATACTGCGAAATTTATTTCGATGCTACTCTTGTATTGGGCAAATAATATAAAAAAAAACGCTCTCATTTTCGTTATTCTAGGTTTAATTTGGAGCGAAATCAAACAACTTTGGGATGTAGGATTAGAAGAATACGTTAGAGATATGTGGAATGTCATCGATTTCATCACGAACTCCTTATACGTAGCAACTGTATCATTAAGAGTTGTTTCAATATACCAGGTAAGACATAATTAGTCAAAAACTCTATCGTTTTATGGGATACCCTGTATTATATTTGAAATAAACTCCATAGAGACCCATTTACATATAAGAACGTATTTAGCCCCCTTCAGAACAAGTAACCAACCACTTTAGTGATTCGATTTGTTTACGAAAGGGCTTTTGGCGTTTCAGGTCCAGCTGAATTCGGATGCGCTGCTGAAAATAGAGGAAAAACGGGAGGATTGGGACGCTTGGGATCCCATGCTTATCTCGGAAGGTCTGTTCTCGGCCGCTAATATATTTAGGTAAGTACGTGAGCAATTATTTACAGAAAACCTATTTATTCAAGATACATTTATCTTGACACGTTCCTGAAATGATTACGGCGTACACGAGACGTGGTCAATTTTTGTTTCAGAGTTGATGTTTTTTTTTTATTTCATAAAACTGATTATAGTCGAGGGAAAAAAGGGCTGTAGTAATTTAATATGCAGAAGGTAGAATATTCACCTAATAATTGACTTAAAACTCTTAAAAATCTGATGAGCACAGTAGGTATGCACAAAGGCGTAACACAAATGCTTTTATATAACATCTTTTTCTTTGTTTTTAAGAAGAAGTAACACTTCTACATATCAGCGGCGATGAGGTTGACATGATACGAGTGAATTCATGTAAGAAGAACTGCCTCTAAACTGGCTTCATTTAGCCATCTATGCATATCCCTTCCAATAGTCGTAATAAAAATCTTGAAGCTTGGCCATGTGATCTTTCAAACGCAGGATAATGTAACGTCATAAATTGCATTACATTCGTAGTTTATACAAGCAAGAGAGATAGATACATAGCTATTTATTAATTTTGGAAGTTTTAAATTAATTTACAGCAGGGTTGGACTGATGTACCAGTAAAATATGTTAGATATAACAAACAGGTTTAGAGTAATTTTTACTGGCACAGCAAATAATAAATAAAGAAAGACTTCTATAACAAAATTCTATGATTTTGAAAATAGTCAAAAAATTAAGGAATATATACTTTTTATAAGTAACACATATTTAAAACCATTTCCCTCGTATAAAATAATAAATCGTCAGTTTATTGCATTTTCTCCATTTCAATCACGGCTTTCGGATGTAAACTTGCATTTTGAAATGATACGGAAGGCATTAAATTTGAGAACATTTATGTTTCAAGCTTCAAGACAATTTTGCGGTTTTATAAGATAATCTCTGTAAAGTTATAACGTTAAAATAATATCTAGAAATGTTTCTTCTGGATTTATACAGATCGTTAAAAGGAATAAACTTTAAAACGGCTGTTTTTCCTTGTAGTTTAGATGTTTAGAATATATAGTGATAATTATAAGAAAATATGAACTTATAACTTGAATATTAAGTAACCTAATTTTCTAAATCAAAAAACAAAGGGGTTTGCACAATTTTACCTCCATTAGTTGCATCAAAAAATCATATTGGTTTATTTTTTTTAGTTCCCTCAAGCTGGTGTACATATTTTCGGTGAATCCTCACCTGGGGCCATTACAGGTATCTCTATCACGGATGGTGATGGATATCATGAAATTTTTCTTCTTGTACGTTTTAGTGCTTTTCGCATTTTCATGTGGTAGGTTGAAAAAATTAATTACATAATATACAAATATAATTATTTTTTTATTATGTCTATTTTTTTAGGACTGAATCAATTACTGTGGTACTACGCCGATTCAGAAAAACAACGATGTTGGCAGGAAACGGGCGACAAGTTGAACCACAATCAAACAGAACCGGACTCTAACGCGTGCACTATTTGGAGAAGATTTTCCAAGTATGATTTTTATGCATTATTAAGATTTATTTTTGTCTAGTGTAGTACCAGCTTTTGCGTAATTTTAAGTGCATTTTCTTCTCTTAGGGGTAGATTATAATATAATATCAATAAAATATAACGTATCTGTAACTAAAAATTATAAAGTTACTTGACTAGTTAGCCAAATTTGGGGCGTATATCACAAACTGGATCGTTTGTGGCTTACGAATTTGCTTATAATTGAAAATAGAATCATTCTGTGTCTGTTTAATCAAAATTTGAATAGGATTAGAGAAATTTCCAATAAATCCATTACTAAATTCGTACATTCGGTGGTGACGGTGTTAACGAACGAAACCCAAACTAATAAGGATGATCTGATTACCATTCTAGCATGTATTAGGGTCCCGAGAAGCTTTAATATAATCTAACGTCCTCAGACTGCAGAGATGCAAGAGCTCAATAACTAATTCAAGACGGTGCGACGATTCCTTCACTTTCAGTGCAGTTACATTTCAAATTTCAACACGAGAAACTAAACAATAAACAATGGTAGAATACGCGTGCTTCATCTTCATCCTCCCATTCGGTGTAATGTGTATATAGTAATTTGATTGCTCAAGGGCAGTGGTAGAGAGTATATACATATATATAGAGGAACGCTTTTCCCTTGTTTCGGGATATTCTAGTTAAATTGATTTATGTCCTCTTATACAGCATGATATTTAAACAACTTAGAAATTTTAGATTTCACTGTTTCTACAATTTATTTTTATTTATATGACTGCTTGTACTGATTGACTTTTCCTGCAGTAACAAATGATTTCTATTTATGGCTAAATTGGTAAATATTAGCGGCAGATAACTTAGGAATATTCAAACTTGTAACTTTTTTCTGTAGTAAACAAAGACACTAACTCCGCATTTGTTATTTTTTAGTCTTTTCGAAACGAGTCAAACCCTCTTTTGGGCAGTTTTCGGCCTAATCGATTTGGAAAGCTTCGAACTACACGAAATTAAAATATTCACTAGATTTTGGGGCATGTTGATGTTCGGGACTTATTCAGTGATCAATATCGTCGTTCTGCTAAATCTGTTGATTGCCATGATGAATCATTCCTATCAGTTGATCTCTGTAAGTATGCTATCTGGTTGCATCTAAAGTATTTAAATATATTTTATGTTTATAAAAATTCAAAGGGAGTAACGTGTATCGAAACAATATCTAGTTTATGAGATAATTAAATATTCACAGCTAACAATTAATCTCCGACAATCTACTGCCAAGGATGTACCGCAAGGAAATTTTGACTACCCTCTCATTCGACATTTTTTTCTAACAATTTATACCTAATAATTTACCTGCTATAATTTGTGGCTAACAGTGGCTTAGCAACGAATTTTTTTTACAGTGAATTGTAATTATTATCCGAGCTAATTAATTCATATTTATTATACAATAATTTACTGCTGCAAAAAATTGTAGTGAAGCAGTGAATTATATTTCACCATAAATGCGTTGACGGTGAATTGTGACTACTCTTCTCTTCAATATTCAATCATTCCGACATTTTCTGCTAACAATTCATGCCCTACAATTCACCTGTGATAATTTGTTGCCAACACTGGCTTAGCAATACATTTTTTCACAGTGAATTGTAATTATTAACCGAACTAAAAATTATTTCATGAGATTATACAATAATTTACTGCTGACAATTCAACGCAAAAAATTGTAGCGATGAATTGTAAGCAGTGAATTTCACTATAAATGCGTTGACGGTGAATTGTGACTACTCTCTTGTTTAATATTTATTCTTTCCGACATTTTCTGTTAATAATTCATACTTTACAATTCACTTGCGATAATTTGTGGCCAATAATGGCTAAGCATTTAATACTTTTACAATGAATTGAAGTTTATATCAAAGCTAAAAATTAATTACTGTTATTATATAGTTCATATCTGACAATTCGTTACAAAAAAGTGTAGCAATGAATTGTGAGCAGTGAATTATATTTAATTAAAAATGTGTTGGCGGTGAATTATAACTACTCTTTTGCTCAATATTCGATCATTGACATTTCTTACTAACAATTCATAATTTTTAATTCACCTGCGATAATGTGTTCCTAAAAATGGCTTAGTATCGATTTTTGTTACACTAAATATCCCACAATTCATTGCAAAAAATTGCAGCGCTGTGAATTATATTTCACTAAAAATGTATTGACGGTGAATTGTGATTACTTTCTATATATTTTTGCCAACAATTTATACCTTAAAATTTACCTGCGACAATTTGGGTACAAAAAACTTGAAATTTAATGATTTAAAGAACATTATTTTCCTATAATTAAGTGTAGCGATGAATTATGAGCAGTGAATTATCATAACTTAAAATTTAACGATTTAAAGAATTGAATTTCTACATTTCCTGATGGGATGGGAAGGGTGTTAATATTGATTAATTCGAGTGAATCATGTTGTATTTTTCTTTAGGAACGAGCCGATACAGAGTGGAAATTCGCGCGCAGTAAATTATGGATTAGCTACTTCGAAGAGGGTGGTACCGTACCGGTACCGTTTAATATCATCCCCACTCCTAAAAGTCTTTGGTACGTCATCTGTTGGGTGCAGAAAAAGTTTTGCGGGCATTCCAGAGCTGCTAAGAAGGAGCACATGAGAACGATAAGGGTATGTTTTAACGATTTTCACTTTTTTTAGGATTAATCTGTATGGTAATTTTTTTTAATTGAAGAATTTTATACAGTTTTGATCATTCTATGATAAGGTAGTTTTGTGCAAACAAATTTTACTTTGATCGGTTAAGATTACTGTCTTATTTTATTCCAAAGGTTATACCAGTGGTCTTCTTATACATGAAATAAAAAAAATATTTTCCTTTTTACCATATAGGTATTTTAAATTAAGCATTTATCAAATGCAGAGCAAGCAAAAATATTAAATATCTGGGTATGCAAAAATTGGCCATTTCAACGGATATGAACCAACAAAGTTTGTTCATTTGTTCGACAAACACAAAGTGTCCCTTTGTATGTTCCCGGTTCCCGACTCGACGATGAAAATCACGTACACTTTATTTCGACGTCAAACAAGACGTTTGCACGTTGAATTTCTAATGAAAGTTTTGATGTAACAAACCCCAGGCATTTGTCTGGACGTTTCTATTACGTAGACACATGTGTGTTTGGTTTCGGTTAATAAAACGTTTGTGTCCGACAAGCGGTAGAATAATATCTCGTCCTTTCGTCCTTGTGACCGAACTTAATAAATTGTGAGTCCCATTTTGCATAATGGCATATATTGACGAAGATAATTGAGTACAAGTGAAAAGTTGATGTATAGAATACGTTCAGAATCCATTTAGTTTATTTTATTGTTTTAAAATTTGTGAAGCCGATCCTTTCTCGCTTTCACATACACAAACATTGTGAGCAAGAAGTTATTGTTTTAATGCATTCTATTTTGTCGACATTTTCAGTATGTAGATATCTCATTATATTCCAAATGTCGATTTAATTTACATAAATTTAAATTCCATAATAAACAAGCTTTCCAAGGGCCACCGAAAATTAAAACCATTTCCAACCAACAGTCTCTCGTAATTTATTTAATATCTTTATTATGTTTCAGCGGAAAGTGAAACAAGCAAACGAACGAGACTTCAGATATCAGGTAAATGCTTAAACCTTATTTTATACAAAGCTTTTGAAAAATTACCCCACTTTTCATTCGGTTTTATACCGCACCAAATTATCCTAATTGGAGTGCGATCCTAAATGAAATACGCAAAAATACAAGAGAAAAATTGTGTGAAATTACTTACATTTGAGCAATTTAGATTTATTGAAACAGTTAAAAAATTAAATCTGAAAAGTATGGAAAAAACTGTAATGAAACAATTTTTCAATATCGTTTTAATAATGTATTTTAAGTTATACAGCACCAGAAATTTTTGACCTCTGAAATATGTTGTATCTCTATCTGGTGCTACCTATGTCCTTTTAACGCCGTATAAAATTGTTGCTGGAGATATTAAGTGGTGAAATAAAGTCAAAAAAACTTTAAATTAAGTGTAAAGGTTAAAGAAAAGGTCCTTTATTTCTCACAAGTCAATTTATTGGCGACCGGTTTCGAAGTTGTCACTTCATCATCAGGCACACCTAAATGGAATGTCAAGGAGTCAGTTGTAATAAAAACAATTATAAAAGCATGAACGGACTTTAACATATACAAAATAACAGAAAAAACACAAAAGAAAGTTAAACAATAACCTCGACTAACCTTGACTAATTCCATAAAGGAAGCGCTACAAAAAGTTTAACAGAACGAGTTAAAAAAGTCATGTGTAATAAGTATTTTTTTAAAAAAAATTTTAATGTAGGTTAGGTTAAACCACCAGATGTCTTTTTGAATAAAATAATTAATTAAAACACATTTAAGACAATTATTAACTAAACAACACAAAATAGTTTTACAAGCACAAACAGTTTAAAAATTTTTGAAGGATATAATGTTAATTACTGAAAGTAAAAAGTAAAAAGTAAAAATTATCAGATTTTTAACGAATCAATGCAGTAAACTGTAAATTTTAAATTAGCGGATAAATAGTGTACTAACGGAGGTGTTATTTACTGAAAGTGAGTATAGGTGGCGGTGACAAAATTTATTGAAGGTAAAATATATTAAACTGAGAATGAGAAAGCAAAAAAATTTTATACTAACAAGAAAATTAGAACACTAAACAAGAAAATATGAAAATTCATATGTAAAAGGAAAATTTGAAGCAGATAATCAAAAGAAAATTACTGTTACAGGAAACGGAAACTAGGTTGACAGTACGAATGTCAAAAAAGAAAAGTCAAATTTTGGCGTATGACAACCACGTGGGAGAATTTGAATAAGCTAAAAAAAATTTAATAAGATGCGAATGGGCAAAAATTAATGGAAAGAAAATCTAAATTGGGAGAGTTAATTGTGGTAAGTAACTGACTGAAGATCAAATGAGTGGGGGTAAAAGTCTGAAAATAATTTAAATAAAACTATTTTGTGTTTAGTTAATAATTGTCTTAAATGTGTTTTAATTAATTATTTTATTCAAAAAGACATCTGGTGGTTTAACCTAACCTACATTAAAATTTTTTTTTTAAAAAATACTTATTACACATGACTTTTTTAACTCGTTCTGTTAAACTTTTTGTAGCGCTTCCTTTATGGAATTAGTCAAGGTGAGTCGAGGTTATTGTTTAACTTTCTTTTGTGTTTTTTCTGTTATTTTGTATATGTTAAAGTCCGTTCATGCTTTTATAATTGTTTTTATTACAACTGACTCCTTGACATTCCATTTAGGTGTGCCTGATGATGAAGTGACAACTTCGAAACCGGTCGCCAATAAATTGACTTGTGAGAAATAAAGGACCTTTTCTTTAACCTTTACACTTAATCCCTACTACTCACATATGGCTACCCTCACTCCAAAACTTTATATTATTTATTTTTACATCGAATGAGTGATTCAACATATTTCAGACATTATAAAATTTAAATTTAAACTCTATTTTCAAGACCATCCTGTATACAGTGTCGGCTACTAAACGTTTTCCAATACGGTTACAACAGAGAGTATTAGAACAAGTTGGAAACGAATAACATCAGCATTTATATGCGTTGCAACGTTGGGCCCAACGCATTCGATTACAAATATTTACGAGATCATTTTTTAAAGAATAATGTTTATTTAATAAGGTTAATTTTCTATTTAAAGTTTTTTTTTTTAATTTAAAAAATATTAGAAACATATTTTGTCGAAAAACGGTTCATTTTAACAAAAAATATTGATAACCCAAAGCCAGTTCCACTTGTTTTTTATATTCCTAAAAAAATATTGTAATATCTTAAAAATTGTTTATTTTATTACTAAAACTGAATACCCATATACGAGGTCTGATCAAAAAATTACCGTTATTTTCAAATTTCGTGAGTTACGTATGTTCGATTTTGGCATTTTTTTTCTGTTATGTTGGTACACATATCTGTTATATATGTTGGCAATATCAGCTATTTTGGATTGTCAGTTTGTTTTTGACAGATAAAAAGGTTAGTCGTGTTTTGGTGTGCTCTTCGATTTTTTACTATTCGAAAAAATGGATCAAAGGAACTGTATTAAGTTTTGTGTAAAAAATGAAATTAAATGCGCAAGGACATTTGAAATGTTGACTGTGGCGTTTTGCGAGTCTACTATGAGCAGAACGCAAGTTCACTATCAGAGAGGTTGCTGATGATGTTGGCATATCGCTTGGCTCATGCCAAGCAATTTTTACGGATGTTTTAGGCATAAAACGTGCGGCAGCGAAGATTGTTCCAAAATTGCTAAATTTTGAGCAAAAACAACGTCGCATGGACATCGCTCAGGAGCTGTTGAACATCGTCAACGACGATCCAGATTTCCTCAAAAAGGTCATGGGTGTATGGCTATGACCTTGAAACTAAAGCTTAATCATCCCAATGGAAGCGTCCAGAAGAGCCAAGACCGAAAAAAGCACGTCAAGTTCGGTCAAATGTGAAGGTTTTGCTTACTGTTTTCTTTGACTGCAATGGCGTGATGCATCATGAATTCTTGCTATAAGGTCGTACGGTCAATAAAGAATACTATCTTGAAGTTATGCGCCGTTTGCGCGAAGCAATTCGTCAGAAACGCACAGAATTGTGGAAAAAACAATCATGGATTTTGCACCATGATTAGAGATGCATCAAATCAAACTAGTTTGATTTGACAAGTCAAGTTTGATTTGACTTGAAAAATCAATTTTTTTTATAAAAGAGTTTGATTTGATTTGAAAATCAATTCGGAAGCTTGATTTGAAATCAAACTTTTTCAAACTGTTTGAAATAGTTTGAAATACGAAAAGTGCTACGTACCGCCACCGGCCGTACCGCATTTTTAATTTCTCAAGGTTACGCAATGAGACGTAGCAGGGATACAGTATTCCGGCCAGTTATCTCTGATCCCGGCTGACGAGACGTCGTCGTAAGATTATTTGTTTCAGTTTTATATTTTGCTAAGCGCCGGAGGCACAAAACACAGCCAAAGGCTTACGCTGGAAACCTATCTCTTAGGAAACAAATACTAATGAGTGATTTGGAAATGTCTGAGCCACATACTTTGATTACTATACGGGGCAAGAGAGAGGTCCGACACGCCCAACATAGGGCGCGGCCATTTTGAACCCTATGACACAGTTTATAGCTAAAGAATCAGATCGCTCACTCTGTGTCGGCACTTTTTATCTCAATGTTACAGTTTATACACTGCGCAACTCAGATAATACAATATATGACAACCGCCTATAATAAAACAGCAGTCTTCTGTGTATCCTGAATTTGTATACCTGGAGTGGATGTTATTATGGAACTTTCAACTGGTCCGAGTGAGCTAACTGATTCTCTAGCAATAAACTGTGACTCTAAAAATAATATTCATTGACACTGACAGCAGCAAGCAAAATACCAGGTGCGTTTTAATCATCCGCTTCTGCTTCCGGAATTGTCGGTTCAGTCGTTCTAACCTGTAAGATTAAAACAAGAAAACAGACAATTCCGAAGCAGAAGCGGATGATTAAGACGCACCTATTAAAAATATTGCGCCAAGATGTAGGCAACACGTAATAAGGGTTCAAAATGGCGAAGTTTTCTATCTCCTTTTAAAAGGCACTCAGAAAGCTGCGCAGTGCGACCATTCAACGTATAGTAAAAAAAATCAAAGTATGTATCTGAGCCTGAACCATTTCAATCCAGCGGTTCAGAATTTATCCCTGATGAAAATGAATATGATTCTGAAGCTATTCATAAATGCAAAGCGCTTTCGACATTGTGCCATCATCAGTGCTTATTGTCCACAAACAAGCATATCCACCAAGTTCTTAGTCATCCTCGCTCCCAAAATTAAATATTTCTGGAGATTCACAACTTGCTAAATCATAATTATTTTCAAATTTAAATTGATTTATACATTCATTTTAATATTGTTTAACAGACTGTTTCAATGTGACAGTGTTGACAAGCGACACTTAAAGACGTTGAAATGTCGCTTGTCACAACTGTCACATTGAAACAGTCGGTTAAACAATATTAAAATGAATGTATAAATCAATTTAAATTTGAAAATATTACCAATAGTAATAATTATGATTTAGCAAGTTGTGAATCTCCAGAAATATTTAATTTTGGGAGCAAGGATGATTAAGAATTTGGTGGATATGCTTGTTTGTGAAGAATACGCCCTGATGATGGCACAATGCCAAAAGCGCTTTGCATTTATTAATTAAAAAGTTTTGCACGAAATACAAGTCTTTCCTTTTGAATCTAAACTACGTGCACACAGCTATCAACCTTTTTTGGTTATTTTCATTTTTTATATTCATACTAATAAAATACTTGCAAACCATAGCGATTTAATTATTCAAACTTTCAAACTAGTTTGATCAAAGGTTTGATATTTCAAACTTTAAAATTTTATGGTTTGATTTGATTTGATTCACAGCATTGCTAGGTTTGATTTGAGTTTGATTTGAATTCAAATCAAATTCAAGTCAAACTCTTAAAATCAAATCAAACTCATGCATCTCTAACCATGATAACGCACCAGCTCACACATCGATGCTTGTGCGTGAGTTTTTGGCCAAAAACAAAACCGTTATCATGCCTCAACCACCGTATTCACCGGACTTGGCCCCCGCTGACTTTTTCCTCTTCCCAAAACTGAAGACACCGATGAAAGGAAAGCGTTTTGCTACGATTGAGGAGATAAAAGAAAAATCGAAACAGGAGCTGTTGGCGATACCAAAAAGCGCGTTTCAGAAGTGTTTCGAGGATTGGAAAAAACGCTGGCATAAGTGTATTATATCTGAGGGAGATTACTTTGAAGGGGACAAGATAGTTATTGAGGAATAATTAAATACTTTTTGAAAAAAATTGAAAATAATGGTTATTTTTTGATCAGACCTCGTACATACAAATTTCTTGCTATTGTCAGCGATGCAATAACTCTTAACAAAAGGATTCGACGTTATTTTCGGTCTTCATTGCCTCGATCGTAAACAGAATCAGAACACACATGCCAGACAATAAAGGTTATTTTGTTGTTTGTCAGGGCATTATGCGAAATTTGGTTAGAAGATACGTGACGGTGGAACAAAGGAAGGCGGAGAATCAAGGCGTCACCGAGGACGACGTCAACGAAATCAAACAGGACATTTCGGCCTTTCGTTTCGAACTTATCGAGATCCTGAAAAACTCCGGCATGAATACGTCGACAGCACACAGCGTTATGGGTAAGTTGGACTTTATTGTTTTGAATTGTAAAGTTTCTTTAAATTATTTTCTGGTAAGTAAATAGTAACATGTTTATAGAAGAAACAAAAATAAATAGATACATGTAATAAAGGAAGTTAACATCAGTTCCTGTAGAATTTATTAGTTGAAACATTTCAAAACCAGCTAAGTTGGAACAGAATTGGTATCTTTAACTGTGTTGAGATCTTCTTCCGTTGTTTCAGTTTGAGCCACAGCTGACATTTATAAATATTTGTCGGAAACACCTCTAAATGTACATATATTAAGATACCTAGCTCATGAAATTATTTACACATTTTTATTTACGTTTCGTAATATCTATCTTATTTAGAAAACATTAAATTAATGACAAAACAAACTTAAATTTCCCGGTTTATATTTTACGAAAGTTTGTTGTTTATGTAACGCAAAAAATTTTAGCAGGAAATGCAGTCGTTCATGCAGGAAGAAAAACTTTCTGTTTAGAATTCGCTTCGCTTACATAACTTTTGATATGTACCATAAATATTATCCAGGGCAAAGCTGAAAAGTAAAAATATGTTGCAAACAACTATATGTAGGGACAAATAGGTTTTTAAAATACTTTTAGTATAATTACCAACTACTTTAAAATGTTTTGTTTCATTCTACACGTTTTTTATTCAATTCTTTACATATTATGACACGTTATTAACATTTTACTTTGTGATATATTCACCAGGTACTGGTGGTAAGAAAAATAGGCAAAAAGAACGCCGCCTAATGAAAGGCTTCAACATAGCTCCTCAACCTTCGACGACGTCATCACTACCGCCAGTCGCCGAATTCATAGCATCTCTTCAACAGCAACAACACGGAAGCGTAGACTCATCCCATCATCATCACCACCACCACCACGATTTCTTTGGATCTACTTTATCAGGAATCTTCAGCAACCCTCCCAGGAAGCTGCATATGCACAGCAGTACTGTTTCATCGTCCCAAGGTAGCATCAATGAAGGAAACAACCATCATCACAAGAGGTAATTGTGGTAATTTCCCAAGTGAAGAGTAAAATTACAAAGAAAGAAATACACAATGAAATAAGAAGAGGCTGCATCAGATTCTCTGTATCTGTAACGTGTGGAGGGTGCAGGGCCGGGACAAATTACCGGGGCCCGGACTCAAATGGGGGCCCGGCAACTAGATTTTTTTGTCTTGTTGTAGTGTATGAGAAATTCGACAGAAGACAATAAGGGAGGTTTTTGGTTGGGGAGGTTTTTTTTTTATAGAAAAGTCAATTTAAGTAGAGGAGGAAAAATTTTTGTTTGAAGAGCTTTTTTTGTCACGGGGCCCGATCTAGAGAATTGTCCTGGGGCCCGGCCTGGCTCTCGGCGGCCCTAGGAGGGTGGGTTACCCCCACGGCACTTAGGCCTCATTATGCCCATTGTGCATCCTCCTAAGATGATAGGCACTTCCTAGCTCGTGAGCCAGCCTACAGATTTTTGACAACGTCGCCAAGAGGTGCTTCTCTTATATCGGCCGGTGTTAGCCGATACTCGCCGAACACAAATCTTCTTATAAATGAGAGCGTCTGGCAATCGTAAAGGATATGCTCGATGGTCTCATCTTCTTGTTCGCACCCTCTGCAAAGTGCGGATTCTGACAGCCCCATGATATGGAGATGCTTCCGTACTTGGCCATGACCAGTCAGAATGCCTGTGACCAGACGCAGATTCTGTCTAGTCATAGTCAAGTATTTGTTTGCTGCAGTGTTGTCAGGATAACTTAAAAGCTCCCTGGCAACTCTGCAGTTTCTTGTTTCATCCTATCTTTCATTGAATTTTCCAAGGGAATGTTCTTTAATTAGGTCTGTCACTACCGATTTTGTCAGGCCAATAGAAGGGCCAGGTCCAAAAAGTATTTGGTTGGCTGCTTTCTTGGCTGCTGAATCGGCAAGACGGTTACCTTTCGATGTGGAGTGACCTTTGATCCATCTTAAGGTGACCACATTGTTGATGGATACTTCGGCCAAAGCTTCATGACATTCTAGTACTAACCCTGAATAAATTCTTGGTCTGTTCAGGGTGAGTAGTGCTTGTCTGCTATCTGTATAGATGAGCATGTTCCTTCCAGTGATATTATTTCTGGTTATTTCTTTTGCTGCTATGAGAATCCCCGTTAGCTCTGTTTGAACTACACTGCTCACAGCCCATTTTATGTTTAGGTTTAAGAATCTGGAGTATATTCCGCATCCTGAGCCTGTTTTGTTTTAGAACCGTCGGTGTAGATATGAATCGTACCTGACACTTCTGGCTCTTTATACTTTATACTTTATATGGCTTATGGAAGATATATCTCGCCACGTTCGCTTGAAGCAGTGGGAGCGTATCGAGCGCCTCCTGTCAAAAGTGACGTCTCGTCTCAGCAGATCCTACATCAAGTTCTATTCCAACCGTGCGGAGGCCCTTTCATTGTCGTCAGAGCAACCTTCTTGATGTAAATATCAAGGGGAGTGAGACTAAGAATGACTTGCATCGCTCTGGTTGGTGTTGTTTTCATGGCTCCTGTTATGTTGAGACATGCTGTTCTTTGAATTTATTTTAGTATACGGATAGCTGTTAATTTTTGGGTTTTCGGTACCCAAACAACTGCACCGTATGTTAGCATAGGTCTTATGATAGCTGTGTAAGTCCATGCGATGACTCTGGGGGCTGCATCAGATTTTCTTTATAATTATAATTCTTAGAATCAAAGAAAGAAAGCAAAGAAGAATAGGAAATAAGGGGATGGTTTTTATGATATATAAATTGTTAGATATTCAAAAAATGCAACCTTAAGTGGTCGCTGTCGTGGTATTCGACCGGTTAAACAAAATGTAAAATAATTACATAATTTAAGGCAAATGTTGGAATCAAAATGAATATTTTGTATTTCTTTCATTGTTACTACTTCGATCACATTTAAGAAAATGGAAAACCTTTTAGAGAAGTAAAAATAAGATTAACAGAATTTTGAATCGTGTTTAGGTTAAATCTAAAACGAAGTCACTCGCATAAACGACGGTGGGGTACATTGATAGAGGCCGCCAAAACGGGAAAAGTTTCCAGATTAATCGGCAGATCCCGATCCGAGGATTCCGTTTGCAACAGCTGTCGGGAGAACGGAACAAATCATTCCCATAGTCATAGTAACAGCCCGGCGTCTGATGATAACAGGTACGAAACGTTTAGTACAGTTCGTACGTCACCAAGCTTAGTACACGTTTTTTTGCTCAGCTTACTTTTTTGTTCTATTTCGCTCCAAATGTAAAGCGGTAAGTACTTTCAACCTACGACTGTACCCCACTGATTAAATTATATAATTTTTTTCTTACACCGTTAAACCTATAAAGATCCCAATTTATCCCTTGTGTGTTGAAAAATTGTATTTAGCTTCATTTTAGCAAATCCTTTACTCACCATAATTCCGCATTTAAACTTGTAGAATTCTTACAGCCGTATGCATAGTCGATCGCCAGCGACTCGCCAGCGATTCGCTGGCGATCCGCCGGCGAAAGCCCAAAAAGCTGGCGGCTCGCCGGAGATTGTCACCGGAATGTCATTTCACGAAAGTTTTCATGTTCTTTTATAGGGAATATCACCGGTATCTCTCGCATTTTATTCATGATTCATTTCTTAAAACTCAAAAAGTAATGAACGAATATCAAATTTTTCCCTATAAAAGAACATGAAAACTTTCGTGAAATGACATTCTGGTGACAATCTCCGGCTAGCCGCCAGCTTTTTGGGCTTTCGCCGGCGGATCGCCAGCGAATCGCTGGCGAGTCGCTGGCGAGTCGCTGGCGAGTCGCTGGCGATCGACTATGCATACGGCTGTTAGTCTAACTTAATTATAATTATCAAAATGTTTAACAGATCCATTAGTCTGTCAGATTCAAACCCTAGTCTTGATGTAGTCGATCATCCAGAAAAGGAATTACATGGAATCGCGCAGGGATTGGCTTTACTAAAGAAGAAAAGGAAAAAATTTTCGGCTTCAAGAAATACGAGTCCTCTAGTGCCTCCTGCCAACCCGACGGATCACAATCATCGGAAGATAGCTCCTCCTAAGAAGGTAACTGTACCTTATCTATTACTAATACATTGCAAATATGTCATTTTTGTTAAAGTTTCAACAAGTCCTTAAACGAGCAGCTAGTGTCCCGACCAGAGTCCCAGAGGAAGGCCGTTTAGTACCTAGGCACGAAAAAACGCAATCGCAGCAAGACTCCATGGAGATTCCTGCTACGGTACCGTCCAATTTAACGCCATCTACTACTGAAGAGAGCGTAAACACCATGGGGCCAACTATAAGACCCAGCGGGACTTCCCGGGAACCACTGCTGTTTAATTCTTCCTCTAGTAATCCAACCGGTTCTTCCCAGACGCCAGACGATGAGTACCGACCTCCGGCTGGGTGCCAGAATCAGTCGCATCCCAAGTTAACTGGGGTCATACCGGTTAGCGGTCATAACGGACCGACTACAGGGTGGTTGTAGTAAATTATCTGTTTAATACACAAGGAAATTAATTTTAGGAAAGAAAGCTGGATGAAAATTGTAGCAACGCTTTAAAGTAAGATCGATGCAAAGGAGAGTATGGAAATGTTTAGCAGGAGTCCCGTAACGAGAGCAGCAATAAACTTTTCAACAAGTACTATTTTTTCCACGACCATAAACACTTTAGTTCAATTTAACTAAAGTAAGCTTCTATTAATGTTTTCTTTAAAAGAAATACATTTATATTGATTTTTCCCATATACTTTTTCTAAAAAGTGTTTTAACTGCTGAAAATTTCCTACACCGTTATTTTTTATTTCAAGCTTGCTATAGTTTTCATCAAGTTACCTAGTAATTTTAAAACAATGAAACGTTCCACTAAAACGATATACTCGAATAGGATCATAAGTATGAGTTTTAATATTATTAATATTACAAAAGAAATTTTTGTACACTATTAGTTGTATTTATAATATATTTTTTATATTGTATATTACTTTTGTATGTTTTAATTCATTTTTCTTTAATAATGTTAATAGGAATGACCGTGTTAACAAAACACAAAACAATACCCTTGTCTGTTTCAGTATAATTGTTGCTTTCCCCGGACAAGCTCAGCTTTTGGGGTTAAAATTCACTAGTAAGGGGGTGAATTAGGGAGAGTATTATTATTATTATTATTATATCGATGAGTAAGAATAAAGCCTGTGATTGTCAAAAGAATTTGACAGTTTTTTATGTTTGGCAGCTAATTGGCATTTTAAAAAGGTTGTTGGAGCTTAACCTAACTTTTCTGATATTTTATTAGTTCTTTTTACAGTTCAATGAACGTTTTTTAATATTTGTCGGGCGTTTTTGATGAATGACAGACTTATATTACGTTTATCAATAATTTTGACAATAGACAGAAGTTTCACATGCATTGACATGACATTTGACAGATGTTTTTTACTTTTGAAAATGTTTCTGACTTTATATATGTCATTTTAAAAACTTTTTAAGATTTAACCATACATTTTTGATAGTTTCACAACATACATTTTATGCTTTTGTAAAAGTTTTTAATACTCGACTTCTGTTTTTGATATTTGATAGACCTTACTAACGTTTCAACATTATTTTTTATCCAAATACATAGATTAATAACTTGGCATTTGTCAGATATGTCAACGAACGTTGTTGAATCTTAATTTTAAGAATATTATCGTAGATGACAGTTTTAACATTGTTTTTGTTGACACGTTCATTTACTATATTTTATATTTCGTAAATGAATAATGTGCGATGATTATTAAATATTGATTTCTTGTCTCAATGGTGTGCCTTTACGAACTTTACGGCTTAAAATGAAATAAATTATGTAAAAGTAAATGTGTAAGTCCGCTATATGTACCCGAAAAGACCATTAGATTTTAGAATTAAATAAAATATTTACGAATTATTAGAAACAAATATTTTAAATAGGATCAACAATAAATAAAAAAATGTTAATAAAAATCAAAAAGGAAAGTTTGTCGTATTTCAGAAGTGACTTTTTAGGGATTAATGTTTATATCATCTACAAGTATCAAAAGTTCCTTAAAATGCTTTATTTATATCATCATTTACTGCGTCTGACTTTAGCTCCCAAAGAAATTACTTTTTTGTAAATATCTCCTCACAGGAAGGTACATATCGATCAAGACTACAATATAAAGTTATTTCCACTTATACAGGGTGTTCCAAAAAATAAATAGAACCGCTCATAATAGTACCTTTTGAAAACGAATTAAGAAACATTTAAAATGTCTATATTTCTAAATTCATACTAAATCTTTTATATATACTCTTTTTTGAAATTTTCCGTTACGGTCGATTTTAGAAAAATAATTTCCGATCGTGTATAATTTGATAGATTTCAGTTTTATTATTCTATTACAATATTTTCTTTAAAATGACTGTCATAGCCAAAAAACTATTTATTAGTTATAAATAACAAGGTTCCTCCACCATAATTTTAAATGAAAAAGCGCATACACCATAATTTTAAATATCCCTGCGTTATCATCAAATATTTTTTGCGCTTCTGCCAAAATTTTAAATATCATTATTTCGTCGATTTTTGTTTCAAGTATACTTGAATAGTTATATTTTGTACAGATGTCTTTAAGCTAAAATGTTAATATTTAGAGGTATGACACAGCTTGTGTGTAGTGATGATACAAAAACACACATTTTTCCACATATCGTATCACTATTTTGTACAATTTGGATGTAGCTATTTATGTGTGGTTGATTTTAATTATATTTGTTGAAATCCCTTTAGCTAACTTTATTGCTGTTGCCTTCTTAAATGGCTTACATAGTTTTAATAGTGTACCATTTAAAAAACATTATTTTGATACTCAAGCCTTTTTAAAACACCCTCTATAAGTGACAATCATTTTATTACTGTGCTGTGACGTGCAGTGCGATTCTGATTAGTTGTTACGTTACGTCCCGTTTCTCTACCTACCGTTCGACAGGCACATCGGGTACCCTTTTCGGTACCGTTTAAAATTTGATTCTAATCATCTCTCGAGTAACGGCTACGAAAACTACGATAACGCATGGTGCAGCATGGTTTGTTTTGAAGGTTTAATTTAGAAAATATACCAGAGGTATGGCTTATTGAGTTTTTAGAATTAATAAAATAAGAAATAATAGGTATTGTACCTAAATAGATATTCTAATGCTTTATTGTCAGTGTTCCAGTAGTCAATGTTTTATATGATTGGTATTACATCTATATCTTGAAGTATTTTTGTCCTCATTTTTGAGTGCCTGGCATTTTATATTTCTGAACTTTAAACATTTCTTATTTATATTATTCCATAACTGTTTGTATTATAAATTGAGCCTATTCTGTATATATTCAGTATTAAATAAAAAAAAAATTATACAAATAATAAATTATATTTCCTAAATAAATTAATGTATGCTGTATTTGGTTTTCTTCTGTAATATTAGGAAAAAATATTGTTTTTGAGTTTACTAATTTTTTTATAATGTGGTTAAAATAAAACATAACTCCTACAAAAAAAAATACAATGAGGAATAATTAAAAATATGCCACTTGCAAAATGTTCGTGTTCACACATTATATTTAAAATTGTAGACAAATGTTCTGGATTATTTTAAAAACTCATTTTTTTAATTTCAACACAAAATATCAAAATAAAGCATTTCTTAACCATACTTTTACTAATTTCACTCAAGTTACGCTACCTCTTTAGGTCCCAAGTGAATCTGACAGCTATACTCGAGACATCTGGAACGTAAGTTGGAATTAGAATCGCTCAAATTGTAAACTCGGGACATCACATCCCGAAAACGTCAATCAGAATCGGGTAGCTGTATCGACATAAATTCTGTACATTCTGGATGTAGCCATTTATATGCAGTTGGTTTTTAACTACATTTGTTTAAATTCCTCTAGCTTTCTTTATTTCTGTTGTCTTAATAAATGAATTACCGAGTTTTAATATAGTATGTACCATATGAGATACCCTGCATTAGTAAAAATTATTTTATTACAATGTTGTGGCCTCTATCGAAAATATTTTCAAAAAAGAAATTAATTTGAGACCTACAGTTTGGCGTGCTAGTTTCAATATAAGTTTGAAATGTTATTTCTAGTCAAATGCCGGCCCTGTATAAATAAATAGAGATTTACTTTAAAAAATGTTATTATTTTAATAATTAAACAATTATTTTTATTTTTTTCGTGTTTTTATTTTTACTTTTATAAGAATTCTATTAAGCTAACAACTCCAGGTATAGCCATGCAATGATAGATATTTAAATAAATTATAAATCAAATAAGGTAACATACCTGAAGAGGTTTCGTAGTTTTTGATGTACAAAATAACCAATTGTCAACACAATAAATAGGATAAATTGTACTATAGGAACCATCTTATATCAAAAATATCCTCATATGATATAATGATAAATGTAAAAACTTTCTGACATTGGAATTGGATCATAGCATCAGTCCAATCCACAAAGAAAGACTTCTTTCTTCGGAATTGGATAGATGAGCTATTATGCTAGTACAAAGAAACAGAATATTACATCTTACAAAATATTACGAGAGACTACTACTCTGGCTATGTGTCACGACATATATTGAATTAAATCCAGAAGAAAACAGCAACAATATGCTCCATAATATAAAGTTGACTTTTGGAATACGACATAAATGTTTGAAAGTGTGGTGCAAAGATTACAGACTATTTATTTAAATAATTAAAAAAGTCTTACAAAATCTTATAAAGCGATAAACAGCATTTTGGATCTAGAATAAAGGATTCCATTTTAAAAAATGATTTAACGTTATAAATTTGTATCTAAGCTTCCAGAAGCTGTTTATATTTTTTGGAATTGTTTTAACTATTAAAGATACATCGAATTTTTTTTTAAAAATATGAATTACTTAATTTTAATCAAACCAACCTATTCTACATGAAAGAAAAAAATCTTGGTATGTGATTTTTGAATCACACTTTATATTTTTATTTAAAGCTCTAAAAAAACGTTTAAATATTGTATCTGTATATTATCTAAAATATCACTAGGGAGTAGATATCCAATTTATAAATATGATAAAATCAAAGACCAGTCTTTAATATATTTGTTGTTAAACTTCTTAATTTTTAGATTATTATTGTAAAATTATATATCAAAATTGTAGTAAAAAATAAAACAAAAACACGCCTTTTTACTATATTATAGAATATTATAATTAATAATGATTAATATTATTGAAATATTTAAAATTTTTTGAATAGTCGAATAAAGCCAGATGGGATTTGACTCAACCCAATATACTGAGAAATTTATAACCCAATAAAGGCTGACACATTAATCTTTTGTTCTACAATTTTTGATACTACATCCAATTATTGTTAAAAAACTTTTAATATTGAGGTGGGTTTTCAATGGCTAATACCTGTGATAACTAAGTACTTTAGAGAATACAGGAATTGGAACGAAAAAGTAGAAATCGAAAACAGAAGATAATTTTCTTGTATTTAAATAAAGTGGGTTCCACGTGTAAACTTACTATTAGTGGGGGCTTAGATTTTTTTAGATATTGAAGTCAACAAGGGTAAAAACATAAGTAGGTACTATGTACCGCAAATGTAATTCAAAGAAGTATTCGTTTATTGATACGGGTTTAAAAGAATTTGATATTGGCTGAAACGATTTTTTTGAAGTAAAACTCCAGTCACTCAAAAATATGGTTTAAAAGTTTGAGTCTTGGCCCATCTGGAAAACGCTAGTTATGCATCTAAACTTTTCAATATATTTATTTTTATTTCATTTTGTCAAATAATCTATGTAAGTTGTACGTAATCATATCAAAAAAGTGCATTTTTGAAGAAGCAATGAAATTAAGCTACCTTTTTTTTGAGACTATATAATAAAATAATACTCTGCTTAAATTAGGTGTCCTAAACTAAAAAATATTGTTTAAAAAGAGAAAGATATATATGTATATACTATATATATTTTGCTGATTTAGCATAGTAAATCACCGAACAAGGAATGGAACTAATTTCCTACTAGCATGATACTGGTGTAAATCATACGAGTAGGAAATAAGGTTTTCTTGTCAGTTAAACACTATACTTTTACTATGGCCATTACATGTTGCTACCCATTTTATAATAGTTTTGTAGATTCATATTTCGGTTGTTTATCGAGCCATCTTCAGTTATTGAAATTTCTGTTGCATAACCTCAAAATATTTAAAAAATTGGATGCACGAAGAGAAAGAATCAAGTCAGGTTCCTAATAATAAATGTCATTCGCACAAAATTAATTACCGGGGTAATTAAAAATTCAGCAATTAGATGGTTCTTATGAAAAATACATTTTTTAAATTGTAGTAATATATTTTAAAAGTTTACAAATAGTATACATTATGTTATGTTGTTTTCTTTTTTAAATGTAACTAATAATATGTTAAAATTTCTAATTTAACATCTCATTTTTACATTTATGTAAAACGAAAACAACAATTTCCTTCGTTGAAATATAAAACCTAGTTTGGACACCTAATTCAGTACCTTTTTGTTCCATTATTGAAAATATAAAAAATAAACAACTTAGGCTTAAATTAGTTATATAAAAAATTGTAAGAATACGACTTTATCTGCAAATAATGTAGCATTTTTTAAGAAATGATGAATAGTTAATAAGTATAGGCGAACAAAAAGTTATTTAATAAAAAAACTAAATACCTTTTAAAAAATTACTGATAGAAAACTATTTATTGATCCATCTGTAACTACTTACTGTTGTAATCTATTAAATTTAAAAGACCACCAGAACTTATCAGTTAAGGATAAAATTGTTATTGGATTTAACTATACATTTTTGGAAATAAAACCACTTAATAAAACCATATCGTATTTATTTTATCTTTTATTATTGCAGGTACATCTTGCTTGAAATTAATTTTTAAAAATTGTAGTAATATGCTTCACCATGTGTAAAATAATCACCAAAATATTGTAATTATATATAAATTTATTTTAAACCTGCAAACCTGTGATTAAAACATTGATCATTTTTTTGAAACTACTTGTATTTCATCGAATTTACTAAATTAAGAAGGCGTATCTCATACAGTTTTATAAATTTCTTCATTTTGCTTTGAAATTTCACTCTATCACTGCATCATAAACCAAACAAATATTTTTTAAATAGTTTATTTCAAAATATATAATTATAACTAGTTATACATAGTAAACCGTAACATAAATTACAGGTTTTCTCTTCTTAATTTTTCACAAAATAAAAAATTACATATTTTATCTTTAACCACAGCGACATTGTATTATAGCTTATCTTGCACACCGCCTGCCTCGCATTGGTCCAAACACTCAGAGATTTAATCAGAGATTTAGCATTCAAAGATAAAACTAATTAGGATTAATTATATTTCTCATTATTTATGGTCCATTTTCTACGTTGATTTCACGGCCTTATGGCGGCCAGTTACCGCTGACGATGCCACGATTCCAATAGCAGACTTTTTGATTTTCTTCTTCTTCGCCAATTTATCTTTCATTTTCGATGGACTTACCACGCATGACAGTGTAGGCGTCAACATTTCTTCGTTGTACTTGTGTTCCTCGTAGCCGATCACCATTTCTTCCGCCTTGGCGAACGACAGCATGATGACGATCTCGTAAAATTCCAGGAAAGTCAGGTTATAGTTCATATCCAGCTTTTTGTCGTTGATGGCCACTTTGGGGCATACGGTCGTCAGGCATTCGGTTATTTTCGCCTTACCCAATGTTCTGAAAGTCAAGAGGGATCTGGAAAATTGATCGGCGTTTGTTATTGCCGGTTCGGGTTTCATCCTTTCCGATATCGGTTCTGGAACTGAAATCTTTAATTTGTTTACGACCTCACCCAACTAACAAAGTAGCTTTATAATTTTTAGTTTATAAGACTATTATATTTTATTGATATTATATTGCTGTGTCTGGAATGCTAATTTATTGTATTACAGTTGCAGGAATCACCATTTTGTTCTCTGAATGTTATATAAATTAGTTTTTACAATATTCTTACAGCAAAATTATAAAATAGTTTTCACGATAACTATAAAATTGTTACGTAAACATTTATACAACTGTTCTATACAATATTTCAGCTTATAAAATAAAATTGCTTTATAGGTATTCTATATTATTGTTCTGGATTACCTTTAGAACTTTTTGGTCATACAAATATAACTGTTTCTTAACCTCATAATAACGCTTTAAAAAATAGTTATATAAATATTAGTGTGAGATAATTCCGCATCAATAGCAATTTGCTTCTGATGAAAACTCTAAAATAACTGTAATATATTGTCGAAATACACTATTACAAATCAGAAAACTGTATAGCAATTATTTTAGTTAAGAATAGTATTATCACTTTAAAAATATTTATAAAAAAAAAATAAAGCAACTACATTTGGTAGTACCTACGCCAGATTATTTTGTATTTTATGTTCGTTCAACTACTTCCCATACCAATTGTATGTGAGTGTATGGTCTGAAAATGTCAGATTTAAATAGTAAAGAAATATAAAAAATAAGTGGTACCTGCTTTTCAGAGAACAGTAAAAAATATTAGTAAAACATTTTGCTGGTTTGTCTAGACACTCAAAAAAAAACTATCATTCAGCCAGATAATAATTAGGTATGTTCTGAATAATCATGCCCCAATACTAAAAGAAAGCCATATTTTTGGCGATGTCCATGTTAAACTTGCTTATTCTCGTAATATTAAAAATTATGCATGCTCTATAAAGCTGTAGAAACAAATCTAATCATTTCAATTCTCAAATACTTAAATCGGAAATGATTTAGTAAGGTTATGTTATATTTTGTCATATAGTGCAGCAATATGAAACTATTATACAACAAACCATGATGAACTTGTTTTGTAGAAATGAGTAATACAACTTAATTATTGTATTACAGCTGTTTTTACTACAATAATATTTTATAATTATGATTCAGTCTTAAAATAACTTTCTAATACCTCTGAATAGCCGCCATATTTAACAAAAACCTAAGACAGTTTTAAAGCTAAATCTACTGTCGGTTTTACTAGTATTTAAGACAAAACCAATGTTAATTAAAGATTTTAATCATTAGTAATATTAGCATAATCTTATTACTAAAAAAAAATCAAATTGCATTAATTTAATTTTTGTTTCACACTGAAAAAGTATTAGAAATATGAATCAAACTCGAGGCGCTTAAAAATTTAGTATTGTATATGCTATATAATTAACAGTAATTCTTGCTGCGTATCCAAAAACGCTTTATTGTAGGTCATACATTATGTCTAAACCGCGTCATAGATATCTCTTAAGTAGATACTGCCATTTTACTAATATCGCCTTGAATTTACTTTCATGACAAATATAGAATTAATTTGTTTTTACCAGATACATTTAAAAAACTAAAATGTTACTGATTTTGATATGCAACCTAACCTCAAAATTGAAAATTTATAAAACAGTTATAAAAGTTTAAAAAAACATTTGTTTAAAGTCTGTGTAAATGTGTAGTAACTGTTCGGTAACTGCATTCAACAAATCTTATAGAATTTACAAAAGAACCAAATAGTTCTGTAATACTGCGCCCATTTTGTGTTTATTACTGTTGAAAGAATGTTCCGGAAATGTTCTTAGCTAATATTCTATTTTATAAATTTGGTTCTGTAAACATTTTTTCGTCTTTTATAAAATATCAAATTGTTACTTGGGCATGATATAGTAATGATCAGTAATAATCTATATTATAGAACGCAGTTGTTCAAGTTTATTAACCTATCCATTTTGCATCCCCATTTACACACTACTTACCCTTTACATAATAAATTTCGTGCCCCATCGGTACAATATTTTTTCCATCCAATAGCGGTGGTATAATACCAGAACTTATGGCAGCATAACAAGGAAGACGGTCTTTTGCGTCCCTATATGTAGCTGCAAAGAACGTATTTACAGACATCGGTTCACTGATACTGGCATATAGTTTATACATCTTTGTAATCGGAGCTATGTTTAAGTTTTCACGGAGGGCACTACCTGTAAAATATTTCAATAAAAATTACGTTTCACAAATATTTTGTTATTTGCTATTAGATCTAATGAAGTTTATTGAGAATCTACCGGATTTCCTGTAGATGTTTTAAATTACTACTTTGCCAGATATAGAAAAAATAATATCTTACCGGTTGCAAAACACTTGGAGAAAAAATCTTCCAACCAAATGGATCAGATATATAAAATGGCCTAGATGAGATAAAACTTATCATCGCAAAAGAAGTTACTAGAGAAATAAAAACACATTCCCTGGTTACGATCTCATTACACTAGAAGTACTGAAAAACTTTCAGTACTTCTAGGACTTCAGATTGAAGTAAACGGAAGATTACACAAATCATTATGATTCTGAAACCTATGAGACCACCAAGTGAGCTAAATTCATACATAATTCTTTATTTATTACCAGTGATGAAAAGTCTTTGAGAAGCTGCTATTAAAGAGGCTTAAACTGATCACAGAAAGAAGAAATCTAATAAAAGACCATCAAATCGGATTCAAAATACAATATTCCACAATAAACCAAGTATTACCGGTCTAACAGGTGCGATACAGAAAAAATCTTACCAGTAAAAGATCCCAATTTGGCGAAAAAGTCATCCAAAAACAGCCTAAGCATCTGAGACGGAAACACCAATTTCTCAATCTGTTTATTTTGAAGTTTCTTTAAGTAGATCAGCCAAGAGCAACCCATGAGGTAGAGAAGAAATTGGTAGAAATAAATCGGTTCAAATGGATAATGTTCCGTGCCCAAACAACTGTACGGATTCTTCCATAGAAACGAATCTACTTGAGCTAGTTCGACTCCATCTTGAACGTGCCCATCTCTGAAAAGCTGCCACAAGAATAGACGTACCATGATAAGATTTTCATTGTTTGTTTCCTTATCATCATATTTTTCTTGAGCGAGTGATGCATACCTTTGGTAAAAAAGAATGTCAATAAACGATGTCAAAAGATATCAACCAATTAATAATAATAATAATAATAATAATAATGACTTTATTGCTTTCAATACATACAAATTATTATACAAAATTATATAAATATACATAAAAAAAATACTGAAAGACAAAAGGCGACGTTCGCACTTACTGGCGAGCTCAAAGATTGAGCCAGCAAATAAGCAGCGCTCTTCCACGCAACCCAGAAAAATATAAATAATTAAGTAATGCATACAGATTTTCTATGAAAAAAAGTGAAATTCTAGCTTTCAATAAGAAAGCAAACAAACAATTAATATGGAAACTTAGAAATAATAAAAACAAAGGTCAAATTTTATAAATCCTAGATCTGTGTTGTTATTGTAGTTATTAATCAATAGTGACGAGTAAAAAATAGAAATAACATGAAATATTATTGTTAAACTAAATTTAATTAACAATATAAATTAAAAATTGTAAGTGATATCTCCGTTAAATAAAAGGTTTTTGACTACTTTTCTAAAACTTGAGAGTGATGTGATATTAAATATTTTAGGGGCAAGGTTAAATAATTTGGCGGTGAAATACGAAAAGCAAGATCGGAATAAGGTTGTAGTGTGTTTCGGAAGTGTTAGGAAATTTTTAAATCTTACATTAACATTATGGACTTCAGATCTCCTTTTTATTTTTTCATACAAATAATCAGGTTTTTTTGATAACAATAATTTATGGATCAGGACATAGGCATGTAACAATCTCCTATTATTTAGATTAAGCCATCCCAAACTAGCCAGATGTTGAGATGTACGGGTACGACGACGAACCCCGCAAATAAATCTAACACACGCATTTTGAGTTCGTTGTAAACGGTTTTTATGAAATTGTGTAAGTGCAGGCCCATATACAATGTCACCGTAATTAAACTGAGACAGCACTAAGCTTTCGCAAAGCAACTTTTTGGTATTTCTGTTGAGAAATTCCCGATTAGAATAAATTAACTTTAGATTACAGAAAGATTTTTTTATTATAGAAGACATATGTTGCGCAAAGGATAAATCTTCATCAATGTATATGCCCAGATTTTTCTCACAAACTGAGAATGGTAAAAATTCATTGTTAATACTTACCCTTAGAATATTTTTAATTCTATTTTTAACTTGTTTACGGCCGAAAAGCATAGCTTTGGATTTTGTAGCGTTAATTGTTAAGCAAAATTTGTTAGATATCTCCGAGATAGTTTGCAGATCTTCGTTGATTTTTGTGATAGCGCCATTCGATTCGGATTCTTTAAAGTCAAGGTAGAGTTGAGTGTCATCAGCGTAGAAATGAGAATTCATGTGTTTCAGATATTTAAAAAATTGAGAGGTATAAATTGAAAATAAGAGAGGACCTAAAATAGATCCCTGCGGTACTCCACGTGTAATATGTATTAAATTGGATGTTTTTTCTTCTATTTTAACTCTTTGATATCTTCCATTTAGGTAAGAGCTCAATAAATTTACTGAGGCTGTGTTAAATCCCATAAAATGACATAAAGCTAACAGTAAAGAGTGATTTATTTTGTCAAAAGCTTTTGAGTAATCTAAGAGAATTAGTATACATAATTTTTTAGCATCTATATACGAGTAAATATCGTCTAATACTTTAAGTAACGCTGTAGTGCAACTGTATTTTGGACGGAAGCCCGATTGATGTTTAGGTAGAAGATCAAATTGTGAAATATGAAAGCGAATTTGTTCGTCTAAAATTTTCTCAAAAGCCTTTGACAGAGTACAAAGTATACTAATTGGCCTCAGATCAGAATATTCAGTTGGGTTCTGTTTTTTGGGAAGCGGCAATACTTTTGATTGTTTCCATAAGGATGGGAAGGTGGAATTATTGATACAATGATTTACTATATGTGTCACGTAGGGTAGAATTGTAGGGCAAGTATGTAACAGCATTACAATATTTATTTCATCCGGACCAGTAGCATGGGATTTAATGGAGAGTAATTTTTCATATACTTTTAATTCATTAACTTCGGTAAACTTAAAATCTTGCAGATTCTCTTGGACATGAGACTCATAATGATTTAAAATGTGTATGTCTGGGTTATCTAGGCCACCAATACCGTGAATAAAATAATTATTTATTATTTCAGGATTTTTTAGTTCATTGGGAATAGTAGATTTTTTATTTTTTGTTATGTTCAGATTATTTAATTCTTTCCATATGTTACTTTTTTGTCTTAACTTAAATTCCAGGAATGCTTTTTTCTCTCTCTTAATTGCGTAATTAACTTGATTTTTTAGAGTTTTGTAATACTCCCAATGATTAGGAACTTTTATTTTATTGAATCTCTCTAATGCCCTGTTTTTATATTTAATCATTATTTTTATTGTGTCTGTAAGCCAAGGTGCCTTATTTTTTGTTATTTTTATTTGCCGTACAGGGGCATGTTTCTGAAATAAATACAATATATTGTTATTTAGAATCTTAATTTTTTTGTCAATGTCGTTTGTTGTGTAGATTTCTGAAAAATCACACATATTCAAATCATGATTGAATTCATTTACGTTTAATCTTTTAAAATCGCGGTACTTGTGTAAAAAAGGTTTTAATTTATTTTTAACGTATCCAACGTTACATGAGGGTATTGAATGGTCTGAAACGGTAGAACTGGAAACTTTTATGTCATTAGGAGAAAGTATGAACAAATAATAACATCTAGTAAATTAGGACCTCTAGTTGGTTGGTCTACAACTTGTATTAGATTATATGAGTTTATAACTGAGTAAAACATAGTGCACCATTTATTATTAAGGTCTAGAAAATTTATATTTAAATCCCCAGCAATTATAATATAATTATGTCTTGTTGCCACCCAGTTAAGACATTCATCAAGTTCGTTTGAGAACTGTGCAAAAGAGAAGTCGCTAGGTCTGTAAGTTGAGCAAATAGCGTACTTATTATTATTATGTATAACTGAAATCCATAATTGTTCAGACTCAGTTCGGTTTAAACTTGATAATACAGAGCCAGCAAAACAATTTCTAATATAAATGGCTACACCGCCTCCTCTTTTTGTCAACCGATCGCGTCGGAATAATTTATACCCAGGTAGAAGTACAAAATCATCATCAATTTGGGGTGAAAGCCATGTTTCAGAGACGGTAATTATATCGTAAATATCACAAACAGTACGTTTAAACTCAAAGAAATCAGCCAACACAGATCTAGAATTGATATGACAAATAGAAAATGAAAACATTAATTTAAATAAACAGTAATTTATAATTTAGTTTATTCCACTAAAGCTAACACCTGTTTTACTTATCAATAGATAAATAGACTAAAAAAAAAAATTCGCGTATAGAGATGGGATAACTTTGGTTTCACGAGAAATTACTAGTAACTTATACCACTTCTTGTTTGTTTGTCACTTTTATCACTTGACACTGAATTGGACCTGTGAAGCTTAATTTTTTCGAGCTCAGGATCAGCTGGTGAAGTTCTAGCTCTTTTGTTTGTTGTTTCCAGAGCTGGTGCTAAGTTTTGCGGGGTGGCAGGTTCTTCAGTGTTTACCTGAATGTTCTGTTCAAGTTCCTTTAAATTATTAATGGTGTATACCACTCCATCAACAAACAAAGACCAATTTTTAATTCTAGCAGATTTTTTTTGGCCTCTAGCTGCTTTAAGGTGCTTGAGAAGAAATGTTTGTGTTTCCCTATCTTCTTTACAGAGATCTTGATTAATAAAAATATTTTTTCCTTTGAGTTTTACACAATTGCGAAGTATTTCTTGCTTTATAAGATAGTTTGTAAATTCAACTTTGACAAGAAAACTTGTTTTACTCGGAATTTTAAAAATGTTGTCAATATCTGTAAGTGATACTTTAACTTTAAGTAAATCTTCTAGCTTTAATAGAATAAATTGTAGTAGATTTTCAGATTCTGGCACTTGTATACCGTGAATAATAATATTATTACGCCTAGACAGTCTTTCCAAAGTTATGCATCTGGTTTCTACGGCTTGTTGTTTAATTTCAAGATTTTTTAATTTATTTGTGTTTTCATCCAACCGATCAATAATATTTTTGTTTTCCTCTTTTATTTGCTGAGACAATTTGTTATTTTCTGACTGAATAACATCCAAAAGTTTCTTAAATAAATCACAGTTACTTAAATCGCCGGAGTCGCCCATCTTTAATTTGAAATGTTACCATCTAACAAAAACTCTTGACGATAAATGAGAATATTTGCCTTGTTACCGACCCAAAATAATATAAAGATTCAAATATCTATTGTTAGAATATATATTGAAGCTTCATACAACTTAAAACAAGTATATTATATATTCATTGACTCACATGGAAAGTTCCAGGAAAATATGTGCACTAGTTCACTGTTAAATTAACGTTTTTATAGGAGCACTTTTAATACGTCTTTGCAGTACAACGATATCTAGATTTACATTATTCCTTCCGAAAAATGGAGAAGACTTAGAAGACTTATTAATGATTATATAGTATTTGGTACCAACGCTATATGATTATCAATTATATTTTCATGATGTGTTTACCACAAGATTTTCAAAAAAGTTTCTCCCAAGGAAAAACCTTAGGTTTTTATTTTTATGCTTCATAAGATTGGACTAGGTGCAGCCAAATCTAAATAGCCAAATCCAAATATAAAATGAAGACAGATGTATCATACTGAAGATATTGAGAATGCAAGAGAAGACAAGCTGGATGAAGATGGGTGCAAACAGCCAGGATACCGATTGGAAAAAAGAAGGAATGGTAAACATTTAGAATTCAATAGAAAAGTACCCACTTGTAATAAATAGAATTTAACTTAGGTCGATTAATAAGTATGACATTTTTGCACAGCTCAAATTCGTGTATCTTCGCCTTTTCTAATCTTTCCTCTATAGAGGCATCTATATCTGTTGCCTCATGTGTTGTTTGGTAAAATGAATGAGATCTTGGACGAGTTATGGTCGCCGTAGAATATCTTGTATTGGCTGGTATCATGGAGGGACTGAATTTAACGCTCATAATCGATCTTCTAAACCTGTAACAGTTTAAATACTTTTTATTTACATATTTTACGTGTAGGATGGATACCACAAGACGTTGCTTGAGCTTTTAACGCCCTATTTTCATATATTTCAATAAACAATTCAGATTTAGCGTAACCTCATTCTAGGATCACCAGGCAATCTTATTAGCCATCAATCATATTTTAATATCACATCTAACCTTACATTTTCTATGTAAATACAAATACAGGTATATTAAACAAAAGCTTCGATTCACATTAAGTTATTTATATACAAACGAAAAGCAGATGAAAATACAAAGTCAAAAATTACCGTTACAACTTACTTAATACCTTCTTCTGTCGCCTCGGCCATGCGAGTCAAAAAATCATTAGCTCGAGCATTTCTAAAACCGTATTCGAAAATTTTGTCGATGAAGTAGCTGAAATCGACATTTTCGGGTTCTGAATGGATGGGAATATCCAATGGGCACCATATTTTTTTGCTGCCCGAAATGGAATCGGCCAATTTTACGTACATCTGAGCAGGTATGTCTTCGCTATTCTTAATTATATTAACCAAAGTGCTCTCGTTTAGTTGGTTATAGGCTATCTGCAATAGATCCGTTTACATGTAGGTGTAGAAAGAGTGTATTATTATGTACCTTGGAGTCAACCATTTTCAAAATATCATAATACGATCCTTTCTCTACGGTACAGTTCATAAAATCTTTGTCGGGATTTTCCTCGCACCAATCTATGTACGTTTTTTGGAAATTCTTGTGCACAGGTTTATTGTATTGAAATAACGGATTGCTTTCTAATATTAACCCATTGCCGCATATCATTACGCCAGGACCGTGTTTGATATTTTGGAAAAACATTCCAGCATACTTAGCGCCGCATTCTGTGCCAAAGTGCAATATACCTGAAAATTATTTGTAACCATTTTTTTTATAATACCTACTCGATTTCATTTGTTAAAAATTTCAGAGATAAAAACATTAATGTTAATGACTTTACACTTTAGATAAACTGAACTAAACTGTAAGAGTGAATTGTTTTACCTACTCCATCTCGTTCCCCATTTTTCCAAGAACCTTTATACCAACTATACAAGGGAAAAGAAAAGATTTCGTTGGGCAACATATCCCAAGTGTACTCTCCATAACCATGAGGCTTGTCATCAAACCATTCTCCATTATAATACTAAAACACAATATATAATGTAAACATCCAAACAGATCTGGTCTTTCTAATACAAGAAAGCGACCATGGACAAAACTTACATCGTTATTTTCAAACATCATCTTTCCTTTTCCTTGCTTCTTATTATTTACCCATTCTCCTTTGTATTTAGCACCGTTTTTGTATCGCCTGTAACCGATTCCATGTCTAAGATCGTTATACCAGTCCCCTTCGTACCAGTCGTCTGCATCATAGATTAACAGACCCTTACCTATTCCACGGAAACCGGATTCATAACATTTTTGTGTAAAAATTAACATACATCAATTATTAATATTAATATTATTAATAAAAATTAGTAAAAATATATGTTAATTACCGTGCTTTTTTCCATTTTTCCAACTGCCGTAATAGTACAGTGACAATCCAGTTGGATTGAAGATGCCAGACCCATGAAAAATTCCTCGACAAAAGTCTCCCTTGTATTTGCTCAAAGTAGGAAGGATCATTTCACCTTTACCAGTGATATAGCCATCGGTGAACTCACCCTGAATATGCGGGAAGTTTTTAATTAAATAATACGCAATTAAGGTAAGACAATAGAAGCCCTTTTATACAAATCACCCTATATGCACTTACGTGGTATACCGTTTTGTCGGTCCATGTGAAAGTTCCTTTTTCGTCCATGAGGTAGTCGCTGCATTGCCCTTCATATACGTTCCCATTTTTAAAAACTATACGTTCCAACCAATATACTTCGGGGGCAAAAACAATTCTTACCGACCCTGATGTTTGTGCCTAAAAAATACAGTGTTGATTGCATATGAATTGTTATTAATTTCTCGGAATATTCCTGTACTATAAAATATCAAATCAATAAATGCTAAAGCGCCTTAAAATTCAGAGTAAGGCAACTCATTTTACACTAATTTAGTTGAAATATAATATTCGGTTTGCACCTTATGGTCGTAAAAAAATGAAGAAACTAAAACTTACGCTCATGCTCGTTGCATCTATACTTTGTCTTTCTTTATGTTTTAAAGAATATCTAATGGAATAGGCACTAGCTGAAACAAAAAAAAAACCTTAGGCTCAACAAATCTACCATTTACTTTATACAATTTTTTGTTTTTTTACCAGAGCCAATTTTTTTCAGATCTAACCTCTAATTGACGTTTTAATATTATGGATAAAAAGTGCAGAACTCTCGTCTAAAATATGGGATTTACATAAAGAAGACTAGTACCTATTATAGTTATAGTGTTTCTCGCTAAAGATTCGTTGCTAGTCCCTGTAATATCGACTTACCTATACTGGATCTCGTACTCAACATTTCACTTTGAAATAGCATTTCTTTTCTTCTAACACTTGGAACAGAAACAACTGACAATCGCTCTTGACGGTAGTTATCTTCCTTTAAACCTTCCTTTGAATCTCTGTAATCAGATATCGAAGTTTCGCTACTTTCACCGTAATCTATGGTCTTCATTACAACTTCTCTACTCTATTAAGTAAGATAGGCAATGTGAGAATTAGACATTACAAAAAAGATCTGTTTGAAGTAACCATATAACTAATTTAAAAAATAGCGCATTGTATATTTTACACACTAAAATTTAAAGAAATGGTAGTAGCAATCTGTGTAGATATAGAGAGAGCTTTCAATAATGCCAATACAAGATCTATGTCAATGGATAAAAGCCAGACCAGAAAAAAAGGTAGTAACTTCATATCTAGCCGAAGCTACATTAAGAGCTAAAGCAGACATAAGCTCCTTTAGTTAGTCCTAATGAACGAACGCATGAAAGAGGTTATTATCTGTGTAGACTTCTGTTGCCTAGAGTATGCCGAATACCTGACAATCGCCGTAAGAATCAAGTTAGCAAGTACAATATAGGAGTAACAGTAAATCCCCACTAAATCAGAATAGTCAATTTCACTAAACGAAAGGTATTGACAGGACTAAAATTTCCAGTATTGAAAGAAGTGAAGATTCCGTTTGCCCAAGAGGCCAACATTCTTTGTCGAATGTCGAAGGTTTTGCGGAAAAAATTGTGGCTGTATATCAAAGTCATAAGACCTATAATAACCTAGAAGTCGGTGCTATGGTGGCTAAAAACTTGGCCAGCTTTACGGTATTCAAAAGCAAGCATAGGAGCCATGAAAATCACTCCAACAGCAGCCATAGAAGTCATGGTAAACCTAAGAGTAGTACACATTTTTATTCAAGGAGAAGCCGGTTCGTCATATACAAACTGTTCAAATGTGCATCATCCATAAGTAGTCTGCATGCTCTTATTATCTGAGAACTCTTCCGTGATGTCACAAAGCTATCAGAATAGTAAAAACATCTAAGGCCAAAGAATTTTTAAACGGATCATCGTCAAAACTCACCAAGCATCTACTAAACCATAAGAGGAAAAATATTAAAGGACTAGTAGACCTGTTAACAGTTGAGGTGGAGGAGTCTATATAAATGTCCCAGAGTCAACGAAATCTCATCTAATTTACATACAAGAAGATTTGGACCAATAAAGATCTTATATGGTAAGTGTACCTACGATTAAAAGCTCGCCAAATCTAGGTAGCTCGTTCGCATAATATTTAAATAATGTTGAATATATCACCGATAAGTTATAATAAAAAGTTACAACATACCAAAATTAAATCGTAAGTGAGAGTATTGAAAAAATGCGTAAATATTTCTCTTCTATTCTTTGGAAAAAATATTTCGGACGCTTCTTCCAAACGTGAATCGCTAATAGATGTGGCCGACTTTTTTGACTTCTTCTTCATTAACGATACCGATCGTTTTTTCCATGGTGGTTCTGAAGTTTTCGTTTTAGAAGACATTGTTTATATTATTCGTATTTGTGAATCGATTTCCAAAGTTTTTCTCTTGGTTGAATAATTTATTTGACAGAATTGACATATGGAATTACGAATTACATAGGAATTACTTCAAGACGTAAAACAAAAGATTTTCAAAATTTAGTTGGTAATATTTAATAGTCTGAGAGCCAGTGAAGGTTTTTCTCGAAATATAAATGGCAATGTGAAGGGTTATTTTTTATTGTTCTTATTTTCTGGTCTTTCATTTAAAAGAAGAGTCATAAAAATGCATTTCTTTGCAAAAAAAACACGCAATAAAATACATCAGATTTATTTTTTATTCAGTGAAATATGTCACCTGTATAATCTCCATTGTTCATTGAATCCACTGGTTTTAAAATCCAACAAGTCCATTTTTGTGTCTAATATTATACAGAGTTAGGATTAAAATCCACAATTTACATCTCGTTATAGTTTTTTTCTTATTTCTCAATATATCATTTGGATTCGTGGGGTTTTGAAACTAAGATAATTCAATTATAATTATTTTATATTTTTTATTCATAATTGAAATTATTTTTTTTCTTTTTCGTGTGAGAAACATCTAAATACAAGTCATTGAGAATGAAAGAGTTATTTGAGAAACTTGAAGAGCGGTTATCTGATATTTGACATAGATAATAGAAGAATATTCTAATAGATTTTTGTTGAATAGAAACTTACAATATTAATATTTGTCTTAGAAAAAAAAATATATCTGGTAGAGTTTGTTGAATGAAAACTCACATTATTTGCTTTGATCGTAGGAAAAATACAGTATATTAGCAGATTTTGTTAAAAAAATACCTTAACGCAAATCATTGAAAATAAAAGAGTTATTTGAGAAACTTGTAAATATCCTAGAAGTAGCGACCATGATCATGGATGAGATTGTTACTCATAGGTCCTACATGTGGTAAGTTTTTTTTATTTTTATTATGCTAAAAATAATTGTTTTTAATTTTACCATACTCAATTATTAAATACATATGTATAATATGATATTCTAGCTCAAATTCAATCTGGATATATTTTGAAACAACCTTGTAAACATTTTTGGCAAACACTTGACAATCAAACTTGCTAAGATGTGCACAACAAATTATTATTCCGACTCCAGATAATTTAGATTTTGTTTTCGATGAGATGTGAATGTGCGAATTCCACGAAAACACAGTAAGAAAGTTTTATGGGGTGCATATATTAAAACTTGTGATACCGCTATTTGTTTGATTTTGCTAGAAATATCTTTAAATTACAAAAAAAAAATCGTAGTAAAGTTTGTAGAATAAAATTTTACTTGTTTTGAAATATTTAATTGAAAAGTTAGTTCAGCAAAAAATAATTAAAAAAAAAATATTATTTTAGACAGATATAGATATAGTGTAAGTATTTCACATATTTTATTTTAGGTAAAATAATTATTAAAAATACTCTACTGATCATAAAACAGTCCTTATAAAAATTTCTCTTCAATATTAATGAAGCATTTAGCTCTGTTATCCCGTTTTATAGCTTTTTTTTATAGAAGTCTCCACCTACAATATGAAATTACGTTGTCCGTTGCAGTTTTAATATGATATTAAAACCATTGACAACCAGTGGTGGCTGACAAAAAATTTAAAAAGAGCAGGAGAACCATGCTTCAGTTATTCCGTTCTCCTTTTGTATTATTTTTAGGCGTTATAAATGTTTCTTTGATAATTTCTTGTTTTTTCTTTAATTTTTGATCTTCTCTTTTTAATCTTTTCAATATTTTTTTTCTCAAGTATGCTTGTAGGAAAAATAAATCGATGAGATTTCAGAAATTACCAGAAACAATAAATATATTTATCGTTAGACGCCAGTGATCCTTTTTAATGCATGTTTCTTGATTGTTTGACATAGTAAGCCATCATATTTTCCTGCTAAAATTGAAAAAATATGGTGGAAAATGATTTTTCTGCAATACAAAATTAGATAAATTATAAACTTCTAACAATAAACGTTAGAAAATATGGTATATACAGTCTGTTCGCTATACTTACGCGGGTTTCAGATTAAATATTTTATGAGTATTTCCAGGTAAGTACCCGAAAGTTTGACCTGTTATTTGGGGAAATATCAACTGGTTAAATGAAATGAAAAATATTGTACAACTTTTTAATTAAATAATAGTGGAGAATCTTCTGTATAATTGAGAGCAGAATTAAACTTCTTCATTAATGGAGTCTAATGTGGCTATTATAAACCTAATAATAATTTTATATTACACTTTACACAGAAAATATGGTCTATGTATAATAAGAGGGTTATTTAGCTCAAATAAAATATTTTCTAACATAAAAATGTGTTCCATGAAGAGAATTTCAAATGAAAAATAAAAAAATTGAACAAAAATGAAAATCAGTTATTATCATCCAAAATACCACAATCGTCATCATTATCACTGTCATCACCATTAATTGTTATTATGATTGGACTTATTTCGTTTATTTTATTTTCACGAGTCCACCAATCTTTTATTAGTTTCTCGCACCTGGATATACAGTTCCGCCACACTTCTGGAGTTGCAATTGAAAGTGCTTTTCGCCAAGTTTCCCGAACTGCGTCGTCACTATAACCATTAGGCCCAATATGGTTGTCATAGTATTGTTTTGCTATTGCGCATATATATTCGATGGGATTAAACTGGCAATGACACGGTGGTAGACGTAAAACTTGATGACTGTAACTTTCAATAATCTGATCCACAACAAAGGTTTTTGGTTTTGCCAAGCATAATAATTCTGATTTTAATATATATTGAGGAAATGGTATATGTTCCTTTGTCAACCATTCTTTAATTTTATCAACAGTCCAAGAATTCGTTGGACTTTTGTTTAATACTTTAGAATGGTAAGGTGTATTGTCTAAAATAATTACGCTGGGCTCACTTAAACTTGGGAGAAGTTTTTCATGCAACCATTATACAAACATTTCTGTGTCCATATTATCGTGATAGTCACTGGATTTTAATTTAAATGAAAATATTAAATCAGCACCTTCTATAAAACCCCTAGAAATTATCCATGTTTCGTCTAAATATATAAAATTCGCACCTTCTTCTTTAAATTTAGAATATTTTTTTAGAAAGTTAATTCTCTTGTGCACGACAGAACTTTTTTCACAAAGGGCCTTTCTGTTATCCTCCTTTTGAAATTTTAAACCCAAATTATGTATCACTTGCCATAGACTTGTTCTGCCAATGTCGTCAAATTTTCTATCTATTAATTCCGAGAGAATTGTATTTAAGGTCACATGTTCCTTGTTGGCCCTCATTCAATAAATGGTATCACGAATTTCAAATTTCTTTCCATCTGGAATATCTTTCGTTTTCAATGATGGGCGAGTTTTGCAGTGATCTTCTTTCGGCAGTTCAGGGCAGACACGAATTGAGAACCAAAATGAAAATATTAAGAAGGGTTTATTTTTGTACCTGAAAATATGACACGAATTGAGGACCAGGCTTCTGAGAAATAATTATAGTAAGTGCACCGAATTGCGGATTAGGGATTAAGGTTGTAATGATGATTCATTGCGTTAACGAGCATTTTATTACTTTACTTTCGAAATTCTAATATATATTTGAAGTGAGTGTTTTGTGTTTAGTTTATTTTGAGCAGTCTTGTAAAAATGAGTGAAATTAAAATGATCTTAAGTGAAAAGGGAAAGTCGTTACTTGTGTGGGATGATTATAAGTTTCGTGAAAAAAAGGTTCTTAAAAGTGGTGAAAAGTTTTGGACTTGTACTGTAAGTAAATGTAACGCAAAAGTATTTACGCTAGGTTCAGATAATATAATTTCTCGAAAAGAAACAGTGCACAATCATGAAAATGACATAAAGAAATTAAATAGACAAATTTTGAGTGTAGCAAGCAAACGGAAAGCTGTAGAAGATATCACAGAACGGCCATCGAAAATCTTAAGGGAAAACAGTGATACAATGGACGCTTTGACAAGAAAAGACATTACATGCATAAGAAATAATATGTATTACAAAAGACGTCAAGTCCAAGCACGTTTACCAAGCAATGTATCAGATGTTTTCGATATTTTACCAACATTAAATTTGACAACAATTAAAAATGAACCATTTCTCTTGGCCACTGATAATATTAACAATATTGTAGTATTTTCGTGCTATACTAATTTAAAATTTTTGTGTAGTAGTGACAAAGTGTATCTTGATGGAACATTTCGATATTGTACGAAACATTTTTTACAGTTGTTCACACTTCATATCGTAGAAAACGGCCATTATATACCAGTAGTTTTTTGTTTATTACCGAATAAACTTCGTTTAACATACGAAAGACTTTTCGTTATTCTTAAAGAAAAGTGTTGTAATGCTAATTTAATATTTGTTCCAAAAATTATTGTAGCTGATTATGAACTAGCTATTCACAAAGCAATTTCTGCGTAATGGCCCACCACAAAAATCATTGGATGTAGGTTTCATCTTGGCCAAGCTTGGTACAGAAAAATACAGAGTTTGGGATTGGCTAAAGAATACCAAGATGAAAAAAGTGCAACTGGAAAATGGATGAGGTATCTTTTTGGATTGTCTTTTTTAAAACCCGAAGAAGTTGGAGAATGTTTTGCTTTGGATTTGGCTGAATTTCAGCCCGATCATATGCATAAAGCTGTGGTAAATTTAGCTGACTATTTAGTAAAGAATTATATTGAAGAAAATTCTTTATTTCCACCAACAATTTGGGCTGAAGCTGTTGTAACTACAGAAAATTCTACCAATGCATGCGAGTCCTTTCATTCTAGATTTAATTCAAATTTCTATTCAATGCACCCTTCATTGTATTTATTTGTAAATGTTTTGAACAATTTTCAAACAGATACTTATATTCGTATTAACAGCCTTAAGGAGTCTGTTAAATGTAACAACAAAATTGTTAGACGAAGATTAAATATGTTAACTTCAAAAATGTTAGAATATAAAAATGGTTCTATAAAACGAATAGATTTTGTAAAATTCGCATCAAATTATCATAAAGTGTATTAAATGTAAATAATATGTATATGTTTAAAAAATTAATTATAAATTGTAAATTGTGCAATAAATATCTATTTTTATCTGAATTCGTACTTTTCTTCAAATTTTGCAAATCCATCAGAAGACAAATAATAATATTATAAATGGGTATAGTGATAAGATACTTCAATTATTGAGAAGTTTGTTCCTCAATTCGTGTCATATTTCCAGGTACAAAAATCTCTCTCAGTAATCTAGTTAACGCAATGAACCCTCATTACCACCTTAATCCCTAATCCTTAGTACGGTCCGCAATTCGGTGCACTTATTTGGTCTGTGCAGGTAGTGGTCCTCAATTCGAGAACACCGGCAGTTCACTATTGTCATTTTGTAATACTCCTCTTAATTTGGTTTCACTAATTCCTAGAACATCGCATACGCGTTGTTGTACCGACATTACCGATTTTAAAGGACCGCCATTTTCTTTTTTATCCGTAAAATACTTATGTACACTATAAATTAGACTATCTACATCTAACACACATCTAGAGGCATTTTTAGAATTTCCACTAAATTTACAATATACTTACAATGTCAACACTTGCAAAGAATCAATTCAACTGCAATATTTGTAACAAATTTAGTACCCACCCTAATGTTATTTTAATTTAAATCTGACCATTAGGGCAATTTTACCTGATTTCTTGGGAAGAGGTTTACTGGAACTGGTTGTCAATGACTAATTTGCATAATTTTGTTAATCCGAAACCCGTGTAAGTATAATGTTCTCTTTTTTTTTTGAAACGCTACTGGTTTGTTGTCAATAAAGTTGCGAGAAGGATTGCTGTTTTTTTTATTAAATATTTGTTCTGATGCTTGATGGCAATAAAACTATTTGAAATGTTCGATATATAAAACAAAATAGAGCTATTTATATGCCTGTGTAGGTAGGTAAATAAATTAATAAAATAATGCATTGACTCACGAGACTATAGTGGCGATTTCATGAGATAGGTTTAGATAGTTTTATCTAATATTGTTGTCCTTAGAGACCTAAAACTCATAATTTCATTATAAGTTTAATTAGTTTTGCTATTTTTGAATATTTTGACTGATCGTAGGAAAAGTTTTGCAACTCACATTTAATGTGTTAAAATAAACAAAATAATCAATAAATATCTTTTGGATAATATATTTATCTGATACCGTTAACGTGTGAAAATATAATAAAGCATATTTTTTTATTATTAATAAAAACTAGAATTAAAATATCCATTATTTTCAATGTCTTAAAAATTGGTAGCAATAAAATAATAATAATAAATAAAATTTTACCAATTTTTAATTAATTAAAAGCAATTAGAAGTGTTTATTGACATACTACTCATTGTTGCTTTTAGTATTAGAACAATTTAATCACCAATCCACCGTCAATCCATTCTAGATCATCGTTATTTGCAATTTTTCGTCACTAATGCATGTAAACCCAATTAATCCTATCTGATTGGATTGAGGAAATGTAAACAATGCGATAATATTGTTAATATTATGGTCCTTTGATACCACCGAAACGCGCTTGTTAAAAAGAACAATTACATGTACATTAGGTAGAGATAAAATTTTGTCTAATTACATTTCCAACACTTTTTTCTCAATAAAAAAATTTGGCTGACTATAAGATTGGACCATACTGCCCACAAAACTGAACCATACTTTTCACAAACTGCACCACACTGTCCCAAAGATTAAATCATACTCTTTAGAAACTTCGCAATACCGACCACAATACTTCAAACTGTCCACAAGATTAAACCATACTATCCACTAACTGGACCATACGGTCCACAAGACTGAGCCATGAAACTGCAAATGTAACTAAACTAATCTTAGGCGCAAATTTTTTAACATATTTTAGACTAATTTTGGATTTTAAAAATTCTAAAATAATCGATAGTGAAACTATCAGATTCTATTGGAAATATTTTTAATTTTAAAACTAAAGACAATTCAGCTAAAGTATTTAATATTGAGACTAAATATATGGAAGTTTTTAAAAAATATCCTGGAATTTTTTCATCTCCAAATTTTAATTTATCTGCAAAACCCAACGTTAAACATAATAATGTAACTGAAGGAAATTACCTTTCTGTAAATGTAGATTCTAATAAATATAAAATTGCTAAACAAGAATTCGACCAACTGATCGAAATAGGCATTTGCACGTGGTACCCAAAAAAGATTCAAATGATTGGAGACCTTGTGTAGATTATAGATTTTTAAATAAAGTTACAGTATCTGACAGATTTCCTTTTCAACAGGTCTAATATCTTGTTTTGAATATTTTTCTCAAGATAGTGAGCTTTCGTTTCTTCTTTTTTAGGCACCCTACGTACGTGTTCTTTCATGATGAGACCAAATTCAAATAGCAGCTTAACTATAGTAGTCTGGCAGCACTGCAGCCTGCGGCTTATTGTACCACCATTTGAAGGTCCTACTACTTTTCCATTCACACCCTCATTAATTCTCATTCATTCCACGTCGTCGATGGTTAAACGCTAGTCGGATGAATCCCATGGTGACACGGCCCATGGTGGAACCTCCCAGCGGTCACCCATCCACGATGTGACCGGAGAGATCACTGCTTAACTGTTGCAAGTAAGTGTATGAACACTAAGCTCGCTGCTAGCCTCTCCGGCTTTTACAACACTTTAATCTTAGGTTCAGTTCTAGAAAAGATTTTTGGGATTGAATATGATTTTTAGGAATTGCTTTCAGAGTTTGATTCAGATGCATCTAACTTTTAAACCCCTCCTTTGCTGCAGAAGCATAAGACAGATTACACTAGCCAGTATCTTAAAATTTGCTCTCCAATTCTTAAAATTCTTTAATAATAATTGGGGCTAAATTTTCTGCAGTCTGTTCGCTAGACCTACACGGGTTTCGGATTAACAAAATTATGCAAATTAGTCATTGACAACCAGTTGCAATAAGCATCTTCCCAAGAAATTAGGTAAAATTGCCCTAATGGTCAGATTTAAATTAAAATAACATTAGGGTAGGTACTAAATTTGTTACAAATATTGCAGTTGAATTGATTCTTTGCAAGTGTTGAAATTGTATGTATATTGTAAATTTAGTGGAAATTTTAAAAAAGCCTAGACGTGTGTTAGATGTAGATAGTCTAATTTGTATTGTACATAAGTATTTTACGGATGAAAAAAAAAATGGTGGTCCTTTAAAATCGGTAATGTCTGTACAACAACGCGTATGCGATGCTCTAGGAATTAGTGAAACTAAATTAAGAGGAGTATTACAAAATCACAATAGTAAACTGCCGAAAGAAGATCACCGCAAAACTCGCCCATCATTGAAAACGAAAGATATTTCAGTTGGAAAGAAATTTGAAATTCGTGATACCATTTATCGAATGAGGGCCAACAAGGAACATGTGACCTTAAATTAATAGATAGAAAATTGACGACATTGGCAGAACAAGTCTATGGCAAGTGATACATAACTTGGGTTTCAAATTTCAAAAGGAGGATAACAGAAAGACCCTTTGTGAAAGAAGTTCTGTCGTGCACAAGATAATTAACTTTCTAAGAAAATATACTATGGGGTACTTAATGGTCGTTGAACGCTTTCTCTATTCTCTAACTCATGGGAGCACTCCCACACTCCCATGCTCCCATACTCCCATGCCAACGTTGCCAAGTCGACAGAATAACTTTGATCTACTATTTAAGGACCAATCCACCGTTGTGTTAAACGAAGTTTAAAATGACATTTTTACATTAACAATGTCATTTTAATCTCCATTTAACTCAACGGTGGAATCGGCCCTTAGTAGCTCAAATTTGCTTTGTGATAAATACGGACCTAATCTGGCAAGCCCGCAATTCTCCCTTCCATAGTATAAAATCTGACCTTACTACGCATGTACCTAGGCTAAAAGTGAGTAAGCACGATATACCCACCTAAGAGTAAGAGAGCAAAATATATGGGAGCACTCCCATGGGAGCGCTCCCATGACTTAGTGAATAGCTATCCTGTAGGTGCCACGTTGGTTTCAATAGTGCTCTCATTTGGCGACAGAGGGCTGCCACTGTTAATAACAAGTATCAGTTCAGGTATATCGTTCACTTGTTGATCCTCATTTTTCTCAGGCGATTCTCTGTTGTCAGTGTCTTTTAATGCTGTCTTTGATGTAGAAAATTTTGAGTCGTCATTTGTTTTGGAACTGCCCGACGTACTCTGTAAATAATTTAGTAAAATGCCAGCTTGTCTTTGCATTTCCTTTTTCACCCTTCGTCTTTTATCACTAGGGGAACGATTAAGCAGTTTTTATATTTATAAATTATGTAATAGTAGTAAAATAGTAACGAACCTACCACACCTGATACCTTTTAAATTTGAAAATTTATAAGCACTTGCATTTTACACAATTTTGCTTCAAAATATAGAATGGTATAAAATAGGGCAATTTTTCTTGTCCAATTTAGTCAGATCATGCATAGACTTATTCTAGAGTGCTCAATGTAATTTTATAAAATACCTAAACTTTTGCTATTTTTAAGAAAATTTTATTTATAAAACTAGGTAAAAATATTGGTAGCTTTACTTAAAAGGGATCGCATCCGGTAGTTGATAATATAATAAAGGAATCAGGGTCTATGTATCAGTAAAAGGCAGGAATTATTCAAAAAAAAAAGCATTGGGTATACCTACAAATAGTGCTATAACATTTTTCAATAAAGTACACCCTGTATTTGAATTAACGTTTTATCATTCTAATAATCTAAGATACTAGAATGATATTTGTTAATTTAAACAAGATTTAATAAAAAAATTCTATTAATTAAACTGACAAATTTCCAAACCAATTAAGTGTTATCGTTAAAGACTAAACAAATTACATTCAACACTTCCACATAAACACAGTTACATCTTATCAAAATAAATATTTCTCATCTGATACCCACTGTGATAACACCTGATACGCGAGACTACAGCGCATGCGAGCGGAATATTCATCGCTTCGGCGACAGCTTTAGAAAAGCAGCGCTTCAACGCTTTTCACTCTTTCCAGACGCTTTCCACGCACCGCAACGATGCCACCCGAAGAAGTCTGCTACCTAATCGTTTCAGATTCGCGCGATAACTTTTAAAAACTTTCGCGAAGTGTCGAACCATAAAAAAATGAATGTGACCACTAAGTATTGTGAGTTGGAGGGTTTTCAAAAAAGTTACGCTGAAGTTCACGGACCTTTGAGTATTTTAGTTTGTGTTCTCGGTTCTATAGCTAATATATTGAATATTTGTGTTTTGACTAGAAAGGAGATGAGATCATCTACAAATTTGATCCTCACAGGATTGGCGGTGGCAGATTTATTGGTGATGATCGAGTATATCCCGTTTTGTAATTACAGTTATTTGAATACCGAGAAACGGAAATATATCACCCATTTCAGTTATAGTTGGGCAGTTTTTATGATTTTTCACGCACTTTTTAGCCAGTTATTTCATTTCATATCCTGCTGTTTGACAGTAATTTTAGCTCTTTGGAGGTTACTAACTATTAAAAACCCTCCAATAACAAAATTTTGGTGCGATCTAAACAAAACCATTTACGTTATAATATTCACTTACTTACTATGCCCAATTATATGCTTTCCTTTATACAAGACTTACAACATTAAAAACTTCAACCAAACTATAGACGATACTGGAAAAATTATAAAAACAGAAGAATCGAACAATTCTCAAACTTTGATCGACAACATCTACGTTTTGCAATACACCAATGAGTTCTACGCACGGCTAAGCTTTTGGCTGTATACAGTGGTTATCAAATTAGTGCCGTGCATTCTTTTGACAATTCTATCAACGAAATTAGTGCTGGTTCTGCTTGAAACACAGAAACGCAAGAATCGGTTGTTAGGACAAAACGTTCCAATGAAAAATATTAATCAGGATGACAAACCGATAATTCTGGCTAAAAAGAAGGACAAACAGGCCGACAGAACGTCTGGGATGTTGGTGGCGGTGTTGTTGTTGTTTCTGATTACTGAGTTTCCACAAGCTATTTTAGGGCTGCTAAGTGCTACTGTTGGAGAATCGTTTCATAACGAATGCTACACCCCTTTGGGTAAGTCTTTTTTTTACTCCCTTTAAATATTTTTTTGATTAATGAAATTTTTAAAAATTTAAATAAATATCCTGATAATGTTATAATAAAATAAAAGAATATAAGGCTTATAAAATATTCTCGCAAATCAAATAAAAATAATAATAAATCAAATGACAGTACAGATTTGTGGGTTGTGCGATGAGAAACCAGCAAAATTTTAGATTAACCCTTATTGCAAACGATAACGAAGTTTATTAATAGGTAATTAGGAAGTAGCTAAGGAATTTACAATAAAGGACCACGCACAATAAATTACAATCGATTAGCTTTCTCCCGAAATAAACGTTATCAAATAAGTGGTATTTCTTATGTTAAACATATCTCAAAAACCAGTCATAGGATTTGAATGGTCGCATGGACACTATTGCTTAAGAGGTCGAGAACTAAAACATATCAAAAATTTATGACTTTTGACAGGTCGTCACTTTTCCATAAGCATTGTGCGGGGTTCTTAATTATTTTTGGAAAAAATTTAGCAGAAAATATTAAGATCAATTTTAAATAAAAAATTAAAAACAAAATATTACCAATTTTAATGTTATTAGTTTCTACAAATACCAAAGAAGTATCTAACATAATCTGTGACCTGCAAAATAATAAATCACCAACATCTGAAGTCCTGATGATATAAGAACAAATTGAGAATTCCACATAAAGTGGTGACTAACACTGATTAATTATCTATCAAAGGTGTTTGAGAAATTATAAAAACAATAGAACAACTTAAATTCTTGTTAGTAAGATTACGGCATTACAAAAAAAAATAATTCAACTGTAGATTAAATTCACTAAAAAAATTAAGGATTTATGGAAAATGGCAGACCATGCTTTTTATTCATTAAACTAAGTAAAGCTTTAGACACTGTTAGTCACTCATTATTACTTAAAACCTATAACGTACAGGTATTAGGAGAAACGTATTAAAACTTTTTAAAAGTTACTTGAGTGCATGAAAACAATTTTGAATAGTTGAAGATTAACTGAGCCAAGAGTATCGTGTGCCACAAGGTACTGTTTTAGTTCCGCTACTTTTAAATGTATATATAAATAGATTATTTAGTTTAAATTCAGAAGGACATACAATAGGATATGCAGATGTCACTGTAATTTTTAATAAATTTAAAAAAGAAAGTGGAATATTGGATAGACTACAAACTTTTAACTATGTACCTAGATGAAACAAATTTTTACCTTTCAGTTGTTGTAAGGTGTTTGATTTGACTGATCTGAACCACATCAATAGACTTAAATAAGCACTTAAAAAAGTTGAGTTTATGTACATAAATATGCATGATTCGAGTCCAAAATATACAAAAAACTCAATACATGCAAAAAACGTATTTTCAAAATTATTAAGTAGATACGACACATAATTATAATTTTCATACAATAATCTAAGATACATTTATTAAAACAAATTTGTAAACAAAAATTTATATTTTCTATTCCACCAGAGGATTCGGTTAAATTTCTGGTAATTGGGGTAGCGTGCTCACCAGCGTCGTAGTTAGAAATAGGCCGACGTTAACCAAATTAATAGAAAAGAAAACAATTACAAAATTTGCTAAATATGTAAAGTGCATATCAATATAGAAATCCAAGGTGTGAATTGCGTCATTCAGTTAACTCTCGTTCTAAAAATACTCAAATTCCAAAAGTAGAAAAAATGTAATTAAAGAAATAAAGAAAATAACGTGCCATCTTTCTACATAATTTTTTTGGTTTAAAAATTATTTTCTTATAATATGGAATCATCATAAATCGCTTTGAAAATAAAAATTGTAGGGTTTCAGGTTTTTTTACAAAAATTATTCTTTCTATTTTCACTGTACCTATTAACTAGTTAATATATACTATTTTTAAATGTATTATGTATATATAAGGCTAAATTATAAAGCCAGATTGCTGATTAAATATTTCCTCTCTTGTATTTTAGTGGAAGAAAATAACAAGGGAACTGCTATAGCTTCTCAGAGCATGGTAAATAATTACTATTTTAGAATGTAACAAAAGCTCTGAAGATTAGCGTAAAAACACTCTAGAGAAACATCGCGTAAAGAAAAGCTTTAAAAGTAAAAACTTGGAAAAAGCAATAAAAAGTCCCTGAAGCTCTATGCAATATTTAGATAACTTAGGTACAATATAGAACAAAATAAAAGTAGGTACACATAATGAAATATTCACATTTATAGTTAATTAAATATGGAATGGAAGCTTATAAAAATTTGAGGGAATTTAAAAAATGTGGAATAAATATAATTTCATCTATATTTTAAAAAAATTCAAAGAAAAAGGTAAGGTAATATTTTTCCAAAGAAAACTAACGTGCCAAATAAATCAATAATTGCAATTTTAAATTTGAAATATAAATCTTTCGATACTTCATTATGTAAACAACTATTTTACGATCAGCTTGATTGATAGAAACAGACATGTTGTAAATAAATATTTTATTGCCACCTATAAATATGTGATGTCCTATGTTATCCACTAGGAAGTCTATAGAGGGAAGTGTTTTTGGAAAATAATAATATCAAGTATAAAATTAAAATTTCCAAGAACGACGTATTGAAAATCATTTGATGTTTTTCATTATGTACATTGTAAAGAAACAAATATAATATCTACTAAAACGGCGGACATTATAAAAAGAACCATCTTTTAATAATGAATATCTGCAATTAGCTAAATTAATATGATAAATGTGTACTTGACATGCGTTTTTATTTTTGAAATATCAATAAGGGCGTTGGTTATTAATTAGAAATTGAATTAAGTAATATGGAAATATGTAATCTAATTCCCTATGGATAATAATGTCAATATTCACAAATGTTCGTAATTTTATTATTTTATGTATGTATATTATCATAATATCAATAAATATCCCACCTATTTGAAAATTAACTCCATAAATGTTTTGCGATAATAACTTAATTAATTTATGTAATTTTATTTTATTGTATTATTAATTAATTATATATTTTCTAATTACACCAAACAGTATAATAGAGTAGACTGTTCTTCACACATAATTATTTAATTCTATCTAATAATAATTATTAAATAATTTGCTATTAATTTACACTTTGTATTTTCCCACTTAGTGCCAACTAAATAAAACATTTTTTAGTTTATGCATGAACGTAGAGGAAATATTGTATGCAACTCATAATTAGTTTAGAAAATAGATTTAAACTCCTCTAACCAGTCAAGCATCATATTTGGAATACCGTGTATAATATAAATCGCAAAAACTTCAAGCTCATTTTCCAGAGCTCTATTTTCGATTAAACCGCATTGATAGAGCACTTGACGATTTCTCAGTAAAGAAAAACACGAATTGTGGCCTTTAAGCACTGCCAGAGAGAATAAGAAAAATCTTTCTGAAACAAACAAGAGCGAATTCAGCGAATTCAAAGATATAGAACTTCCATCCGCTATATTTTATTTTCCAGGAAATAAAAAAAATGGGATTTTTCACATATACTGTAAATCATTATTTTTTTTCTGTACTTTCAGCTATTTTACTTACAGAACATTAATAATATAAAGCTGCATTGCGCCAATTTAATTCAAAAATATCTAAGATACATATAAAGAAAGCATAAAATTATTTTAGTCACTTTACTGTCCTTGCTTTTTTAATATTGTTTAGTGTGTTAGTCGTAGAAAAATAATAATAAAAGATAAGGTGTGTAATCTAATTTTTCTAAATGATATATTAAAGTTGACCATTCACTTTGGAAAATTCCTATAGTTGATTTATAAGGCCGATTCAGTAAAACACACCCATTTAGAATACATATAGGAGTTGGGAAAAAAGGCTATAGGTTTGCTTAAAATGTTGAAAGAACATTTTAGTCAAATGAAAACATACTTGCATGAAAAATTTTATTTAAGGAGACAGTAACTTCAAAAGGAATAGCCACAGAAACAAAATTAAATACTAACCAGAAAAAAGCTCCAAAATTTAATATAATTACCGGGGAAATACTAAAAAACCTCCATTGGAAAATCATACATAAAACTGTCTCCTTCATAAAACTTGAAAAGTGGCTTAACATAAACCAGGTAAACTGAAGTTTCATCTTATAGATCAATCTCTTTACTTTAATGATACCAATTCCTTAATAATTTATGATGTGTGCATAATTTTGCACCTCCCATATTGATTGTTCCTTTACTCAAGTTCGTAACAAAATAATTTAAGGTTTTTTTTTTTATTTACTGTCTGAGTTTTGAGTATTATTTTGTCTTTTATACAGATAGATTAGATAAATCGTACCAAAAAATAGAATACGTACATACTTACTTAAACATAAAAAAATGTAAATTCAAACGTTTTTCTTTAAAAATTTGATTAGGGTTATACCCCAGTCGAGCTTTGTGTTCCTGCATGACGGGATAAACCCCAAAAATCCAGGTTAAGTGTAATGCCGCCATGGCCTGGCAATTTGTCCCGAGCGATATTGTTTTCTCGGCGTTGGAAACGGACTGTAAATGCGATGCTAGTTTCCTTTATGTTTTCATTTACATCGTTTCCCTGTTCCGGAAATATCGGAAAATGGGTAATTTTATTGCAGTAGATAATTTATTCAGTTCTAAGCATTTTGTATTTAAGAAAATTGCTGTGAATGGTACTGGGACTTGATTAGGGAATATTAACATTTTCCTGATGGCTTTATACAAGAAAAGTCTGTATATAAACAGTCTTTTCTGCAATTCGAGAAACTTAGGTTTTTCTAGTAAACTTAATTAGTTTATAAGAATTTAATAATAGTAGTTTAATTTTAGATTTTCAAAAACCTTACAAATGATATAATTTTAAAAACTTTTCGCTGTACCGAACACCAATATATTTCGAACATCGGATGGTAGATTCAGTCTTAATAAAACTAGTAAATAATAATTATAGACAAGATTGTAATTATGCTTTAGAAAATCAATTATTAGGT